AACACGTTTTAAAAACAAAATAAACATGTCGTTTCAGGCAACCTAGCATGATGAATGAATAATAACTACGCATTATAGAACGCTCAATAAACAACTTTTTTTATTAGAGTTATAAGCTAGCAAACATCACTGATGTTATCTTCAAAATATTTGAAAAAACCCAAATCGGTAATAGTTTATTTTAAAGCAGTGGCTTTCTCTAAGCTAATGAGAAAATTATGAATGCGAATAAATTATGGAGGTTGGCTAGCGAAGCTTTCTAGAGTTTAAAAAAATAAAAATAAGGTTTTATACTATTTTTGTTTTATTGTTTTTTTTTCTTTAATTATAAAATAAAGAATTTTCTTAAAACTAAATAAATGTAAAATAACTAAAATACATCACACAAGAATAATTTCATATTTATTGCTATTATCTGTAATTGGGAGAAAAGATCATTTTTTGGAGATGAAACCAAGTCTTATTTTACGTTCTGATGGAGATAGAAACACTATTTTTTGTTCACATTTTCAAAGATAATTTTTTGTAATTAGTGAAAAATGCTTGTTTTAAAATGTTTGTCTATTGGACTCCCATAAATTGAATCTGTAACTGATTCTTTTTTTAAAGGAAGAAATTTTTGCATCAAATTTCAAAGCAAATGTAATACTTATTTGTGCGTCACAAAACAAACTAGAAAATCATTTAGTAACTTCTCTGAAGAGATTAGTAAAGCCTCATATGTGAAAAATCATCTCATCATTGTTGTTGATTTGCTTAAATTAAAAGTATAGATTTTGTTATTGAGTCTAATAATCATTAATACTTTTCCAAGCAACATGCCATATTTGTACTCATGTTTTTTATGTACTGTAAATCTTATAAGCTGTAAATAAAAAGTAAACCATTTAAATGTGTTTGTGTTCTGTACAAGTAATAAGAAAAAACTGTTTCAATAATTTGTTATTATTTTTAAATATTAGTTATAATTTTTTTCGGGGATCGGGGCGAGCGGTATTGAATCGTTATTAGTTTCTTCATTAAAAAATTATTTTTGCCTTTATTGATTTTTTTCTTGTAATTTTTCGTTTAAAGTTTCCTTTGGATTGTAAGATAAGGGTTGATATTGTTTAAAGAAATGTCTTGATAAAGTACTTTCAAGAAATGAGTTTTTATGTTTTGCACAGTTCAAAAGATTTCCTATACGAAATTTTTTATTTAAAATATTTATTTTTAAATGTCGTAAACTTTTTTTGGTGTATTTAATTTTTTAATTGCCGAGTGTTTATATGTTTTAATTTAGGTTGGCCGCAAGCAATAACATTATGTCAAATTATAACTGAACATAGTTCATCTTTATTTTGATGAGCTGATCTTTAAAAAATGTGTCAATTTTATATAATGAAATTACAAGAAGATCCAAACGATAATAATGAATACAGAACATTGGAATTATTCTTTTAGCCTTTTTAATTTTGTCGGTATATGCCTTTCAGCTTTGAGCATGATTTCGTAGGGTTGAAAAACATTTATTTACAGATTTTTTTCACCCCATACGAAGAATATGTAATAAAAGAGCAGAGGATATTTTAAGTTAGGAAATCAGACACCAAAATGTACTTTCTCTGAATGAATGTACATTTTTTCAACGGATTCCGATTTCTAACCCCCAAAATAGCTGCAATCTGGGAAATGTGGTCCCCATTCCCCATAGTTTGGTCAAGAGAGCGAATATACGGTTCTTTAAAATTTGATTTCCCAGCAATAATTCAAGCGATTTGGCTCAATTTTTTTTTACGTTGTCATTTAAAGATACTTTCCTTAAAATGATGTAAAGCATTGCATACCGTACAGCTCAAAATAATTATATATATTTACTAAAATTTAATTTTTGTTTATAATTATCTTCGAATAAACGAAATTTATAATTATAAGCAAATATTTTTAAATTCACTTAAAAAGTTCTCGAGATATTGCGCAAAAGGAGTCAAATTAACTTTAAGGAGCCCAGACTTTGGATCGCTATCCTGACCAAACTATAGGGACCGTATTTCCGACATTGCGGCTATCCACTATATTTTGGAATCCTCTGGGAAAAAAAGTAAGTTTATTTAGAAAGTACGTTTTGGTGTCTAATTTCGTAACTTAAAATATCGTCTGCACTAATTAATCTGCATATTTGAGGTCACCCCCTCGAACCATTAAGACTGTTTATTTTGCAATGTACACTGCGGATTTTTTAAACTTTTTGCAATGCGTAAATCATGTATAATGCCGACTTATTTGTTAAACGGTTTATTTGCTTTGATGGATTTAATTTTATAAATAATACCGACTTATGTCCAAAAATTTACAAATTTTAAAGAAAGGCTTGCTTAATTCTTAACATGCGAATTTTTTTTTTTTGTGATGCGTTAATTATTTGAAGCTTGTTTCATATTAAAAAGTGTGTGTCAATTTGTTTGAAAATACCCATATGTATATTCAGAAATACTTATAGAAAATTTAAAAGAAAAGCTATTTATTCTGAAACATGCAATTCCAGAGAATATATCGCCTACGTAAAGTATGCTGTGCAAATTGTTTATAATTTTTTGTAATTTCGAAATCATTTAAAACTTATTTTATATGAAAATGCGGTCGTCAATTTGATTTAAAATAGCCATTATGTCAAGAAATATCGATAAACATTTTTAAGGAAAAGCTCGTTCATTCTGCAACAAGCTAATTTCGGAATATAAATCGCTCTTGTTAAGGCAATTTGCTAATTTTTTTATAATTTTTTATGATGTGGAAATCATCTGTAAGTTTTTTCATACTAAAAAATGAGCTTCAATTTATTAGAAAATTCCCGTATATGCTAAGAAATATTTATGGAAAATTTTAAAGAAAACCTTGTTTAGTCTGAAACATGCGAAGTTCTAAAAATATATCGTTGACAGAAGCTATGACACTTTGCTAATTTTATAAAATTTTCGTAATGCAGAATTAATTTGAAACTTGCTTCATATTAACAGTAATAAAACGGAATTTGGCCCCTCTCGTTTTTTGTTGCTCTGTAATTAAAAATAATAACTTATAATAAAAAGCAACTAAAACTATTGAGTATTTCTGACTTTTCGTAATTTGATCCAATTTAAGAGCTTATTTATTAATTTACGTGTTAGCTTTATAAAACGTTGTACCTAGAATGACGGGGATGAACCGAGTGGTCCTTTAGGTATTTTGCAGGGATATAAACCCAGGCAGGTTAGGTATAACAGGGATGAAAGTTTTCAGCTTTTTTCAAAGCTTTTTAATCTCCATATATTTATTAATTTCATAATGTTTGATTGCGTTTATGTAGAATTCAGCTTTTTTTGCTAATTGGTACTTTCATCCCTGGTATAAGCAGGTACAGGCTCCTTAAAAAAAGAAGCAAGAGTATTTTAACGCAGCTTTAATTATTATTTATAGAGAAAAGGAAACTCAATTATCTATGAGTATAAGTATAATGGAAAAGTCAGTGTTCTGTTTAATCAAATATTTTCGTTAACCGAATCGAATAAAATACCATAGAATTTCTTTGAAGTCTATAATAGAATTTCATTAAATTAATTATTATTATATTTTAAGAATTCGCTCTAGTTTGTTATAAAATACCCTTATGTAACAGGATATATTTATAGAAATGATGTTTGAAAAAATCTTGTTTAATCTGAAACTTGCTAAGTTCCGCGAATAGACTGCAATTACAACTACAAATTTTATACAAAAGTAAATGTCAATTTGTTTTAAAATTACCATACATTTCAAAAAATATCGATATCAAACTTTTAAGAAATGCTTGTTTAGTCCATAAAAGCCAATTTCAAAAAAATATATATGACTAACATTAGAAAGGTTATTTTGTGAAGTTTTTATATTTTTTAAAATTTATATTTAATTAAATCTATAATTTTGAATATTTTTTACAGCTAATAAAAGTAAGATTCGAGTAAAGCTAATCAAAATTTAATTTATTTAGAAAATTTCTCTAAACTTTTAGGTTAAAAGATGATAATCCGCATCTTCAAAAACGAATTCCTTTCTCTACAGTAAATAATTATTTTCATAAGATCTTTCATTTAATTTTAGTACTCGTCTCTGGGGAGATCGACTTGAGAGGGCAACATAACACAGTAATAATGGTCTAGTTTCGTAAGAGGTCATATATTTCGGCAATATTTGTGATAGGAAGATCTGTTTATCTCTTAACTATAAAAATGTTGGGTTAGACACTGTAGAACTTGGAGCTCTTACTGGCTATTAAATCTTCCATATTCCTATTATTTTTTTCGAAATTTTCTATTATTAAAAAATCTCTTTGTCATTTTTCTGCACGAATATACAATATTGCCAAAATAAGAGAGGCAATAGGAAATTTATTCCAAATGTGGATTATAAGTTTCAATCTCCGAAGTCTTCTTTGAAAGAAACTCTTATCTGATAAACAAATTGATTTATGATAATTTTAATTTACTTTAACGTTTCATACTTTGATTGATCTTAATAATGGTTCCTCAAATTTTCAAGCCATTTTTTCTCTGTCATTATTTAAATATTAGTTTTCTATGACTCTTAACTTAATGTGCGTAAGTTTTTATTTTTCAATTTTTTTCAAGAATTCTAAAAATATGTATTAAGTGTGATGATGACGCTAGATCCCGTTAACAAAACATGCAAGTAAATAATAATTACAAAAAATCAAACAGATTATCGCTCATGTTTTTTTTCTAAGCTGGCAGAGATATGCCTAATTTAATAGTGCAAAAAAAAAGTAAAAAGAAAATTGTTTAGCGCGGATATTTTCGTTTTATAATTTTGGTTTCGTTAACGCGATCAATGTATTCGCGGAATGGACACATATCTGTAGTTTACATCGGGCAGTTCGACTGAACAGTCTGTACGCGGTCGTTCGCGAATAAAAAGTTAATAAAGATTTGTTGATTGGATTGAACTAACAAAGTTGGAAAGACTTGATATATAACTTTCCAGTTTTATTTACGAACTTAAACTACATTTCCGGGAGACCGGTTTAGACTGTAACCGTAAAATAACTTTATTTACAAATAAAATACAAATATGGCTGTCACAGGAGTGTTACCTTTCGTCAGAGGAATTGATTTTACTGGAAATGATTTTCAGGTATGAATATAAATACGATTTAATAAATGCTTTTAATACCATTATTTACTGCCCTATATTAGCTTCTATCTTTGTCTTTTAATAGTAAATTGCAATTGATTAATTTAACTTGCAGACGTCATCATAGTGTTATTTATATGAAAAACTACGTTTTTTTAGCAAATTACTTCAAGTTTATAAATAAAGGAAGCCTCTGCGTACCTCAAATTTTAAAATATGAGCTATTCAACGTTGAATCATGCATTGATTCCTTTATTGTTGCATATACATTAAACCCCTTCCAAGTATGGATCATATATTAATCCCCTTTTACGTTCCTCCCTTTAAGAGCTTTATTATAATTAATATGTAAGATTTTTTAAAGATTTGTATCAATTAATTATATTGACAATAAAATAACTTAATTATTAATGTTTGTCAAAATAAATACGAAGGGACAATCTTGATTATTTGCTTCATCAATCTTTTCTAATAGATGTTTATTGTTTATTGACTGGACTGTTATATTTTTAACTTTTATCAAAAAGGTCATTCTTGAACAAGTTATATGGCTTTTACTACTGTATTTTTATATTGATAAAAGAATTAAAATTAAATAATCTTTAATTTCATAGTTAATGTTACTTGTTTTTAAAAAAGATCTGAGCTTAAGTATTGATATTGTTATTGTGGTTCAAATTGCATACACAATCAAAATTATTATTCATTGGAATTATTTGCTTATGTTTTCTTAAAACTAACTGTAAGCGTTGTTGATAAATTTTGAAGAATAAATAAATTTTTTTTACTAAATTTTGAATTTTAATTTTTTAAAACTTTTATTAAGATTTATATACCTATTTATATTAATTTTAGATGGATTAATATTTGTTATAAATTTCAGCTGATAGAAATTCTTACTAATTTTAGAATGACCTTCCTATCATATGTTAATTTTTTTTTTTTTTTTAAATTATCAATGAAACTATTAATTTCAAAAATTTGTCGGCAATAGTTTGTTATCTACGTAACTACTCAATGTGTCAATTCTGTCAAAAACCTTAGCGATGCAATAACTTGAATAAAGTTACTTAAAAAAGTGACAAACAGAGATAAGCATAACTATTATCTTATAGTTTTTATCTCTTTAATTTTTATATTTTTATATCTGTCGTTGAGCAACCAACCCAATTTTGGGTTTACGACTACTAATGTTCAACTTCATAGCCTTGTAATTTTGAACCTATCCTGAACACAAGGAAACTCCTGGATAAGTACCACCAGAAGTATTTATTAGTTATGGGAACATGGAGGACTTTGCGACGTGACAGATTTAACATGCACCAGTCACCATTTACTACATGGGGAGTCTTCGGTCGGTATCGAGTATCTCTTTAATTGTCATTATTGTTAATTATTAGCCCTAGTAGCAGTGTTTTAGATAGGTCTGTCATTTAGATATTTTCTGTAAAGTTTTTAGGCTAGGCTGAACTAAGATTTTCCAAAAACTGAAGACAAAATTCCTGGCTCTCTTCCTCAAAAAAAAAATTAATGAAATTTAGAAAACATTTTTAAAAAGTTCTTTTTTTTCTAAACAGTTATTTGCACTTGAGAAATTTTTTTTCTAATTCTTCAGATGAGCTTTTTGTAACAAATTTCTTTGCATAATTTTTTTTCTTCCTTATTATATTTAGTAGTGAGGCATAAAGGTTATTTTTCTTTGTGCTATGCAACTAAATCTAGTCTGTGTTATATAGTTGTCTAAACATAAAAACAAAAAGATGAATAAAAGTACTACCTCTTTTTCATCATTTGAGTAACGTTCTGTATGTAGGCTAATTTTAAATTATTGTAATGGTCTACCTGTTTGACTGTAATGTATTATGTGTTCAAATACAAAAGAGTCATTACAAAAGAGATCAGGATTAATAAGTTGCTGGCCAATACTCAATTATTTCATGTTTTTGGACTTGGTCGAATATCCTAGTATAATTTTAACTGTTTTGCATTTTGAACCATAACACACTAGGTATGATGAGGCGCTAAAACTAACTCTAATAATTTTGTTTTAGCCTACCAAATGTATGGATAATTTTTATGAAAAATTCTAAAATCACTTACTTTATTTTTTAGAAACATTGTACATTTATTCTTGTTGATACTTTTATTATTTATGTTGTTATATCATAATCTTTGTAATTTCTGTAAACAGTGCATAGTTTGTGTCATTTACATAATCTTAGTAATCATTTTAAAATGAAATAAATATAATAGTTTAAATAGTAAGGACAAGTGAGAAGTGTGAATTTGTATATTAGTACAGGGAAACCTGTCCAGTTGAGTCAACCTCTTATATGGGGTACCAAATTTATCCCATATAATAAAAATAACCAAAACCATTTTAACCTGACCACCGATCTATGCATCAATCTTGTATGTTGACCACAAATATAAGTTAAATTTGTCTGGGGTTGCTATTGAATGCTATTTTATAAACCTTTATAAGTTGAATGAAGAAAAAAGTTTTCCTCGGAAAATTTGCTGTATTTTAACTGTTAAAATTTTATTGAATGAGTAAAATTTTATTAAAAACTAGTTTACAATATAAGAAATTAATAAAAGCTTTTGTAACAAAATGATTTGTAAATATAACTAAATAAATTTTATTATTAAACTGGCATGAACTAACTAAATATCCATATTTATTTTTTTTAGCCAATCAGTTCATCAAATCAAAGTGGAAAACTGTAATTCATTCTTAATTTTATCTCATTTCTCTAGGCATTTGAAGTATTTACTAAATAAAATTTTAAAATCATCTTAAAAAGGTTTAATTAAATTTATTTTCATTTGTAAATGTATGAGAAAGTTTAACAATATGATTTAACAAAATAACATGATACACAAAACAATAATAAAAAATGCTGACTCAAAATCCTCTTATAGGTTGACTAACCTGTTTAAGTTGACACTAAAGTAAAGAACTGTACGTGGTCAACTTAGACAGATTTATAAACTTATTTAACCATTAGTCTTTTCAGCATTAAGTTAAAATTCAAAATGAAAGTTTACCTTTCTATATATGCTTGTTTATTTTTCAGGAAGATTATTTTCCTAAAGCTGTGTCTGAGATGACTGGTCTAAGATGGCTTAAATTGAATAAAACAAAAGTTGATTGGATTCCTGATGAATTATGCAACTTACAAAAACTCGTAATTATATATTATTATCCCTTTCATTTTCTTGTATTGAAACAATGGTGTTTAGACGAAGGGATATTTATCATTCTTATTTATTTACATTTTTAAAATTTTTTTAGGAAGTATTGTCTTTAGTTCGTAATAATTTGGTCACCATTCATGGAGAAGTTTCAACTTTACCCTGTCTTCGTTATGTCAACTGCCGTTTTAATAAACTGAAGAACTCTGGAATTCCATCTGATTTATTTGAACTTGAAGATTTAGCTGTTGTTGTAAGTTTTTGCTTATTAATTGTAAATTTGATTTATCAATATAGATGTCATTTTTTTGATTTACTAATTATAATTTTGTTCTAATTATTCTTCTGTTCTTTGATAGGATTTCAGTCATAATTGTTTAAAAGAAGTTCCTAGAGATTTAGATCATGCAAAAAGCCTACTTGTTCTTAATTTAAGTCATAATGCGTAAGTAACCTTTTTAATGGCTCTGTTGTTTAATTTATTTATGTACTTAATAATAATTTATAGGTTACATTTTTTTTTATTTAATTAAAGAATCTTTATCTTTTAAAATTAAATAGTTATTATTTTCTCTATTTATACAGTTAAGCTGTATTTTTTTATTTTTTTTTTTCATTTATATTACTAGGACTAAGACAAAGGTTGTATTCAGTTTTGCACATTTGTAAACGTGGTGCTGATTAGAAAATCACTCTGTCTGTGACCTTGTTATTGAATTTATATGTTAATATTTACTTGTATGTATAATGTAGTAATTTAAAGAAAAAATGAATCCAATTCTTATTTTTTTTTCAAACAACAAAATAATTATCATAATTTTATTTCATAATTTGTTGTATTTTTACCTAAAAGTAGACCATTAATATGCAATTTCAAATACTCAACAAGATTTTTTTTTTATTCTTCCTATAGAATTGAAAATGTACCTAACCAATTATTTGTAAACCTCACAGATCTACTGCATTTGGATTTAAGTAATAACAAATTAGGTAAGATTTTTATATGGAATATATCTTGGAATATTTTTGGAATATATCATGGAATATATTTTTAAACAATATAAATAAATTTATTTTTGCTTAATTGTCTTATATTTTTGCATTTCAAGCTACTTTAAAAGTGTCATTAATAGCATTGAGATATTTTTTAAAATAAACTTTTATTTATTTTATTTTTATTTACTTTGCTTTTTTAAATCGGTGCAACTAACTCACTAAAAATAGCAACAAAGAAAATAAGCATTTTATAGCATTGTTAAAAATAGAACATCTTTTTGAAAGTGAATATCCCTTATTTTTGCTTTGAACTTGATTTATAATAAATATTAAGCATTACCTATGATATGGCTGTTCAAATTTTCCTCTTTTACTGAACTATTGCAAAAGTGATTAAAATATTGGGGAAGTTAAGAAATTGTTGATAGAATGTTGCTGTTTTTTCTGGATTATATAGCAATTTTAAACACCAGATAGTATTGCTCAGTAATTTTAATGTAAACTGAAATTAAATAAGAATTTAAAAAATTGGAAAATTGTGAAATTAAGGAAGCATAACATGCTTAAACTTTTTTAAATTTTAAAAATTGCCTCTCTACAAATCACTTATATTTTATCAAATGTATTGCTTTGGTTTTGTTTGTTAATGTCACCCTAGAGCAGTGTTCCTTAATCTTTTTGATATAATGGACCCCTTTTAAAAATTTTTAAGAAGTCACGGACCACCCCCCTGTGAAAAAAATAATTGCAAAAAAAGTCAATTGTTAGAAAACATTTAATTTTGTTATTTTAATAGTATACAAATTTTTAAAATTAAAATTTTTAATGTGAAGGTTGCTGCTGCTTTTCCTTACTTAACAAATTGAATTGGGGGATTGTTTTCAACAAAGCAAACGGGCATATCATGTCCAACATTCAATCGATTTCGATGTTATATGTTTTTATTGCCACAATTGTGGAAAATCCCGCTTCGCAAAGATACACTGTAGCAAACGGAAATATAGCTGCCATAACTCGCTTTACAAGCAATGGGTAGGCTTCCAAACGTTTTAAAAATTAGGAGTAATCAGCGGACCCCCAAAATATAACTCATGGACCCCTTAGGGGTTCATGAANAAAAATTAGGGGCAGTCGGTGGACCCCCAAAATATGACCCATGGACCCCTAAGGGGTCCATGAACCACAGGTTAAGAAACCCTGCCTTAGGGGTTCATGAACCACAGGTTAAGAAACCCTGCCCTAGAGCTACACTTATATCAGATGTATAGCATTAGGCTGATTATTTTGTCATTAGTAGAGTTGTGTGTGTGGACCATAGAATAGCCTTTTTTTTTTAGTGTTGTGAATGATCTACATATTGACCAATTTATGTTCTCTAAACTGTATTTCTGAAATACTACTTGCATTTTGTGTCTTTTTTATTTAGAAATTAAATTCCCATTGATCATCAAATATTACTTATAAACTAAATTTTTTCTTTTAATTCTTGCGAACAGTTTAGGCTATATTTGTTTAAAAATATTCAAATATATTTTTCCAATAAATTAGTTCAATATTATTTAAAAATTTTTAGAGATATGAGGTTAGGTTTGCAATAAATATTTATTGACATAAAATAAATTTATGAAAATGTCTATTTTGTAAATAACAGGAGTAAGTAAGAGTACAAAATATATTTGAAGATATAATAAGAGCAATATTTTTAAAATTCCTTTAAAACTACTTTTATATTTTAAGATTCATGTTCATTTTAAATTGAGTTGTCATTTGAAACTTTTTCTAGGTTAAATTCTGTTAATTTGGATGTTTATATTATATAGGTGTCTTAAGTTCAACAAGAGTAGTTTTTAATTTTTAGTGATCTTTTTTTTTTCCTTGTTTTAATTTTATATTTATTTCTTTTTTTTCCTCTTTTTTTTCAGAATCTCTCCCTCCTCAAATGCGCAGACTTGTTAATTTACAGACTTTAAACTTAAATAATAATCCATTAGGTCATAATCAATTTAGGTTTGTATCAATATAAATTTTTTTAAATAGAAAAATTTTGTTAATAAATTATTTTTTTTACTTTATAATTTGGTGTTATGTGTTTTAGGCAATTACCAGCTCTAGTTGCTCTGCAAACTCTACACTTAGCAAACACACAAAGGAGTTTATCAAATATACCCACTTCCTTGGATGGCTTAACTAATCTACAAGGTATTTCACTTCCACAAATTATTATTACGAATCGAACACTGTTTACCCAGATATTGAGTAACCTAACTGTCCAATTAATTGGATTGACCAAGGAATATGCATTTATTTTCTGCCTTGTTCAACAAAAAATTTTTTCTTTGAAAACTAAAAATTTTCAGATTTGTTGAAAGAGTTCAGAAAATTGCTTATACTATCTGTATGTTCTAAGAAGATCTGCCTGCGTTCAAAGAGCGTGGGTCATATTACTGGGAACCAATTTTACCAACAAAGAAATGAATATTTTCTTTTTCCAAGAAGTTGCTCCCCCAGTTGCATTTGCTTTTAAAACACTGAGAATACACATACTATTTTTTTAGTAATTTTAGTTGTAATTTAATTATAATTTTGTTGTTGAAATAATTTTTGTTCGGAGCTGTTTTTAAGCTTTCTGGACTTGTTTTGTTTTAAAAAATGTCGGAAAAATAGAAAAGTGTCATGTAATCCGTACATTTAGGAATTGTTATTTTCAAAAGATTGAAGAAAAATGGAAATAGAAATAACATAGCACTTGAATAGGACATAAGCCTATCAATTGTATAAAATATTTTTTTAAAAAAACCAGTTATTGAAATTTAAACTTAGTTTTAATTCTGAATAAAGAAGCAATATAATGCTAAAATATGCACTACTATAGTTTCCAGTCCTGGAAACAGTTAGAAAGGGAAGTTACCAAAATAAATTTGCTTTAGCCATTTTTTAAATTGTCTGATTATCTGTTGACCTGATGGTCTTTTTTCCAAATGATCCACTCTTAATTGTATTATCATTTTAAAACAAAATTATTATTTTAGACTGATTAAATACATAACAGAATTTCTTTAATAATATTGCAGATTGTTATTCCAGTGACATAAACAAATTTAACATTTATTTCTTTAGAATCTTTTCTAATAAAAGAGTTAATACATCTTGTCAATTGCAGTATCTCTTATCTGCATGGGAGAAAAAACAATGAAATGTTAAGGCAATTTGAACTTTCAATTTAAAGTTGAAACTGTAAATTATTTTGCATTAAAGTTTGATGCAGTTGGTAAAATTTTATTTCCACAAAAACAAGCTTCTTTCAAGACAAAAGATAAAAATGTTGTATTCTAAGAAAAAGTATTTTCAAATAAAAAGTAATGAAATTAATATTTTGTTTTAAAGGGTAAAAAATATTTTTTATTAAATGCTATATCTATTAAAATTAATTCTAAAAGATGGTTATCTATAAAAAAAATTAGCTTTTATTAAAAAATGCTTTATATTTCAGTTAAAGTTAATCTTTTAGAATATAATTTTAATAGCTTTTAATTAGATCTAATATAATTTTAATTAGATCTAATAATTTTAATAGCTTTTTTTTCTTCTTTCTAACCATTGTTAGATTTTTGAGTTGAATACAAATTAGTTACTTAAAGTTTGAGTGAGGTAAAAGACTATTGTAACTAAAACCTATAATTCTTTTATTTTTTCGAATTTTCATTATTCTTAAAAATGTCTGTTTTATGAGTTCACTAAAGAGATGACAACTACTAAAATACAAATTAAATTGGAAATTTTTGAGCAAAAAATTTGAAGTTAATTTATACAATACACATGCCAGAAATAGTAACCAGATAATATTTGAATTTAAATTGCACATATTTTTAATATGTATGCTTTAGATGTTGACAAAATAATGATTCTAGATAAGAAATATTCAAGCTGTTTTGTAAAATAGGTTTTACTCAATTATAGCCAAAAGTAACTATAATAATTTTTTTTAAATCTTAATACTGATACAAGGCACTCTTAGCTAAATATTTCTTACTTTTAATTTTATAATTAATGTTTTGTAGTTGAATCTAAGTATTGTAACATGACTAATTTCAATTTTTTCAAATTTTAGATGTTGATTTATCACAAAATAGTTTACCTAGAGTTCCAGATGCTTTATACACTCTTCCAAATTTGAAGCGTTTGAATTTAAGTGAAAATTGCCTCATAGATATTTCACCTGATGTTGGAGGTAATATATTCTCATCTTTATGCTTATATTTTTCTAATATGGTATAACTTCTAAAATGTGGACTTTTTAAATCGGAAAATCTCTTTAACCTTGACAATGTTTTTTCAACTTGGGCCTGGAAGAAGAGATTTGCATGTCATAATAATATTGCCTCAAATAAAGTGATTTTAAAACTACATGGAAATTCATAGCCATAACTGGTGAAAAAGCAATCAAGAAAATTATCTACCTAAATTTGCAACAGAATTATCCCAGATCAAGGTTGGCATTTTATCTGGTAAAAACCTATTCCTTCCAGGACACTGTCAATAAAGAGTAAAAAACTTTATTGAATGGAAAGAACTAAAATTGATCAATGCAACTGTTTAAGAATAACATATAAATTAATAGTTCAAATTTAAAACAAATAAAATTTAGTATGGTACAAAAGAGAAAAAAGTACACTTATAATATTTTTAATTTACTGAATATTCTTTTTAAAGATACAATTATATAAAATAAAAATACTACTTGGTAAAATATTAATTCAAAAATCATTACTTTATAAAGAAAATTTTATTTGTTAATTTTTTATTGCTTTTTTTCAAGCCTATGTATTTTATAGTACTTTTAAATATTAATTTTATTTAAAACTTTTCGTCTTTCTAAAAATAAAAAAAACTGATTTACTTAATTGTAAAAATATAACTAGTTTTACTCCACTGTAAAGTTTTAAAAATGTTAGGAAAATGTTTTTTTGATTTAGCATTCATAATTGAAAACTTACGATTTATTTTTTAAAATAAAACTATTTCTTGCATAACAGCATTTTTTAAATTAAATTATTTCCTACTCAATAGTATTTTCAAAATAAAACTAGTAAGTTTTGACAAGATTTTCAGCTTAAATATAAAAAAGCCGTTAATCCGTAGCAAGAACTGCTGAGAAAATAGCTAAAAAACCACTTCAATTTACCATGAAATTTGAATGCATTAAAAAAATTACTCAAAAACATGATTCCAAGTTCTTGTGCTGTAGTAGTTTTCAATTGGATTTTAGTTAGGATAACCTAATAATTTTTAATTAGGATTTTAAAATCTATTTGGAAATCTGTTTTAATAACCATCAAAAAAGTAAATGAAAAACTGTGAATTAATCAGCATGACTTCACAAATCAAACTCATCAACAAAGGAAATGGTGTGTCCAAAATTCGTGTGCATCATATTAAAATATTGAAATTTTAAAGAATCTGCTGAAAGTAAATTTAAAAGTTGACTTTGCCTGAGGTCCTGCAAGGTCTAGTGATGACCCTGTCTGTTTCTAGCATTTTTATTAAATGTTTATGTCCCAAAAATGATGTAAATATATATTTTTCAAACTAATAGTTTAGTTGCAATGAAATTTAATTTATTTATTTTAGATTTATGGAAAAATTTAGAAACATTGAATCTTTCCAGAAACAAGCTAAAAGCTTTACCTGTAAGTTTTTAATTTTTTTATTAGCTTTAAAGTAAACCTGTATCAATAAAATAATTAGTTTTTACACTTACAATAAGATCTCTTGCTTTCTTATTTTTTTAGATTTTTCTCTAAAGTTGTTCCCTTCTTTTATATTAAGTTTTGTTTTCAAAATATAATATTGTTTGAACATGATACATAGAACAATCACCAATTTAATTCATAATTGATTAATTTACTTTTTTAAAAAACAATAATGAAAGCAAAGAAATTAACTCCAAATGTTTACCATTGAGTTTGCTGTTTTAGTTTTTTTCTTCATATTTTCATAAATTAATTTGGTAGTAATTTAATTAAATTATTAATTCAGAAACTGTTATATCTTGATATAACACTTGAAATGGTCATTTTCAGATCAAAAATTGTTAAAAAAAATTTTTGTTTTATTTATTCATATATTTTATTTCTTATTCAGTTTATTTATTATACATATTTCTAATTTTAAGAAAAAAATTGATTACAAAAATCTAATAAGAGCTTCTGTTCAATTGATCGATATAATCAAACTTTCTCTAACTATCTGCTTCATAACAAATCTCCTGTATGATTTTTATTCTGAACTCATTAAAAGTATAATTTTTAAGTCGCAATTACTTCGCTAATGACATACTAATTACATAATTATGTATTTAATTTTATAAATAACAGTTGAAATGAATACATTTTCTGCATTTTACTATTCGATGCACTTTTTTCTTATTACATCTTTCTCATTACTTTACTATGTCTTCAGTTTTCTGATATTTCTGTAAATAAGTAAATGATAGTTATATAATTTCATATTATAAATTTAGTTCTTTTTATGGAGTAAAGCATTTTACCTACTACATGCTTACTTTTTATCTTATTTAACTTTGAATGATATTATTTAAAAAATGGAATTAAATACTATTTTTTTATCGGAATTTTATTCCAAAAACAAATATTGTTATATTGATTTCAGGCTACCATTTGTAAACTTTCAAAATTAAGAAGATTATATATAAATGACAATCAATTTGATTTTGATGGAATACCAGCTGGAATTGGAAAGCTGTATAGCTTAGAAGTTTTTATGGCTTCTAACAATCAACTTGAAATGATACCTGAAGGAGTTGTACGGTAAGGCATCTTACAAAAAATTCCAAATTATGCTCTAAGTATGTATTTCTCATAATCATCAAGAGTTGTTATAATTGCGTAATTATATAGTTATTTACTATTCTTTAAAAAAAAAATCTAATCAACTTAAGACATGATTTTTTAACAACGTGCAATAAAAATTATTACAATCTAGGGTTTTTAAAATATTATTTCTTTCGAAAATTTACTCCATGAATACAAAAATATAATAACCACTTTTCTTCTAATTAAATTGTTGCTTATAAAACTTATAATAATTCTTTATTATTTTTCTTTTGGAAAAGTGTTAATTTTGATATCTTATTTACTAATAAATTTAGAGTAATATGGTACTTTTTTTCCTAATACTGAAGTCATGAAAATTTTCAGTTACTTTTACTTAAATTTTACCTCCTTTCTTCATCCTTAGTTTTATAAAAAGTCTTAACCTTGAGTGCAGAACTAATTATATAAACAAAGTTAAAGTTATAATGGAGTTTGAGATATGTATGCAATATAATATTATACATATTTGAAATTAAATTTTCGTTTTAACATTTTTTAGTTAAATATAATAAGGAAAAGACAATACGGAGTTTATAATAATAAAAATTCTGCTTTCATATGATAGGTGGTTGAGTTCTTTTACTTTCCTTAAAATGTAAGATATACTAAACTGCTAAATGCATTTTTTAATTTAAATTTTATCAGTTGCTAAAATTTTTATATTGTATAGTATGGTTGCATAAAGCTTCACGACCAATTACTCTATATTCCTTAAGATAAAGCTGTAACAGAGTTGGAAATATGTATGCAGTATAATATGCATGTTTGAAATTAAATTTTGTGTTAACTTTTAAACTATAATAAGGCAAAGACAATAAGAAATAAATAGTTAAAAAAAAAACTACATTTTTGCTATTATAGGATAGGTGACTGAGTTATTACTTTCATTAAAATGGAAGATACACTAAATTCTTTAACATTATATAGTATGGTTACATAAAACTTCAGACCAAATAATTATTCTTCATTCCTTAGTATTTATAGTATGTGATATTTTACATACTTCATTTCTTATGCTATATTCAAAACAATATGTTTAAAAACTTTGTAAAAGGTCTAGCCCTGTCAAAAGCTCCCTTGTTCTGACATTACATTGAGTAATGAAGCGTCAATTACTATATTAGATAAAAGGGTATTTGATGTGATTTCTTTTTATCACTGTAAATATAAAAGTTTACATTCTTTGAGATAGAACTGGTTTGTAATAATTTTCATTGATGTTTTACCCTACAGTTGTGGCCGATTGAAGAAGCTTGTGCTATCCAATAATCGACTTATCACTCTGCCTGAAGCAATTCATCTTTTGACTGACAATGTAGTTTTAGATTTGCATGGAAATCCTGATCTTATCATGCCACCTAAGCCTGATGAACTAATTTTGGGCAGTGGATCAGAATATTATAATATTGATTTTTCACTGGCAACTCAATTGAGATTAGCTGGAGCGACATCTAATAATCCAGTTACTGCTCCTGGTAATAATGATTTGTTAAATTTTAACTCGCAAAGAAGGTACTAGAAGTGTCACCCTCAAATCAAGCTGAATTTTATATTTTTTTAAAAAAATGTTTATAAAAATTTTATTTTTAGTTGCAGAAACACTAATTATTGAAAATGTAAATTTGGGAGGAAATGATTGTTCAGAATTGTAAAAATTTCTTCAAATTACAAATACAGTTAGGGGAATCATTTACAAGATACATTAAAGTTTAAAAATAAAATACAAAGGATTTCTTGTTAGTACTCTGCTAAGCAAATAATTTCAATTTATTTACTTCATTTTATTGTTAGTTAAAAAAGAAATAATGAAGATTAAAGAGTAATGTAAAATGAAGAGTTATGCCAAAACTTTAATGTATTATTAAAAACAATAGAATTTAAAAAAAATTTTTAAAATTTGATCTTTTAGTGATTACGGGGTTGAACTTTGACTGTTACTTTTAGATTTTAAGCTTGTAGTTTTCAAATTTTTAGAATAACATTTTCTATTTGTCTAATTATCTTTATAAAATATAATATATTCTGATACTTTAGCATTCTTTCCCAGTGAAGTTTCCCAATGACTCTCGTAAGTGTTATAGGAAAAACAAAAATTCACAGTTATATTTTTCATATCCCACCAACACAGGATAATTCAGGACTTCTTACAAGGATTCTGTTTTTGGAATTTTGTAGAATTTAGGAAAAAATATTTTTTCCAAATCTAAACATAATAAAAATATATAATTTTAAAGAAAATTACATTTAAAAAGTATGAAATTTAAAAAAATACAAACAAATTAAAGGAGTAAGCACTCTTGAAATTGAAAAATGATCACTTTGAAGTCTTATTACAAATCAAATCTTTCAATGTGTGTTAGTCAGTAATTCACTTGAAATATATATTTGCTTACATATGAAAATTTCCTTCTGTATGTAAGAATGCATACAGAATAGAATAGAAATCGTACAGTTTTTAAAAACTTTTATTTTACAAGTCTAGATTTTGCGTTTTATTATTATTATTGGAATTTTTGTGAAATGTCCTTTTTAGAAGATTGTTTTTTTGTGAAGGATTCCTTTTTATACCTTGAGTTTTTGTAAAGGGTTCCTAAATGGGCTTAATTTCCTTCTAAATTAACCAACGGCAAGTTTAGTGAGTGCATTGGCATAATGTAAAATAAAATTAAATAACTCTTAAAAATGTAATGCTATAATACAGTCATATAATTCTGTGACAAATAAAGAAGTTCAGATCAATGCTTTGGTTTTGTACAATTCTGTTACTGACGTATTTTATGAGTGCTAAAATTTATCAATCATAATTTACTATTTTTAAACTTAAAACTTCTGCTTAACTTTCAAATATGTAAAATATGCAAGTGAATTTCTTTATTTATATTTTTAAAGCACATAGCAAGGATCCTATTGCCCGAAAGCAGAGATTACGAAGAAAGAAAGAAGATGAAGTTGATAGTGATCAAGCTAAAGTCTTAAAGGGAATGAGTGATCTAGCTAAAGACAAAAATAAAGACATGGCTTTGGATGATAAAAATGTTTCTTTGAAGTAAGATATTTACACAAACTTAGATACATAAAAATGCATGTAAGAAATTTTTTTCCCCCTCCAAAGCAAATGTGTTCAATTTCTTTTTTGTTTGTTGGAATTAATATTTAGTTGTGAAAAATAAACTTAGGTTTCCATTTTTAAATTTCCATTCTTCTCTTTTTAGGTTATTAATCTCAAATAGCATTTTTGTGCATTCTTTGTAAAAATTGAACTCTGTATACATATCATTGGTACTATGCCAAATCATGAATCTACATATTTGACAATTTTATTTAAATGAATTTTTTTAACTTGTCTCCTATTTAACAACCCTATGTCAAAGACATATGATGCATGTCACATCAAGTTGCTCATAAATTGATTTTGTTTTGAACTTATAATTTTTAAATCTTGTGATACATTTGTCTCAAAAGAACTTTTCACACTTTCTTAATGGCATTTGCATAATCTATTATGTCGCCAAAATAATATTATTCAATTTCAGAATTGTGTTTGATAATTAATTTTCGTTAAGGTAAAAACTACAAAACAGAAATTTATAAATTTTGTAAGTTGTAAAGTAAGTTTTCAATTGCAATTAGTATTGAATTAAATAATATAAATTTTTTTTAATATGAAAATTGTTTTGTTGTTTCACTTTTCCTAGAGGCTAATATGTTTTTATTTAGATTAGGAAAATTTTGTATTGTAATTCAAAATTTTATTACTATAATTTTTGCATTAAATAAAACAATTACTTTAAAGAAGTTTCTACATACAATCTTTCAGACCTAAAAGATGGGATGAAGCTCTAGAAAAACCTCCTCTTGATTATAGTGATTTCTTTGATGATGAAGTTGGCCATATACCTGGTATAATAATAATTTTTTTTTCTGGTTGATGTTTCAAATTTTAAAATAAAAATTGCTAGTTTCCTCATATTTTTATTTTTTAAAAACATTTTTAAATAACTAAAGTAAAAGTAAAAGAATGTATTCTATAACAATACTAAATTACTTAGTATTATTTAATGTATGCTTTTAAATTTTTGTGTCTCATTGTGTTATTTAAAAATATTGTTAATGTTTAAATGTTTGCTTTGATAAATTATTCAAAAATGATTTTTAATTGCTTAAAAATTTAGTTGTTCATTCTTTAGAAAAATGTTGATTGATAGTAACAAATTGATGATATTTTTCAGTTTAAAAAGAAAATATCTTATGTCTATATTTAGCTCAGTTTTTTTTCCTTCTTTTTTTTAACATTAAACAGAAGAGCTTAATTTAAGTTAAGCAGTCATTACACATATAAATTGTATGATAAATCAACTCATTTTCTAATCAAGTTCTTATTTTTACCTCTGCAATAGATTTCAAATTTTTTGAAAAATTATAGTTTTTTCATTCTCTATTTAAATAATTAAAATGTGTGCCATTTTGAATTATAATCACTATTAATTTTTTTATCAATAGTTAAGATAATTTAAGTTTTTCCTCCTCTACTATATGAATTTTCTTGTTCGATTTATTTTAATTCAATGTATCGTTTTCTTTTAGGCTTATCTTGTTGGGAAATAGAAAACTTTGTTCCAAATCAAGTAGATGAAGGTACTCCTTGATTTTATGCCATTAAATAATTTTATTTTATGTTAATTTAGAATGAACTCTTATGAATGTTTCTTTATGAATTTTTTTCCGTAGCATTAATTGGAAAGTTTTATGAGGGAGACTGCTATATTATTTTAAAAACATTCCTTGATGAAAATCAGAGTTTAGATTGGCAAATTTTTTACTGGATTGGATCGCACGCAACTGTAAGAATTAAATAACATATTTTTTCTTAATTGTAATAAGGTAATTCCTCATATTTATTTATGTTTTGATTTTTCACAGTTGGACAAAAAAGCATGTGCTGCAATTCATGCTGTAAATTTACGTAATTTTTTGGGTGCTCAGTGTCGCACAATTCGTGAAGAGCAAGGAGATGAAAGTGATGAATTTTTAGATTTGTTTGGAACTGAAATTATATATATTGAAGGTGGGAGAACAGCTAGTGGATTTTTTACTATTGAAGAAGTGGTAGGTATTAAACTTTATTGAATGAATTAATCGTTGAGTATATCTTTCCTCATTATTTGTTATTACATGAGAAAAATATTAACATTGTGTATTTTTATATATTAAGCAATTATTTTTTATTTATATACTAAGCAAGCAAATGCATTGATACAGTCAAAATAGCTTGAATATGTTTGCAAAATCAGATGTTTCAGTAACATTATAAAAGATTTCTTGAACTAGTTTGAATTAGTTTGTAAAATCATGATGCTTATATTTTAGACTTTTAAAATCAGAAGGAAATGATTTGTTATTGTCTACAGCAATTCACGTGTGAAATTAAGGTTTAAAATACTTTTTTTATTATTTTTTTTCATAAAATTCAATCAGTTTACTTCACATGTATCTCTGTGTTAAAGTAAAATTTTAATTTTGGTTTGATAACTATTAAAATCAGGTTTGATAGCTAATTTATTATTTGAAATTAATAAATAAATAAATGTTTGGTATATGACACTCAAGGAATAAAAATTTTGATAGTTTAAAAATCTTAGTAATTAATTATAAATTTGAATTCAAGAATCAAAAGAAAGAAAACTACTATTTTTCATAACTTAAAAAACTGATTTTTGTTTAAATTATTTATTTAAGTTGAATTGAAGTTCATTTCTAGATTACAATTAAAACAATTCATAAACAGGAAAAACCCATTTAAGGAAAATTTGGTATATTTTGACTCAAATTAATAAAGTAATATTCATTCTTTCCTTCTAAAATATCAGTGAAATAAAGTTTTGTGAGGCTAACAAATTCTTAGATTTATTTTAATATTTTTAAGGATTCTATCTGGAAGAAGAACAGAAATCTCTATAATGAAATATCTATAAATTTTCAAATCAATTGACTTATTGGTTATTATATCCTTGATATTTCATCAATTATTTTTCTGTGTTTTGAATTAAAAACATTTATATTTGCAGGAATATATATCACGTTTATATCGATTGGAGACACATAACCGCATTTTGCATATTGAATCAGTGAGTTTACAATCATTTCTTTTAATTTTTATGAACTTTTTTACTATTACTAATGCAATGGTTTTGTTTTAAGTTTCCTCTTTGCTATGATTCTTTGGATCCTCGCTATGTCTTCCTTCTTGATGGTGGAAAAAAGATTTATATTTGGTATGGAAGAAAATCAAAGAATACAGTTCAATCAAAAGCGAGGTAATTTTTATTATTATGTAGTAATTTTTATTATGAAATTTTTGCCATTTCAAGAACTATGTCATGGTTGGTGTTATTTTAAAATACTTCTACATGCTTTTAAAATCCAACCTTAATATGACCTCATATTAGGCCAGTCTTATTTATATTAATATACTTCATCTATTTATTCAAAACTACATGTACAAATGTATAAAAAGTATCGAAAAGGACAAATATCGTGAGGAATTTTATTAAATAAAAAAATCTAAAATATTTATGTGAAATATTTTATATAAGAATCATTTAATGATACAGAACTTAATCTCCAGCCACACCCCAAGGGGTTGGGGCGATGAACTGATATAAAATCTTAAATCGAAACTTCTTTTTTTTTTAAAATTTAGATACTTCAGGAAAAAGTAATCAATTTTGATTCACAGATGGTGTTAAAATCACAAATCATTTAAAAGAAAGATATCTTGAGAAATACAAATGAGATAATGTATATTGATATTTTAAAAAAATTATCTAGGGACATCAACTTTGACCTTTAGCCTAAGCCGGCTAAGGCTATGGTGACTCCCTGGGGGTGGGGGCAGACTTTATTATCATTGAGTGTATTTTTAAACTCTGTTAATTTTAAACACTTATCGTGGTTGTCCTTTCCCCCCCCTCTCTCTTAGACTTTTAGCTGAAAAAATGAACAAAAATGAAAGAAAAAATCTCTCTGAGATATTTACTTTTTGTCAAGATCAAGAAGTACCTGAATTTTTTAAAGCTTTAGGAGTGGAAGGAGATAGTGTGCCCGATTCACCTAGTGAAAATTCTGACGATACATTTTCTTTATTTCATCCTAAACTCTATCAAGTTGGCCTTGGTATGGGCTACCTGGAGTTACCTCAAGGTAAATGTCTTTAAATTATTAATAGTGTTCTCATTGGTTCCTAAAATGGATTACATGATGATCAGATAACATAATAATTTCTTTAAAGTATTATATATTTCTTATTGTATTATCTAGATTTCATCATTAAATTTCTCTAAGCTTATAGATATTGACTTGAATGTAATCTCTACATAAAATAAACAAACTAACATTATGAAATATATTATAGTATTTTTTTAATGAGAAATAGTAACTAGAATGAAAATGTAAATTTATCAAGGATGCAAAACTGAACTTTTGCTGTATTAATTATATTATAAAACTTTAAAAAAAAAAAAAAAAGAAAAAAAATTTGATGCAAATTGAATAACTGAAAAAAATTTGAAGAAAAATATGTATAATTCCACTTTTTTCAAATGTTTTTATTTTATATTAGATTTAATCAAGCCACTTGCTTAATAGATATAATCAAGCTGATTAAAAAGAGGCATTTTACTTTGCTTTTAGGTATAGTTGCTGCCTGCTTGCTTGTGTATTCTTTTAATATGCATTGTGAATATGATTGCATTTTGTGCAACAAATCAATGATTACTTAATTTTTATGTTAGTCAAATGTTCTGTTGAAAATAAGTTTTCTTTATTTTTTGTTATAATTGATATTGATGATGTGTTTAATAGTATTATGTAAAAAGAAAACAGTTATAGTACAGCCATGGTACTGACATATATATCACAATCAAAATATTTTTGCTGCATGCTTAAACAATACATTTCATTTATTTCTCCTGGTACTAAATTACCCTGTGAATATTTTTAACCATTAAAAGGATTTTTGTAAATTTCTTGTACATTTGACTTCAATAAGTCAAACTCTTTTTAATAATTATATTAGTTTCTCTTAAAGTTTGTATACCATTTTTTTCAATTAAAGTTACTAACTAACTTAAAAATATTTTAGTGGAAATCAAGCAAAATAGATTGGAGAAAACTATTTTGGAGACCAAAAATGTGTATATTCTTGATTGTTCTTCAGATGTATTTGTTTGGTAAATATTCTTATTTCTTTTATTTATGCTTAATTATCAAAATTTTATCATTTCTTTATTTCAATTATATCGTGTGTCTGGTAATAAAATAAATGCTGTAGATAAGCTTTGTCTGTAATCTAAAAGTGAAGATTTTATTATAGTTAAAATCAGGATATGGAATTTCAGTTCTAAAGATTAACGAAATCGACTTAATTTTGTACTTAAATTTTTGCTTGTCTCTATTTTAATTTCATGAAAAAAATAAACATTTTTCAAAATATATGAAGTAAATATATGTAATATGAAGAACATTTTGATGACTGAATGTAGAACAAAAAATATTTAATGCAATAATAATAATTATAATCTTAAAGTTGCTATGTTGCCAGAAGCAATGGTTTCAAAAGTGAGTGACTCAGCATTATTTATATTTTATAAGTAGGAAAAAAAATGTGGTCGCTTCATTTCAAATCACTTCTTTGTGCCTTTTTATTGATGCAGGATCATCTTAGCATGCATAATTAAATTAAAACTCAACATTTTAAAAGATGAAAACCAGCCTAAAGTATGTGATCTTCAATGGCAAGCTAATGAGTGGAAATTATGTGTCCTGGCTGAACATTATTAGGTTGAACATTGTAAAATTTGCTTTAATTTTTTACTGATTAAAACTATCTACATTTTTAAAATAGTGTGTGGGTTCGCTTCACTATCTTTTTCTTTTATATTCTCAACAAATAACAATATAAACTTTTGTACACCTTTCATATTATTTCAATTGGTCCATAATAATATGATAAAATTTGTTAGTACATAATTCGTTATTCTAAAAATTTGAATTAAATTTATTTAAAATTATGTTCTCTAAGTTCCTTCAAAAATGACAGTTGAAGTTTTATTTTGAGTATGTTTTCAGGTTAGGACAAAAATCAACTCGTCTTGTTCGAGCTGCTGCTTTGAAGCTGTCTCAAGAATTGTGTAGTATGTTAAAAAGACCAAAGCATGCTATTGTCAGTAGAGTTTTAGAGGGGTAAATATTGTCATTGTTATTTAGATTTTATAAATATTAATATGTATTGTGAATTCAGAAATTGCAAATATTAATGCGGAATAAATTCACACATAAATGAATCAATGAATGAGAATTGTTCTTATGTATAATGTATGTCTTTTGTATATGTATAATGTTCAATGTATGAGAATTGTTTTTTAGAAACTCAAACTTATGATCCTTTTCAGAATGTCACTTAGCTCCTTCTTTCGCAAGCTCTTAAATTATCTAATGGACTGATTCATATAGTTTTTATTGATCATCTATCACTTGGTTATCCTGCATCTTCCAAATTCCATATAAACGTATTTGAAAATTGTGCTTTTAACTTAATTTAAAATTTCTAAAAAATAAAAATTGAATACTATCAAATATATTCAATTTAAACCTTTTTGAAAATATAGTACAACACTCCTTTATTAGGTTAATGTACCTCTTCTGTATGTGTTAAATTATGATTTTCCATATTGAACAGTCATTTCGATTTCAATTGTGTAATTTTTTAACTGATTATTGCAATGAAAAAGCATTACATTCGTTTTTGTATATCTTGTGATTAAAGAATTTCTGTAAGATCTATGACTAACTGAAACAACTTGCTTGAATATATTATTATAATATAGCATCTGAGAAGCAATTATTTTAAGCTTAATCTTTTTTAAATATTTTATTTCATTCTTTGCTATGCTGTATTATTTTGTTGCCCTTCGGAAGATAAGAGGAATTACTGTACTACTTTTATGTTTGTACACTTAGAGCACCTGCAAATGTCCCTTGATTATACAATAATTTCTGATATATGTGAGTGTCCACTGAAAAAGTCTTGCTGCGTTTCAAAGCACTTTAAACAAATTACATAATTTTCTTTTATATAATATTTCCGTGTTTTGTTAATGATCTAATTTTTTTCAGAACTGAACCTCAAATTTTTAAATCTAAATTTTATGGTTGGGATGATGTGATAGCTGTTGATTTTACAAGAACAGCTCAATCTGTTGCTAGAACTGGTCCAGACTTAAAAGTGAGTATTTTTATGATTACATTTTATTATCAACATTTAATAAAACTAAATAGATATCAAATTGTTCTATATTATAAAGCAGACTGGATAGCTATGTATTTTATGTATGATATACAGGCATCTGTCCAGGGCAAATTTACTGCCGTTGAGCGGTAGCTTCACAAATTCAATTTTAGGAAAAACGGTAGTTTCACAAATTCAATTTAAAGAAAAACGGTAGTTTCACAAAATACTTTTGACATATTTTTGAAAAATATTTAAATATTTTCTTATTTTACCATATATTTGTGTTGATTTTTTAATAAAATTTTTAAATTTCACAAATTATGTCTAAATTTTCACAAAATAGGTACCTCTAAAAAAGACCTAGACAGACCCCTGATATATATATATATATATATATAATACTACAATACAAACGCAAGGAACTACGTATCCATCGAAAGAAGTTCAGTCGCTTTTTCACACTACTTCATAGCAGCCTTATGTCTGAGATTGTTTTGTACTTGGTTTTATTTTTTGAAAATTTGTTTTAATTTCATTTAAGCTTCATGCAATGCCTGTCAAAAGATATTTTGATATGCTTTATTATCTACATTTTTTTTATTAAATCTTAATAGAAAACTGACCTTTTTGATACTATCTTTGCTATTGATGTATTAAATAATAATTTAGCTGGGTGCCAGGCGAAGCAAGGCAAAAATCACCATCATTGATGTCTTATCTGGTTTTTATTTCATTCTGATTGATATTTATTTTTATTATTTTAAATTCACTCAATCATTGTATTATGTAGCCCATCTTAGTATTTTAATAAATAAATAAATTTTTTTAAAAACTAAACATATTTTTAAAAAAATCTTTAAAGGTTTTCACTGACAGGTTTGAGATAGTTAACTATATTTATTTGTAACTATGCTTCTTCTTTATGCTTAGAAACTTGGTGATCATTTTGGTGCTTGGATTTTTTTTTTTTTTTTTTTTTTCTTTTTNGATACTCAGTTAATGGTTAAATACCCTTAGCTGTTATTCTGAAAATCTCAATTAGTGATTCCTTTAAATACAATATTCATTTGTGAATCAGTGTTGCTTGAATAAAGAGTTTTTTAAAACAATATTTTTTTATATTCTCTTTTAAAAGCAGTATTTAAATGTAATAATTATTCAATCAGACACTATTGCAAAAGTAATAATTTTTCAATCAAACAGTATTTTTATGTAGTACAAATTGATTCCTGTTAAAATGATTTAAAAGTTTGTTTGTTGTTGATTATAATTTGTAATTTTACTTTATTTTAGTCTTTTAAGAAAAGTGAACAATTTGACTTTACAGTCAACAGTTTTGACCATAAAACAAATGTTCTCTTAAAAATAGTGTCTGACAATTTATATTTTTATTACCCATGTAAGTAAAATTTAGTAGCTCTCTAAATTCTTTGATTTAAAAACTGTGTTTATTTTTAGAAATGGATGAGTAAGCAGGAAACAAAAGCTGATCTTTCGGCCCTCTTTATGAACAGGCAACCTCCTATGAGTAAAGAAGAAGCTGTAAGTATACTTCATATTTTTAAAATTTCTTCACTTAATTCATAAATAGCTTTTCTTCTTTATATTATGACATAAAAATGTTTTTTATGTGTGATAAATGTTTTATTCTTTTATGCTCCTTCTTAGAAAACTCTAATGGAAGAGTGGAATGAAGATTTAGAGGCCATGGAATCTTTTGTTCTAGAAGGAAAGAAATTTGTTAGATTGCCAGAAGAAGAAATCGGTATGTTACAATGAAGTTTGCAATTCTGTTAACGTAAAATATCCTCAGTATTAGACAGATCAGGAGTTAGAATCTCCTTGCCATCGGGCTAACCATGGGAGGTTTTCGTGGTTTTTCTAATGCAAATGCAGATTAATTCGATCAACAAGTCCTCTATGAAGGCTAGTTTGTCTCAATACTTGATACGGGAGTTCCCATTGTCTTCTGGGTTGCGTAGAAATTACCAGGCTACGGAGTTGAACATTGGTAGTCGTATTAGTAGTATTGGCTTATAAGATTAATAATTCTCAAAAGATAATTTGGAAAATAAGATTTTAAATAAAAATATTTTTAACTTTTTAATAACATTGATTGTTTATGTTTTAAAAAATGGTGGTAAATATTTTTTTAAAGCAATCTTTATTTCATGTACAAATTGAAATCCCTTGCAGATCTCTTTAAAAGGAATTTCTTTAGCTTTTCAAATATGAACTGTTATGAATTGATACAATTGAGCAAAAACTCAATTAGTAAATTATGAGCTAGAAACAATGCTTATAGAGCCTCAAGTTCTTATTAAAGAAAAAACACTATTTTGTTTATTTAATGCCAGTATAAGTCAGATAAAGTTTAACAAAATATCAAGCAATTAAAATTCCAATAATATGTGCCAAATTTTTGTCTCCTTATACTTCAGTTTAATTAATTTATTTAAATTGTTATATGTTTATCTCAGATTTATTTCTTCATCCTAGGTCATTTTCACAGTGAAGATTGTTATGTATTTTTGTGTCGGTATTGGGTTCCACTTGAAGTACCTGAAACAGAAGAAGGAACGGAAGAGGAAGAAGTTCAAGAAGATGGATTTCAATGTGTTGTGTATTTTTGGCAGGGAAGAGATGCTGGAAATATGGGATGGCTTACATTTACTTTTAGGTAATTGAATTTCATTTTTAATTATTTATTTTTTAATAACTTATTATCAATACAATACAGTTCAATGTGGTTAGTTGAAACTTAGTTAAGTTGAAAATTCTGTAATATTTTTACTTACTCCTAGAAGTCTGTGGACAATTTGGATCATGGAGTAGTAAATCTTATTTTTTATGTTTGAGAGAATGTATGTAATTTAGATATCTGGGCCGTTCTATTTCTAACTATCCGAATTTGTCTTTATTAGTTTATTATTTTACATTTTTATAAATTATTTGTGCACAATTTAAATCATCAAAGTCGAAAGTCACATATTCTTATAAACATTTCGATTATATCTCAATGAAATAAAAGCATTCAAAGAAGTGAATCAGTTGTTGTGGAAGTTTGAATCATCTTGAATTGGTTCTTTTGAATTTATTCAACGTTCTTTCAAAACAAATGATGGTAGTTTATCATGTAAATTTTTCTTCTCAACCATCTATTATCTTATTAAAGATTTCTCTGTTTCCTTAGATTGGATAAAACTTTTGCATTTTTTCTATTAAAACTTAAAAAATTGTTACTAATTGCAGTATTATGTTATCTTTTCTGTACATATAATTAATGCCATGGATTGCCTTTTTAGCTTGCAGAAAAAATTTGAATCTCTGTTTGGTGATAAACTTGAAGTTGTGCGAACCTATCAAGTAAGTTGATCTTAAAAAACTTTTTTTTTTATTATTTTATGTTTGTAAAATATTTTGTTCTTGAATTAAAGCAAAATATTTTAAGAAAATAGTGAAGTTTTTTATTTTTATTTTAATTATTGATTATTTTTGATTTCTTAACACCATAATTGTCGCTCACAGCAAAATGACGGAGTGAAGTTTCACTCATTATTTCTTGTGCCCATGATATTTCTGGGCAGAAGTGTTCAAAAGTAATGCAAATAAGTCCTTATTGTCATTTAATCTTGATTTTAGTAAAATGCATGCAGTGGCTTACTTATATTCTAATTAGGTGAATCAAAAATCCTAAAATTATTATTTTTTTAAATTTTTTTTATAATTTTCTTATTATTTAATATTAATTTTCTAATATTAATTTTGCAACTTTTTATGATCCTCCAATATTTTTTATAAGTTTTTTTTCTCATTTTTATTATTTTAAAAAACTTAACTCAGAGAAGTTTTCTTTCTAAAATTTCCTCTAAAATTTAAATTTTTGATTAAATTGTGCAGTGATGTTTTTACTTGAAGAGTATTTATTTTTTAATATGTGTTCTTGCATGTTTCAATCATTTGAATCACATAAAAAACTGGGTTCAAATCTCAGTGATGTTTGTTTCCTAAATTTCGATGAAAATCATACTTTTTGTTAAAATTGCGTAGTTATGCTTAGATTTTTTTTTTTTAAAAAAAAAAGCCCATTAGATACATTAAACCTTTACTAAGAAAATTCCTGTGTATTCTTTTACGGATCATTCTTTTATGTCTCAAAAGTGTTTCACGTGTGTATGTTTTTGTTAACTTAAAGACAGTAACTTTTACTTAAACAAAAAACAATTAAGTATTACTAAATAATCTATGCAGTGCTAAAAAGCATTACTACAGTTGCGTTAAATCAAGTTTTACTCAATATTAGTTTAGGGTTCTATTGGTTGTTTTTATATGAATCGAATAACTTTATTGATGTTATTTAATCTGGAAATAATGCTAATCTCAATTTTGTTACAGTTGTTGGTTTAATAAATGCGACAAAGATTAAATTCAATAAAATAAAGTTAAGTTTTGCCATATACTTTTCCTCATATTCATATTTATTAGTTTTTTCTATTTTAAGTAACATAACTTGTCAGGGACATTCAAAATGTTCTCTCAGAAATATTAATCTTAATGCTCACTTTACGGAGAGAAAAAAATTAATTTCTAATATTCTTAAAAAGAATAATTTCTAATTAAATTCTATTATTAATTTCTAACATAATTTAAGAAAAAATATTAATATCTTTAAAAACCACAAATCTTGATAAATTCCCATTATCTCTTCTAGTTTTTGTATCACTGTTGATAATTGTGAAGAAGTTCAAAATAATCTTAAACCTTTCTTGTTTTAAAATTTACTCAAAATATACCCCAATAGGGTTGGAACCTATTTAATTCATACAGTTTGTTGAAATAATGCTTATTATGAGTAGAAATGTAGCTCTTGATATCTGTCTATATATTGACTAGTTAATATCTGAAAATGCTGGTTTTGTTATCAACTGAATAGATTTAAACTGTTTGTATTTCAAGCTACTGCAATATTTTTTACTATTTTAAATTTTATGTGAAAGCCTGGTACTGTTTCATTTAGTTTTCGAATAGAACATGCTTGATTGAAACTTGTACTTGTTAAATTTTCTTTTGAATTCCTTATAACTTTCTCTTTCAAAGTCTAATTTTGTCTTTTTTATAATTTTTCTTAATAATAATATAGATAAATGTAATAAAGAGCATTTTCCCCCTTTAATTTGCAGCAACAAGAAAATTTGAAATTCCTTTCTCACTTTAAACAAAATTTCATCATTCATAATGGTAAGAGGAAAGATTCAAAGAAAAGCAATGCTGTTGAGATGTTTCATATTCGATCAAATGGAAGCCCAATTTGCACACGTTGCGTTCAAGTAATTATATTTTTATTTATTATTATTTAAATGAAACTGAAATTCTATATTAAATATTTTTAACAATTACTTTTTTTTTACCATTTTTAACTAAGTTGAAGAATGTAAATTAAATCCTATTCAGTATATAAATGGAATAAATTGGAAATAAAACATAAGGCTGTGGTCAGGTATATTGCCATGAGCTAATGAAAAAGCCACAATGGGAAAATGGAAATACTATATTCATATATAGTATAGAAAAAACTCAATGACCTTCTACCGTCCTGGTGTAAACCATAATAAATTAGGAGTCTTTGACTTTTTGCCACTTATTTGTACTCACACTAGAATTAATTTCAGTTTGAAGAAAGCTTGTCAGAAGTGTATATTACTTAATTTAAGTTTAGTGAATAAGTTAATTCAATAAATGATGTAATCATGAAGGCATAAATAATTCATTTACCCAATCAAAAGTTGTGTATGCCCAGGGGTGATCCAGGACTTCATGCGGCACCCTGCTTTACACCCAAAATTTGGTGGGGAAAAACCAACATAACAAGTGTAAGGAATTTTCCAACTAATTTTAGTAAGCAATTCTTAAATTTAGTGGTACTAATTAAAGGTGTCAAAAGAGTTGAATCTTTCCACTTTTTCTAGGGATATTTTCTTTGACCAAAATATGTTTAAAACAAATGTAATTCAAAGATTTATCAGAAAATAAAATATATTAGTAATTTTTCACAAAGAAAATTTTAAAAAAAACTTCTACAATTTAACTTTTTTTGAAGTTGAAATGTATAAAACTTTTATTTATAATATTCTGTATTTTTTTTTCTTTTTTTTAATTAAGATAAACTGATGTTGCTTGTATTATACAGAATAATTAAGTTAACATAAATTAGTATAAAAAAGGATTTCTGTACAATACCCTTTTTTTTTGCCGTTTTCTTTCGAGAGAGGTTTTGCACACCCTAGTGTAATGCATGTGATAGAAATGAACCTTTTAAATTATTTCTTAGTTTCTTAAAATGTTTAAAGTTTGTTTCTTGTTATTTTGCAGATTACACCTGATGCATCTATGCTAAATTCTGCATTTTGGTTAGTAGAGTTACTTAGTTTATTTAAATTCAATACTTAAAAGTGTAAATAATTTTATTCATTTCTCATAAGCTAAATAATTTATGATTTATATATTTTTTTCTAGCTACATTTTGAAAGTTCCCTTTGACAAACAAAACAATTCTGGTATTGTTTATGTGTGGATTGGTTCTAAAAGTGACGGAGATGAAGCCAAATTAACAGAAGATTTGGCAAACAAATTATATAGTACAGTAAGTGTTTTAAGTTGTTAGTTTTTTGCATCTATCATATCTTGCTTAAAATTACAATTATTATTAGATCATGATCATAAAATATTTTTTTCTGTTAAATAAGTTAATATATAAAGGAAATAAAAAAAAAATATTTTTTATCTAAATGCCAAATATTTTTTCTAACTTTTGAATTAGTTATAACAACTGTAAAAGCTTTTCATTATTCTATGAATTTGGTTATTCTATAAAGTCAGTAAATTATAGAGATTTTATGTTAATTGTCTGATTTACAGTATTAAATAAGTACTATTTCTTCATATTTTAATATTTAGATAATGATTTACTGTTGTATTTCTGGAAAAAAAATATTTATTGTAAATTACTAACAATAGCATATTTTAGCAAATAGACAACTAAATAGATTTCAAGAAAAACTTTTTACCTAAATTCTAAAATGTGGGTAAAACTCTGTAAGTTGTTTTGTTTTAAATTTTAAAAACTTTACATTGGTTGTGCAATTTTGGGTGCAATGTTTAATTGTATATTTAACTAAAAAAAACTTATTTCATTCCTGTCAATTTTCTATAAAGCAATATTTAACCTTATGAAATAATTGATAAAAAAAATTGTTAAAATTCTGTAGAAACTGATCTCAGATAATTTAAAACTTATTCTATATTCATATTTATTGTGTATAATGTTGTTGGTGTATCCTTTTTATGAGAAATCAAATCAGATATTTCATATTGTACACAGATATAGAGTATTAGTGTTTCAAATATATTCTTATGTATATTTTATGTTTCTTTAAATAATACTTTTGAATAATTTTGTAGGAAACTCATAGTATTCAAGTCTTGAATGAAGGAGAAGAACCAGAAAATTTCTTTTGGGTTGCTATCGGGGGACGCAAACCATACGATAAGGTAAATAATATATTGTGTTTTATTACATTTTTAAAAATAACTCTTATTGCTTTTACTTTATTTTGACAGTTTAGTGCATAATTAAACCAATATTAATGTTTGTTTTTTAATAGGATGCTGAATTTATGAATCATACTCGCCTGTTTCGCTGCTCAAATGAAAAGGGCTATTTCTCCATTTCTGAAAAATGTGCTGATTTTTGTCAAGATGATCTTGCCGATGATGATATTATGATACTAGATAACGGAACAGCAGTTTTTATCTGGGTTGGTGCTAAGTGCAGTGAAGTTGAAATTAAACTTGCCTACAAAAGTGCACAGGTTAGAAATTATTTAAAATAATATTTCACCTCATAATTTCTTATTTTACATTTTGTTTCTCTGATTATTATTATCTAAAAAATATCTTAATGCATATCAATTTTGATTGAGGCCGATAAAAATTATATAAAGATTTTATATAAGTACCTGTCTGCATATGTCTGTAAGTAGGCTGTCTGCATATCTGTAAAAACTGGAATATTTGAAATTCCTTAAAAAAAGTTTTCTAAACTTAAGTTATTTCATGGATTGCTTTGCTTTGTTTCATTCAATTCTTAATTTCTGTGTTTTATTCTAACAACTGTTTTGAATATTTGTAGTATATATGAGTTTTTAATTATTTCTGTTTGAAAATAATTATTTGTTTTCATTTGCAGCTCATGTTACGACTTTGAGTTCAAACAAAGGGTTGTTTAAGTTATTAAACTATGTTTGAATTATTTATGCTTTCTGTCCTTTTTTAGATTACAGTCATTTTTATTTTGCAGCAATTGAATAACAAACAGAAGTAAAAATTTAATTTCCTTTTACTTGTACAACTAAACATAATTTCTTTTTGTATTATTAGTTAATCATCTTATTCTTAACCTAACAAATACCTGAGGAAAAAAAGTCTGAGCATTGCAATGTAAAAAGTATGTCTAGAAATATGCTTTGAGTGTTATTGTTTAAAAATTTCTAGAATAATTTAGATTAAAAAAAAATACTGTTATTTTATTAAGGTAATAATACTTACTTTAAAAACAATAAGAATTTGCCATTATTGATCTGTCACAGATATTTAAAAGCTAATGTAATACTTACTGACAGATAAAACCAAAATTTTTAACGAAAAGCATCATTTCCACACTGCAATAAACTTTTGTTATACCATAACTTATATGCCATAAAGTGTTTTATTTTATTCATGTTTATATTCAAACCAACATTCAAATTTTGGTAATAAAAATATTAAACAAAATTTGTTATAGATTTTAAAGCGGAAATTTATAAGAGAATGGTGAAAATATTCCATTAATCTTATTATTAATTCTTAAAAATGTGTGCAATGATTATTAATTGTATGGAATATGTGAATTGACGTCATTGAAATGTTTTACACTATTCAAAATCTTTAGTTAACATTTTAATGCAATTTTGGTATTTTTAGTAAAAGTTTCTTGCTTTTTAATATCTGATTTACATTTTCCCCATTTATTATAGGTCTATGTGCAGAGTTTAAGAGCAAAACAACCTGATAAGCCTCGAAAACTAATGCTCACATTAAAAGGCAAAGAGTCCAAAAGGTTTACCAAATGCTTTCATGGCTGGGGAAAGCATAAGACAGTTGTAGAATAAAAATGTATAGATTATACAAGTGCATTTATTTTTAATTATATTTATAGAGTGCCAAACCGAGTGAGAAGATCTAAAACATGTACAAATTTGTATTTTAAATACACGTATATTTTTTCATTCAAAACTTTAGCAATGATTATAGTTTTTTGGGAATAAATTTAAGTGATTTATCACAGTATTTGCTCTCTAAATTACCAAACTGTGCAATGTGATACTCATGTTTTACTTAATTGGTTGGTGCTTACCTCTCCATCCATTTTGAATGTGTGTTCGTGTCAATACATAGGCTCTAAAATGTTATGTATTATTTATTTGTATTCATAAAAAGTTTTTGTAAATAAATTTGTTGTATTTGTTATTTTATAAAACAACAAACAAAGCATTTAAAGCCGTGGGGGCTCAGGAAATAGAGCCAGTGAATCCCAACAGAGGCTAGTCAGTACGAATTGTGCTCCTGGCTCACACCGACCCTATTGCTCTGTGCAATATTGTAAAATGTCCCTACTATATAATAAAATATCCTTAGTGGTAGGCATATAATGGCCTAGGGCCCCCTTGCCGTCAAGCTAACCTTGGTAGGTTTTTGTGGTTTTTTCTCTCCATGTAACATAAGTGCGTTTTAGTTCAATCAAAAAGTACTCCATGAGGGCAAATTTCTCCCATTACCTGATCCAGGAGTTTCCTTGTCTTCTGGATTGGGTTCAAAATTACAAGGCTAAAGGGTTGAACACTGGGTTGTCGTAAACTCAATATTGGGTCGGATGTGTGGCGTAACTACCACTACAAATAAATACCAATTCACTAGTATATAAGACATGCTGACTGGATTCTATCTTGAGGTACCTTTAGATAGATGAAGGTTGACATGGTCGATGAACAATTCCCAACAATGGTGACCTGCGGACGCGACATGAACTCACTAACATGATGGATGATCCACATTAAGCAGGTGATTTGCTTTTAAAAAAAATATACTGCTCAAAGAAAACTAAAAAAAATGAAAAATCCGGTGAAGTGAATAAAGTCTCCTGGTTAATAAACAAAGATTAAGAAGAAAAAAAAAAATTATGAGCGAAGTGCAATAAAAAAAATTAAGAAGGAAAAAAAAAAGAAATGCTATAAAAAATGAAAGAAAAAAAATAATGAGAAAAATGCTACAAAAATAAAAAAAATGTATAAAAAAATATAAAAATTGATTTAAATAAATAAATAGCATGAATCAACTAGTGGTATTCGTTAATCGAATTCTATCACAGATAAAATCCTGGTGGGGGAGTAATGTGGCGTAACTACCACTACAAATATTAAATACCAATTCACTAGTATATAACACATGTTAACTAGATTCTGACTTGAGGTACCTTTAGATAGGTGAAGGCTGACATAGTCGATAAATAAAATCTCGACAGATGTTAAACGATTGCTATTTAAAAAAAAAAAAAATTTTCCTGCATAAAAAAAAAATTATGTAATAAAAATAATACATAGAAAGCATAATGTTGTCGGTGAGCTTTTTACTTTGGATATAGCTCAAAATGCGTGTTGAAGAAAATGGATTTGTCTCAAAATGCATACAGTTACAAATTTTAAAAAATGGATACAGTTTGAAATGTGCCTTTGCGATGTTAAACACAAATTTTTGCAACTTAACCAGTTTCCGCTTACTTTTTTTTAAATACTATATAAACATACTCATTATGGAGCATAGACTTGGACGTCAAGGTGGCGAAGTACATTTAGTACAACATTGCAACTTTTTAGATGATCTTCTTGTATTCACATCTCTAAATGATTAACTGGCATTAAAAATTTGAATTTCTGTGAATATTTTGTTATTATGCATTTAAAAGACCATTTAAAAAGTACGCAAATAGTTATCTTTGAGAAAAGAGTAAATTATAAAAAATGTACTAAGCAATTTGTGCAAATGAATGACTTTGCTTTTGTAATTATTTTGATTTATTAATCAATTATTAAAAAAATGATATCAAACATTATGTCCATTTTCTTAAATACACATTTCGTGTTGTATTAATTTTCATTAATATGCATTTCAAGCTATGTCTATTTTCTTAAACAGACTGAGCTATGACTAAAATCAAAACGTCGAAATAATTTTCATGGATCAGTTTCTAAATATCAAATGTAACTTATTTTTAAGTGATTTTCTTTTATGCTTTGAAAACATCTAAACCACATCGCCTGTTGTTAAAATTTCATTTTCTACAAGCCAATTAATTAATGGTACATGTTGTAATTTATGCAGTTTTATGTCCATTAAAAATATCAAGCCTAACCTTGTCCTCTAATATTTTTTCAACTACCTTTTACAAACTATTATTCAACAAAATATACTACTGTTTGTTATAACTGAAGAATCAATTGAACGGTTAAGAGTATTTTTCCTGTCTTATCAATAAATCTTTTCTATAAATTGGAACGTGTATATACTACTATAACCTACACATTATTAATTACTTAATGAAGTTCGGTAAAAAACAAAGATATAAGAAACTATAAAAGAATTATTAAAATAAATATATCTAAAACTGAGCATAAATATTTCGTAAAATCATTTAGAATCATTAAATGTTGAGCTGACTGGGCAGAATTATTTTTAAACAAGCATGCATTAGAACATTTCTGACAACAAACAAAAAATTTGTTTGCAAAACAAAAACGATTTTTGCTCTAATTAGATATTTCTGTATTTTTGAATATAGTTATTTTCTTTTGAATTGGGAAATATTAAGGCAAATGTTTATAAATGCATTTTCTTTGCACAGTCAGTTCAATTATCTGAAAATAACTATATTTTTAAAAAAAAATTCTGTCATTTTACTCAAATAAAATTTTGCAACAATAATATAAATACTAAATGACTAATGGATTTTTGCTTAGATAAAATTTAATAGAGAATTGAAAAATTGTTGCCAGTTTAAAAATAAAAAAAATTTAACTCTAGGAACCCCTGATAAACTTAGAGTTCCATTCTACGGTACACGTTTTTGGGAACTGCTGTTCTATTCTATAAAATACAGCAAGTAATCTCCAAAGTTTAAACACTTGCGTATAGTTTGTCTATCTAAAGAACTCCCCTAGCCATTCGTCTGAAATAGTGGCGGTGACTATGGTTACGTGGTTTAACTATTTCAAGTAGAGGTGTTAAGTCATTATTTAAGACAATTTTTGACTCAAGTCGAAGAAAGAAAGGGAAAAAGAAGCTCTTTGAAACTTAGAAGCTCTTTGAAACTCGCTACTTCTTGTTTCCATGGCAACAGATGGCCTTAGACTTCATGGCAGGGTCGGATTGACAGTACTTTGTCGTAATTTGTTTTATTATTGGCATTATGAATAAAATATTTATTTAGAATTTTATTGAATGAATTAGTCTGAAGCTACGTAAGTGCTTCACTATTTAAATAACTATAGGGAACTGCATCTTCAGCTTGATGCAGTTTGTGTATGCATACTTTTGGTTATACATACTTTTGAGTGCACATCCTTTTGAGGATGCATACTTTTGAGTGTACAAACCTGGGTCTCATCTGCAAAAATTTTGAGACCAAAGGGCCCCTTACAAATCAGCTCTAAAAATAATACTTCAATTTCGTAATGATGAATAATGAAACAAAAGCATACTTACTATTTCGGCAATAATATTTATTTCTATTTCACATTTGAATGGCAATTTCTAATTTCTATTTTACATTTTAATATTAAACAGAAAAAAGTTAAATATATTATAAAATTTATGCATCTTTATGAACTCTAACTTAAAAAAAATCTATAAGTTTAAACTCCGTGAAACAAATTACATCATTCACAGTCAATTTTGCTTAATTAATTGGGGTACGTGCAGATCGGATACCTCCCCTTATTCCCCAATGTATTTAAAAAAATATAAAGTTAACAGATTTTATAATCTTTAATCAAAGTTAGTTAAAATCGGTAAAAGTCAAAGCAATAAATTATATTGTATTTCTTCCTATTTAAATCTTTCTTCACTTGTTCGTTTTGGTCAAGGTAATTAACGCCTTTTCAAAGAGAAAGGGAAATAGAGTTCTTACCGTGTTTCTCGGAAATCAGGACCCCCTATGCCCTAAAGGAATTGTTTAACTAATCAGATCAAATTTCCAAAAAGTTTAGGTCAAACTTCAATGGTACAATGTTTTACAACTGTTTTGGAATTTTCTCACACATATCGACGTGAGGGCAGTTATTTTGAAGACTGTTTGTATAGTATACGCGTTGGGGTCTCAACATTCTTTTAATTCCACATTTTTCATCCTTTTTCCTGGACTTATCTATTGGCCATGATTATGACTCCTGAGCAGCTAAATATTGTACTTGAGTTGAAAACAGTTTTTAAGCTGTTTTCATTGAAAATGCTTTTAATGTTTTTATTTTTGTCCTTAAATACTTATTTGGTTTTTTGACAAACATTTTAAATTCAAACATATTGAAACAGAAAATATTTAAATATGAAGTTTTCATATTTAAAAATGCTTAGATTTTTTATTGCTCGAATGAGATTTTACCTAAGCACTTTACTTAGAGTGATTTTAATAAAAATAAAATAAAAAATAAGTAGAAAAGATATTTTGCTGAGACGAAACAAATGTAAACCAATTTTAAAAAAATTGTTGAACAGTTAAAATTTTGAAAATGTCTTATGCCGTATATATTAATCCCTCTTTTCTCAGCTGTATGGGAATATATTGCGATGTTTTCCCCCTCCATAATACTTTTCGCATTTTAGTCAAAAACGCTTCTTAAAATTTCCACGATGCTTTCTTTAGAGAAAGCATAGTTCTTAATTAAGAACTATGCTTAATGCAGTCTTGAGCTATATATTTTCCTAACTTAAATTTTTTTATCTGTTTAAAACTCAAGACAGAAACTACTTTATTACCTCATCCTATGCATCCAATTCAAGCATGTAGAGTATTGCCATAGGTAGAGACTTCTGTCTTGCGCCTCCCGTAGTCCATTTCTTTCGCCATTAGGCTACGTAGGAACAACAGCGCTATCTGTACTTAGTTCAGAATATAAATCGTCAATTGATAACGAATCGTTTATTCTTTCATTTTCGTAGCGCCATCTGTGTGTAGTTTCTTTCTGGAATTTTTACTTTAAACTGTGAAAGTTTATGCAACAAATTTTAATTTAATCTTTGTTATGATTGATGTAGGAAAACGAAAACAAATACTTGAGTCTATGTATACGTGACATATTTATGACCATATTGTTTTAAGCTAATTACTTCTTGCATCCTTTTTTATGTTTATTTTATAATTTTGAACTAATATACTGAATATCTCCAAAAAGCATGAAAATGGGAGAAGATACTCCTGTTTCAGCCCTTGTGCTGCCTATACTCGTTGGGCCTATATTAGAGAAGGTATTAAATTGGCAAAAACTTATCGTTTTCAAATATACTCTTAATTAAATCATAGAAATTTATGAGAAATACTTTTGGAGACCTGTATTAAATGTCGTAAAGCTAGAAGCTTTTTATGTCGCGAAATCGCCAAGTTACGTGTACCATTCAGCAAGGGATGAACATGCTTCTTATACAATTTAAGAATTAAAGTGATCATATATGTTATTATTATTTATACCATTTATATCTACAAAAGTTATAAAAGTAAAAAACAGCTATTTACATCTCTAGTTCTGAAGCTAATCAAAATTTTAAACATCCAACTGTGTTTTGTAATACTAAATTAAAATCTGCATTACGATTAATCTATATAGACTACCTTGTATAAGTTAAGCTAACCTTATGGAATATCTTGTTTAAGTTAAGAAACTTTGTATGCGTTAATTTATTTGTGAACTGAAAGTTGAGCTGTAATTTATAAAGATATTATACTCCACTTAAATATTAAAATGAGAATCAGATATTTCATTCTAATAAATCTTGCAATATCACTGTTTATTTTATTCTAATTTTAAAATTTCTTATTAAAATTAATTGAAAAATTTGGGTATTCGAGTAGGTTTTAAAATTTATTTTTATTGTTACTTACATTGTTACTTGTTTACTGACTCTCAAATAATTTTTGCTTAACCAATTATAAGACAATATATCCTAAATATACAGTGTACACTTAGACTAAGAATTGCTCAGATGTGATGCTTAGACGAACATAAAAAATTATTTTCTTAATTATAAATATTATATCAATATCATTGAAATCTTAATTTTTTAAGATATCTATATCTTATTAACATATCAATAAACCAATTAAATTTTTTTTTGCATCAAATTGTTTCGTTATTCCTTGCTGATTTCTTTTAGAAACTTATTTAGAGATTGAAAATAAATATAATTTAATAATTTTCTTAATTTAAGAATATAATTTATAGGTAAACCTATAGGTTTACTTGAATAGAATGTAAATGATTTTCGTTATGTGTTAAAAAACTATGTGCAAAAGCAATTGTTTGATTTCTTTTTAATTTTTCAGCTTGAGAGAAAAGATATTTCTGCTGCACAGACTTTAAAAGCTGCTGTTTCAAAGGTATTTTTCATTTTATTTAACAAACATTTTCCTTTGGTAATTAATCATTAACATATTTCGGAGATGTTTTGAATGTATTTGTTATAGTTATTAGGATTCAAAATATTTATGCTTTTTATTTTTAAAATTTTTTTTAAGCTAATTATATTGCTTAATGTATACAACACATCAACAACTGTGCCGTAACTTTGTAACACGGGGCCCCGGGGCATAAATTTTTATGGGCTCCTTTAGTTTAAATATCAATTATAACCATTGTTTTGAAAAATAACAAAAGTAGTTATTAATTAAAAACATATTTTAATTACAAAAATATTTTAATAAATTTAGTATTTAATATTCTTAACTATCCAATATCATTTAATATAATTATTACAAAGGTTATTTTTTGAAGTGTGTACTGAAACTCTTTGTGTGAAGCGTGAATTTTGAAAAAATGTATTTCCCTTATTTGGGGGCCCCTGGATCATAGGGGATTAAGGGCAACGCTTGAACTGTTCCGGCATTGTTAGCTCTGATCAACAATAATTGTTTTCTTTTTTAAAATTGTTTTCAAATTATGTTAATGATCTGTGAGGTTTTCCATTTTCTCTATTTCAAAATCGCAATTTAAAGTTTCTGTTAAATCTTTTCATAAAATTTTACTTTATGATTTTATATTATCATTTGAATTTAGTTTTCTTTCCTATTAACTTTGTTCTTCTGAAAGAAATAGTCTATTGTTTTTCAATTCTTATGCATGGCAATGCCTATGATTTGTAGATTCTTTACTGCTGATTGTAATTTACTTTAACACTCTTTTAATGATATAAAATTCCTTGTTAAATTAAATGGAGTGGGTTATGATTTCATCATGATATTGATAAGAAGTAATGTGTTTTTATTCAAATATTGAGATATAGCAATATGAATGTTATCTTTTAATACTTATATAGTTAAATAAATAAAATGAACTTTTTTTTTTGTACTGATATTCTCTATTTTTTATATTTTGTTTTTTAATGTTTGTATAAAGCTTTTTCTTTTTAAAATATGCAGGTAGAAAATGTTCATCCTGGATTTTTATATGATTTAGTCATGGGTTTAGTGAAACAAGCTGATCTTTCCGTTAATATGGCAGAAAGTCTTCTAAAACTTCAAGGTTCGGTTCCTGATTGTGAAGGTATGCTATGAAGCAGGTTGTGATAATTATGCATATGCTTTAAGTAGATTTTATAATGATACCTGTTTTCAGGGTTTTATTAATATTTTTGTTATACTGAAATATGTATTCATATAATTTTTTGGTGTTTATTTTAATTGAATTTTAAAATTTATTTTATTTTATAACCGTTGCTGAACAGCCTACCCAATTTTTTGAGTTTATGGCTACTAATGTTAAACTCTGTAGCCTTGTTATTTTGACCGAATCCAAAAGACAAGGAACTCCGGGGTTAAGTATTGTCTTTAGGAAGGACTTCTTGATAGAACTAACCCGCATTTTGCGTTACATGGAGAGGAAAACCACCTACGGTTAGACTGGCAGCAAGAAGACTTTAACCCATGATCCGTCTACCAGTGAGGATATTTTACGTCAGCACTGTGGTCAGTCCAAGCTGAATGTGGAATTCGTACGAACCAGCCATTGCTGGGACTCGAACACAGTTCACCTTATTGGAAGGTGAACGCTTTATTCCCTAAGCCATCACGGCTCTGAATTTTAAATTGTCATTTCTGATTTAGACAGATCTATGTAAAAAAAAAAAGAAAAAAATGCTTTATTAAATATGTATTATATTTCTGAATCTAAGCCCACTTGTATATATGCCAGGAGTAGGACTGAGTGATTTTGGAAATTTTATATCCTGATGCATCGTCAGTTTTGCATCGCGATATAGCGATGTATCGCGATATAGTATTTTTGAAATTCATTTACTTGTAAGGTGCAGAAAGTCGGATTTCTATCAAAACTTCATACTCGGATTGATTTAGATCAATTTATGAATTTGATGTATATGTTTTGCTTAAGAAAGATATTGTTATATTTTCTAAAAATGATTGCGCAAATAACGAAAGATTTCCTAGTTTAAAAATAAATAATAAAAAAATTTACCTAACAATATAGAAAGAAAATTTAAAAAATAAGTTTGTTAAAAATTATTTGTATGCTTAAAACAAAGTGCTAAATAAATTAAACAAAAAGAAAAAACACTTTTAAAACAACGCTATTTTTTATCATTATTATTTCACATAAATAATAAAGTTAAATTGAATAATTACCGAATTCTGAACGAAAAAACAAAGTAAGGTTTAGTTTCTTAAAGTTAAAAACAAAAGAATTATGATATTCGCTAATATATTCAACTGACAATATTGAAAGAAAATTAAAAAACACGATTATACTCTTTAATAAAACGAAGTGCTAAATGATTTTAAAAAAGGAAGTCGCAATTGCGAACATTACTAAAAACCCATTAAATTATTATTTTATCCAAAAAGTTTTTAATAAATTAAAGTAAAGTAAAAAATAGCCTAACAAATTTTATTACTTTTTAATTTAATTCTTAATGGGCACCTTAAATTAGATTTCCGTTTGTAATAAATTCAATAATGTAAAATAATACTTAAACATATAATATCAAAATTAATTTTCACATTTAAAATTAAAAAAAAGTTTTGTTTCAAGAAAAAATTTACCTAATTAATTAAGAAACACTTCTTTATATATTCTTTTCAATAATGGATTACGTTCAGAACAATGTAACAACGGCGATCACAAAGTCAGTCCCACTGAAAATAATCTACAAGAAACGAATCAAGTCGCGACAAAGAAGAAAAAAAAAACTAAGAGGTGCGGAAACGAACATGCGAGATCACGATATATGTTCTCAAAATTGATTCTGATTCTACCGCTCAACAATCAAGGCCGTTTCAATATAACGATACGAACATCTCCTTCCCCAGCTCGAGTTGACATCGGAATGTAAGAGATCCTTGCGTGTCTTGTAACGCTATGTCGTATATCGCTATATCCTTCGTCTTCTTTACTCGACGGCTTAAATCAGATTTCTGATGCATCGCCTGGAACAAAAGTCGCTGTATCGGCCTGCCGATACAGGCGTTGAATCGATATGTCGCGATATATCGATTTATAGCCCAGTCCTAGCCAGGAGTAGGCTTTTTCTTTTAAAAGATATCTGAAATTCAAAATCTGTATCTAAGCTGATGTGAAGAAAAAAAATATTTGCAATCTTTTTTTGCAATTTTCGACTTTTCTTTTGGACTAACCATCCATCTAAGTTTATTTGTTTACATTTCTTAAGAAATAAAAACCTATTGAATGTTTGTTTCACTGATTTTTTGTTGTTGCTTACTTTAGTTTCTCCTATACTTCTCAATATACCAGTTTGGATCAGATCAACTATCTAAAAACAGAAGTAAATCAGACATTAACAATGAGAACTGTCTAAAGCTGAGGCATGTTTAACTTTTTCTCTTTGTTTGCTGTCTTATGAGGAAATTTTAGTGGCAAGAGAACATTTATGAAAATATATTCCTTTCTTATTTTTGATATTTTTTGGCAGTTTATTTTAATCTATAACTTTGTGTTTTGTAGGTGCTGTTCTACAATATTTAGCGATTTTATTATTTATGCTCTACCAACAGAAATTTTTTTTGTTGGTTATGTTCCTTTGAAATTTTGTTAAGTTAACAGTTTTAAAAGTTATGATCTAAGCAGACTTAAGCTTTTGAAAATTTTTTAAAAATTCTTGGCCTATGTTTTTAAATAAATTCTCTCTATATATGTGTTTATATAGCTCTATATAATTAAATTTTATATTAAACTCTCATCACTGAAAAATTTGCTATTATGACAATTCATAATAGCAAGTAGAATTGTTGTCGCAAGCATATATACATATTTAATATTAAAATAGCCAATAATTAGATAATTCAAGTTTTTTTAATTAGACTTTTAATTTTCTTTCTCTTTGACATTCTAAATTTCAATTACCTTTGAAACTAAAATTACTTAGCTATGACAAGTTTCTATAATGTAACAAATTTATATTATATATTTTGATAACACTGAATGTTGATTTTAATAATAAGTTTTCATGATGGGAAATAATGGTGTTATCAGAAATGAATTTTTGGAGATTTTTTTCAATCCTCTATTAATTTTGAGGAGTAAAATTCAAAATAGTGTACTACTTTAAAAGCGATATTACGCTTTTAAATTATTGCATTTTAAGTACGCAGTATGCTCTTCATATTGATTTGGAAAGAGAACGTATTAATTATGCAAAGTAAATATAATAACTAAAATCATTGAATGAATAGTCAAAATCTTTATTTAGCATTATTTTAAATTTTTTTTTTTGCACAATAGAATAATTAGAGCAAAGTCTCTTAAAAAAAGACACGAGCGAAAAATAATAATAAAAAAAAATTTATGACGAAGATTTTAATTTCGGGTAAAATTTTTTAAAGCCGGAAACTCGAATAAGATGTTTGAAATCTGCGACTAGATGCGTATTGGCCAGATCTGAGTGAAGTCATCAACTGTAGGCTCATTCATTTGAAGTATGCAATAGGATTCCTAAAAACAACAGAAGAATCTCTTCTATAAGGAGGAAGATATCCTGGCTGGCCGGCCATGTGGCAAATGCTTTTCTTGCGCATGGGAGTGAAAAAAAAAAAAATGCTGGAGATTTTTTGGTTCTCATTTGAGAATAATGAAAAATAAAGAGTAATGAAGTAAAAAGTTTTTTTTTTTCTGCAGAAATTTTCGTTCTATTTTTATGCAATTATTACTATTGATTTACACATGGTCTTTAAAATCAAATATTTTTAATACTGTATTATTTATTACAACAACTGAATCTCAAAATGAAAACACGCATTTAGTAACCTCTTTTTGATGAGTCCGATTTGCGTGATTTTGCTGTCTATCTTTTTTGGTAGCTACTACAACGGATCTCAAGTTTTTTTATTTTTTTACTGTTATGATGATTTACAAAAAAAAACTAGTTAGTGTCTTATCCCCCTACATAAATGCAAAAATATCGATATATTATCAGAATGAAAAAAAAATTACATATTCGATTAAAAAAGTTTTCTTTTTCTTTGAAGTTGATGCTTCTGTTACTTTAAATTAGTAACATGTATGTTTGTTATTTTCAAAGCTATCTTGCAGAAAAATATTAGTATTAAAGAGGTACATCGCAGAAAGCCCGAAAAAATTCTACCACAGGGTTGGCCGGCGATCGTCCACGCATTTGATTTTTAAACATATGGCGTTAAGCTGGTAAGCAGGCAATAAAATAAAAGATGCCCATTTAATTAAAATGTCTCTTTCAATTTGCCTTTTTAAAAAAAAATTTAATATTGCTCATTTATGTAGCAGATAGATTTCTCCTTAAAAAAACAATTGTTAAAATAGCAGAATACTAATAGTTTTTAAATCATTCAATTGCTGTCTGTACAGAAATGTGATATAACAGATAATTGATGTTTTCGTTTCAGATTATAAATCAACTCGCCATGAAGATGCATTTCAAGAGCTGAATAAAAAATCTTCTTCTTTGAAAAGAATATTAAGTCGCATACCAGATGAAATTAATGATCGAAAGACATTTTTAGAAACAATAAAGTAAGTATAATTCATTTATCTGAAAATGTTTATATTTTTATAGTTATTTAAATACAAATAATTATTTTGTAAATTAAAATATTTAAATTTTTTTTTCTGTTGTATTGAGTTTACAAACCACAAATACACAAACTACATGGAATTTTTATTTTAATAATTTATCACTTACAAATAATCTCTTAATTTCTTAGTTGGGGTTAGTCAGGTGAAAAAATCCTCCTCTTATTACGGCGTTATCTTGCTGAAATTCATCCCCCACATAGCAAGTGAGAGGTAACTGCTTTAACCAGTTATGAATAGGAAAATTTTGTTGGAATTGGTATGTCAAGTTTTTTGGAGGGAACGGTAGCAGGGTTGTAGAATGCGTCGTAATTTGCACATATTTTGGCATATTTTATTAGTAATGTCTAACACGTTATGAGAAAAAGTTATAACTTTTTTTAGCTGATTTCTGTAAATTTGTACTGAGCCAGAAAAAGATAAATCTCTAATTCGGTTGGTAGATTTAGGTTTAGATTAGACGTAGGATTTGTTTTGGGAATGTGGATGACTTTGTGACCCAACTGGTCGAGCATGCACCAGTCACCATTTACCGCACAGGGAATCTGCGGCTGATGGGGATCAAACTTAGGACCACTTGGACATGGGTCCAATGCCCTACCAACCCAGACTATCCCAGCCCTGCAGGAGATTCTTGAAGAAATGACAAGTTCGAAAGCAGTCATTGAATATAAGGGGAAGAGAATTACTGGCACAAATGCTGATCCAGCGCTGCAATGAGAGTAGTTTTTTGATCGGTACCTAAGCTGTACCGGCCACAAGCAAAGGGTTAGTTTTTCCTGCTATTATATTTCTTTGAAGAGTACAATTTACTAAGGTATGGAAGGATAAAAATTGTAATTTTATTTAGTATTATTTTAGTTTATTATTGATTAGACTTTTTCTTCTGTTGCCACAAATATTTTACATGATTGAATTATCACACAATAATTTTTTTTTACTTCATGCTTTTGTATTTCTCTCTTAAAAAATTTATGAAGCACTTATCAGGAAAAAAGTTTGTGTTTGAAAATATAAATTTGACAAAAGTTTAGTAAAGGAACTTATATTTTATTAATTATATTTTCTTTGCTTTTATCAGGTATAAAAAATTTTAAACTTTATTCCATCTAAAAAACTTTTATCTGTGGTCTAATTATTTTTTAAAATTATTTTCAAGTAAATTTACCTTTTTCATGCAGAAAGACACAACTCAGAGGGACACGGAAGATCTTTGTTTTGTTGTTCATTTCTTATCCTCAGAACATCATATAATTTGTATTTTTATTTGGAGTTTGTTTCAGTTCAATCTTATTTTGTTGCAAAACTCATTTAGCTGTTAAGCCTAAACCAAGCAACCAATTTCCATTAATTTTGTAAGGCTTAAAAGGAATCAGTCCTAAGTGATGAAACCATCATAAAATATTGAATTACTGCCCTCTTCAGACTTATAGGATTTTTTAATATGGCAGACATAATAGCTTTTAAAATTGGTAATGAAGTGATTTATAATGCACTCACTTTATTTGTCTTTTCCATAATTATTTTTTAAATGACATTATTAGTGTTTTGTTAACAGATACTTTTTTATTTTTTCTTGTAGAGAAATTGCAAGTGCCATAAAAAAACTACTTGATGCTGTTAATGAAGTTTCGGGATATATTCCATCACAGACTGGAAAACAAGTAATTTACCTGTTTTTTTTTTTAAAAAAACTTTTTATTTGGTAATATTTTTCTACATGTCTTAATATTCGTGGGTAATTTTAGGTTATTAATGCAATCCTGATGTTTTGTTGAAAGTTCTAAGAGTTAGTATTTGGCATATTTAAAAGTTTCCTTCCACCATTAGTGCATTCTAGATGACTTCAAATTTTTTTTTTTTTTTTTTTTTTTTTTTTTTTTTTTTTTTTTTTTTTTTTTGTAGAGAAACAAGACAGCTTGAATTTTACATGCTTAACTTAGTTTATTTATTTTATGTGCTGAAATCAAAATAAAGTATAACAGATTCTCCATTGTTCAACTTTTCAATAAACCCATTTTTCCTGTATGAAAAGAAAAAAAAGAAATCAGTGTACTTAAATAGCAATGACCAATAAAATACACAACCCATGAAAAAATAATTGCATGTACCTTGCAAAGCCCCTTAACAATAAATAACTCTGGTTCACTAAATTTGGATGCGATCCATACAATTGTTTACTGCCTAACATAAGTTTAATTCAGAAAGGGCCAAAAAATGCTTAAGAACGTAATGTCATGTCACAGATTACACTCATAAGATAAAAAATCCATTATAGGAGGTAGTTGTGTATTAGAAAGCTGTGTGGGTCATTGAGCATTTTTCATTTAAATATATTGCATTTAAATTTAAAAGTTGCTTCTATTTATTCATTAAATAGCATGCTTTTGAAATTAATTCAAATTTTCTATAGTGCAGTTTAGGTTCAGTCTCGATTACTTAATTATGGAAACTCTATTATAATTGAATATTTAGAAATACTTAATAGCCTAGCTACATATGCTCTAAGTGGATTGGCTGTTTATTGATTTACAAAACAGTGATTTGAAAAATGCAATATCCATATTGTAATTCTGAGTTTGGTGACATATTATTTAGGAAATGATGTGAAAGTTTCTTTTTGTCTCAGTTTTAGTACTTTTCAGTAAAATGCGGCTTTGGTCATATAATGTTTAATGCTAAAAGGGAGAAAATGAGAACAATATTAAAAGGACTATAACTTAAAAAAGTGTGAAAAAAGAACCCAACTATTATTTTACACTAACTAATAGGTCATGTAAACTATAAGTTAACATAAACAATATAGTTTATGGGGAAACTTTAGATATAAATTTATATTACAAATATCTCAAAAAGTGGTACTCAGTTTTATAAACTTTTTTGTTTGATTTAGTGGACAATGAGTAGTTGACTTATTTTAGTATTGAAATTTTTTTCATTAAACCTTATAGTTTTGATTTTATGTTATTAATAATATTAATTCTTTAAATAAAAAAACCCCCACTCTTTATAAGATTTTAGTAAAATAAAATATAAAATATTAAGTAAAATTTCATCACAATCTCTCCATTATTTACTGAGACTTTTATTGCAGAGAAATCAAAATATTAAGTGGAAATTGGTATTCAAGCCAAAAAAAAAAAAAAAAAAAAAAAAAAAAAAAAAAAAAAAAAAAAAAAAAAAAAAAAAAAAAAAAAAAAAAAATNAAAGAAAGGTTTGCCTATATTTTTCTGAAAATAAATCACTTCAACTTTCTCAAAATTTTTATTATATGGCAAGTTTTTTGTTTTAAATACTTGATTTTTTTCTTAAAATTTCAGCTTATTTTTATATGCAGCAACCTTCCATATTTTTCATGATTTTTAAACACTTTAATTTTTTTCTTATTTTTATATCTTTTAAAGTTTTAGCTTAAAAACACTTTTCTTTTTGTAAAATTTCAAAAATAATAGAATGCTGTTTAACAGCTTAAAAAGGCAAAAAAATTTGGACTTGGAATCTTATCATTAAATTGTCGTAAAATTTTTTGACGGAATTCTAATCCCTAAACTGTTATTAATACAATTAATTTATGCTAAGTGTTTATTATATTTAAAATTATTTCTTTTTTTTGTGTCGTTTAACTTAAAATATATTAATTTTTACAATTTTATTCACAAATAATACATTGTTATAGTTTTATATTTGAAAACAAAAGGAGATAGTTTTATTTGAATTATAATTGCGGCATTGTGTTCATATTATTAATTTTTGTTTTATTCAAACAGGATACATTTTTCTAGTTTTATATTTAAATGCAAAAGCAAATAGTATAATATAACAATGGACAAATCAAGTATATATTTTTAAATATATTAAATTTGTCAATGATTTGTACAATTTGAAATATTATTAATTCAGATGCATTATTTAGAGTAAGAAAGATTTGTTTTTTAATTAATGTACCACATTTTATAGGCTTTGGATCAGAGGAAGAGAGAATTTGTCAAATATTCAAAACGCTTCAGTAATACATTGAAAGATTTCTTTAGAGAAGGACAGTAAGTTTGATTTATTTTTCCTGCTATGTAAATTTTTAATGCTATGTTTTTTTTAATTAACTGTTATGTGAGGGGCCATTCCAATATTACATTAGTATGTTTTGGGTGATTTTTGATTCACCTTGTCAAAGATTTAAGCAAAACAACAAAACTCTTCCCGTGGTTACTTAAACAGGGTTCGTAGTGTTTTTAAAAAGTGCTTATTTTTGATTTTTAAAAGCCCTTAAAGGTGTTTTTTTCATTGGGTGTTTTTAAAAAGCGCTCAATTTTCCCTTTTCGAAAATGAGATTTTTCCTTTACTATGTTGATTTTTGCTTCTAATTATGCAAAAAGACACAGTTCACATTGTTCTATACAACGTTTTCACAATTAATTCAACCCCAATCTATTTTGTCGCATTGTCAGTCCGTAGCGTATGAAAACTCCATCCGTTTCACACGACTCAAAATTTCATGATTTTTGACAATTGTCAAAAACAATGCATAAGGTTTTTTTTCCCCTTTGACATGAATGTTAAAACAAGATAAAACCGTCAAATGTCAAAAACTTTCCAACCCTGCCTAATTATGATATTTTTTTAAAGTGCTTGAAAATATTTTTTGAGTGCTTGAAAAGTGCTTATTTTTTGTTGAATAATTTGGGTATGCACCCTGTTAAAAAGTTGCAATACTTCCCCTTGTTTTTTGCTCTAATTTATACTTTTACTGTAATAATCTAACACTGTAATAATAATAAAAAATTTAAGTGTCAATTAATTTTATAAAATTTAAGTGGAATATTTAAAAGAAATCTTTTGTCTTTCCTCTTGTGGTTATAATTCTTGATCTCTGAAACTTTTCAAAGAAATTTTTTTCTAACTTTTTCTTACTCCAAACTTTTACTTTTATTTAATTTTTTTTTTTACCAAATGTAATTTTTTCCTTCTTTTGCATTTTTTAAAAAAAATATGACAATATGAACACATAAATATTGCTCATACCCTTCCTTCAGCTTTTCAACAAAGATAAGCAAATCTCAAATCCTTTCTGTCTGTTAGGTGCTTTATGTAATGTTTGCAATTTTTTATGAGTTTATTAACGTTTTTTAATGTTCTTTTCTTTCCGTCTTAGATCACAGGCTGTTTTTCTCAGTGCCATTTGTTTAATTCATCAAACCAACCTGATCATGATCACTGTCAAGCATAAGTGTGATTGACTTTCATTGTGCTAGCTTTAATTCTTCCTTCATTAAGTATATTTAGAAAGTTTTTCATTTTATCTCACACTTATTTGTGAGGCTCTCATTTGTATAAAGGAATATTTTAAATCTTTTATGGATACTAGTTTCTTAATTTTTCTTACCTATGACTGGTTAAATAATATATAGGTAAAAGATTTAACTATTATTATAATGTTATACAAGTCAGAATGTTTGGTGTAATATAAGTCTCTGTTGTTTCATTATAAAATATTTATAGAGTTCTGTTACTTTTATTGGTGCTTTGAAAAGCCCCTGTGTATAACATTTTATTTGTAAAAACTAACGTTAAAATAATTATATTTTGATTTTTGAAAACAATGTATAACAATTAACGTCCAAGGTTTCTGTAAAGGTTTTTCTATCAATTATTAAAATTTCTTGTGCCATAAAGATAAAACAAGTGTTTATTGCTCTCCATACTAATTATAAAATGTTTTAAATCAATTTCTAATTTTTAGTGTAGTTTTGTCCAATAGATTAATAATGCATGGAAAACTTTTTTTTAAACGAGTTTACATAAAATTATAAATCTGAATAATGATTTATATTTTATTATCGTATATAATGTTAATAAAGTTAGCAATAGATAATAAAAATAGTTTTATTGGTAGAGAAACAGGTGGTTTTTATTCCTTATAATAAAAACTTTAGTTTAATTTAATATTCTCTTATGGTTCTAAATCTTATTATTTTGATTTGCTTTTTAACCTCTATTTATTAGGATTGCAACATAACATTAAAATTTTGGCCAGATTTATAAGAAGTATGTTTTAAGCAAATAAAAAACATTAGCTGGAAAAGGTTTTACACTCATAAATTAGATCAAAGAGAAAATCTAAAAATGCTTGATAAAAAAATATTGTTTTTGCGTCTTTAACAGAACTGCGTAAGTTTTGTGAGATGCTGCTAGAATCTTGACTATATCATACTAATAAAATAGCTTATACAGCGATTTCCTAATATTTTCTATTGGTGACTTTTTTTTTAATTTTTTAGTTGATTGTTCAATGCATTCTAAATTAGTTCTAGTAAGAACAATTTGCAAGTTAGTTACAAATGTTTTTCCTTTAAATGTTTTTGCATGCCCTGTTGGGGTAGTTAGGGCAAACTTGGGACCATTGACTTAACATATTCTTCCAGAACATATTGCATAATTGGTTAAAAGGTGATCTTTTCTCTCAATGTTATTAAAGGCACCAAAAATGTTTCTCTTGCCCAAGAATTTGTTTTTTATTTTAGGGAGAGTGGAAATTTTAAACTTCTAATCAAGCTGAAATGTACCTTTGTGTTAAAATTTTCATATGCATTAGAATTATTTTTTGACATTCGTTATACATGATTAACATCAAGAGCAGTATCTTTTTCTGCTGATATTAAGAGCGGAAATGGGTATCCATCTTGTCTACTAAATTATAATCATTAATGTATTTATTTTTGGCAGAATTTTTTTTAAAATGATTTCTTAAGAAAAATACTAATTTACATTAAGCTATAACTAATTTTGTAATTAGTTTCTTCCTAATTTTTAAATTTATGATGATTAAATAAACTATGACATATAATTTTCATTGTATTATTTTAAAATGGTATCTCTAAAGTAATGATAGAGAAAACTGGTTGATTCAAACTATTTTTTTGAAAAAATATTTTGTTTATTATTCACTGTGATGAATTTTTATTTTACCTAACATATTGAATGTATCCAAATCATTAAAACTTCATCACTTAATATTGTTTAATTTAACATATGTCAGTATGTTCCAAATAAAATGTTTATGCATAGACATTTGTACAAATTATATATATAATTTTTTATTTAACTGATACTGGTTTGATGGTAAATACTTTGGCAATTTCTTTTTTATAGTAAACTGTTGTGTATTTACTATATCAAAAATATATTAACAAATTTTGAATTATTTGAAAATGTCTATTGCTGTCCATTTAAATAAATTATTTAAAGGTATATATTAAGTTTTGCATCTTTGTATATAAAGAAGCTAAAGCATATTTTGTTATTTGATTCCAGTATTTGCTAAAGTATGTACAAGGTGCTGGATATTTTACTGTAATGTGTTTTATGGGATTACCTGTGATAATAAATCATAATTTTAGAATTGCCGTTTTTCATTTCAAGTATTCAGTATAAGCATCATTCACGTAATTTTAAAAACAGTCCACATATATTTAACCTTAAATAACTGATGAAGGAGCCATAAACAGCAATATTTAATAGGTTTCGTGACATAATTATAAATTAATATTATTTAGTTATAAAATAAAAAATTGTACTCTCAAAAATAATGCAAAACTTTTTTTTTTGAGGCCTCAATGAATTCACTTTTTGTGTCATTAATAAAAAATTTCCTTAGTTTAATAAGAACAATATCTGTTTTAAAAATTAAAAGACAAGTAGAACAAATTGTTAAGAACCATAAGTTATGAGTAGAGTATTTTCTAAGCAAAAAAAACAAAAAACAAATCAGTATTGTTATTATAAATGTAAATAAATTAGAATTTTTTTTTCTGTGTATAAACTAGTACCCTCTTTAATTTTAAAATTAATCATTTTGCTAACTGTTGGTTAAAAAAATTCAAAAGAGCAAAAGCATTATATTATATTTTGGAGTTTTATAGCTATAATCTTTTTTTATTCATGGTAATAACTACATTATTAATTTTTTCAGTTGTGTATTTTTATATATTTTTTTAGCTAGAAGTTGGGAATATTGACGGCTGTGCAGTTCTAAAATAAGCGGTAGTCTATTTGCTCAATATTGGTTAATGTAAAACAAGTATTTTTCAAAAAAATAAAATGAAATTTTTTTTTTTAATGTATAAAGCTTCAACATTTTAATATGGAAAAAAAAATTATAAGCACCAGAAAGTACATATAGGCGTAGGGAAATTGGAGTTATGCTTTAGTACTTTCTTTTTCTCAAATAGTAATATCTATTTTGAAGTACCATCATAAACTCTGCTGAATTCTGTTTTATGAATTTTTATTCCAATGGTGGGGAACAAAGAAAGAAAAATAAACATCTAAACACAAAGTAGAAGAAAGACAAGTCCTTGTTCCAGAAGCTCTCTCACATGCTAATATCTTGTAGTCTTGTGACAGTTAAGTCTGAGGAGTGTTTTGCGGCAATGGAGGTGCTTTTGATTCATAGGTTATTTTGAGTTAAATAGGACACAGTGAGGGTGATCGTATATCGGTAAATGATATATGGTATAAGTGTTCTCCCAGCCAGTCAGAAAAGGGCTAGTGCAATTCTGACTGGCAGCACTGCAAGCTAACAACTAAACTTAATATATCAAAGTTTTTCGTCATTTTTTTTAAGAATCAAAATAAGAATATTGTGGTTTTTATTGAAATATATTTTATACAGATGATTGCTTTAAATGCTCGACTAACTACTTTACAGAATATTTTTTCTGTGATGTGCATGCCAAACTTATTGGTTAAATGACTTTGAAAATTGGGTGGGGTTAAATTACTAGAAGGGGAAAATAAACGATTTTAATAAAAATCGAATCTTTTTAATGTGTGAAAGAACACACAATAAGATATATTAATCAAAATCTTATTTCATATTTTAGATTCATTTTTCAAGTAAATTCAAAAGTAATTATTCTATGGTAAAAATTATTTAATATCCTAAAACTTCATTGTAAAATTTGTTATTTATAAAATCATAGTTAATTTTCACTAAATTTCCAGTTAAAAAATCTAATTTTATAATCAAAATATTTGCAAGTTTTTAATTTTTAGTAAATAAATTACAGCTTTGAAGTTGCAAGCATGCTGTTTACTATATAAAAAAAAGTAAATGCTCAAATTAAATTATACACTGTTTTGTGCATAGAGTAACATTACATTAGAAGTTTGAAAATGCAAAACAGATATTTAAAGGTGTCAACAATTTCACTACAACTAAAATAATTAAACTTATGGAAATATTTATTGATGAAAATTAATGTAATAACTAAGTAAACAGTAGACATTTTAAAGGAAATTTAAAATAATTTATTAAGAGTATGTAGGGAGAATGGTGCCAATATACTTCAGAAATTAAAATCTGTATAAGAGTCTAATTCTTACAGGATAAAGTGACAAGGATTAATATTTTATCTTATTTCAGTCTTCGTTATTGGAAGTGGAATAAATCCATTTGGAGCTATAAAGTCGTTTAATTCTTATGATCTTAATAATCATTGTTTGAATTTTCATGTTTTATCAAATTATGTGTAAAATAAGTTGATCAACATTCACAATAATTTAAATTTATTGAAACACTAACTTAAAAGCCTCAGATTTATTTAACCATAGATATAGAAGTATGTGCAATTAAAGTGCTAGAAAAATGGAAGAAAAAGTCAAAAATTTATTCAAGACATGCTTGATTACAAGGTGTTATAAAACTATAATTTTAATAGTAATTTAAAATATTTCATATTTAATAATCCCTACCCTTTTTCACATTTGGAAAAATTAACATAAAATTAGAGTTTGAATATAATACATATATTTATATACTGATATCTAAAAAGCTTTATCATTTAGAATTTTTTAAAATAAATTGCAATTGTAAAATAAATGTAAATGAGGCAGTTTTGTAAATTCCTTTTCAATTTGAAACAGGCTTAATGACTTGTTGGCAAATTAGTAGATGGTGCAATAAGTTGAAAGCAAACTTAAATGCTTTTTTTCTAAGAAAAATGTAAGAAATGTTTTTTTTTTTTTTTTTACAAGAACTCGGTGTACATCAATTTGTAGTGGAAAAATATAAAATTTTTTTTTTTAAACACAATTAAAACCCTCTACAAATTTGTTTTGACTAGATTTATTTAATTTTTTTTTTTTTTTTAAGATTTAAAATAGAGGAAAATATCAGATCTTGGGAAAGGAAATTTTTAAAATGGGAGAAAATAGAGTAACCATCTTTTACATGCACTTTAAAATTGTATAAAGTTAGTAAAAATCAAAATTTTAAATAAGTTCAGAAGTTGAAAATGATGTACATTAAATTTTTACAAAATTCAGACCAAAAATAAGTAATCACTTTTAACGAATATGAAACAATATGTATACTGAGATTGATGACAAACAAGTTTTTTTAGAAAATTTTTTATTATTATACTTGCAAGGTGCTCCAAGGAACACTATAGATAGTAGCTCAGATTTTATACTCAACAGGAATATGGTGCAAGCGTGACTTTAAAAGTCAGAGTCGAAAATACAGAGTTATATTTAACGACCAACTTTACCAAGTCGAGTATCAGTCTTGGGATTAGCTGTAACATTCTGAACACTTACAATAATTTCATTTATTTTGGTTTGCAATTCTCTAAGATCATGTACAAAACATAATCTCAATATTTTTGCAGCCTTGTTAAGAACTGGATCACTGCTTTCAAACTCTAATGAACTGTCCAATACAGAGGTAGATTTTCCACTTTTTTTGCTTTGTCTAGATTCAAGTGCTGTTTTCGAGTAAGAACTTTTAATGACAGAACAAACAGCACTTAAAGTTTCTAGATGATCAGGATGCTGAGCAATGTTTAGGGTGTTTGCGAGAGATTTCACTAAACCTTTGAATTCAGCACTTTCAAAATCTAGATTATCTAAAGGATTCTTTGCACTAATCTAAAATAACAATGAGAACAATTAATAAAACAGAACAAATAAAAATTAAACTTGTACAGAATTTGAAAATGATCCAAATTATAAGAACAATGAGTTTTATATTTCATTGAGGTAATTTACACGATTTTTAGCATATTACACTACTTTCTTTTCAGATTACAACATGTATTGTGAACACAGTGAATCTAGTGTTACAATGAATCAGCAGTTGCAATAGCAGAGTTGTCACCTGAAACTGATTAAACCTAACTTAAACCCCCAAAATTTGGTGTCTTTTTTGTCACAGATATCGACAAAGAAATCTTCTCACACTTAGCATAAATTAAATAGCTTTTTTTGGAGATATTTCTGTATCGTGATTTTTCACACCAACTACAATCGCCAAGTACAGGGATGAGAGTAGTCAGAGAGTAAAAAAGAGGAAATCCNTATGATTGCCCAGGGGTTCTACCTTTTGAGTTAGTCCCTTTCTGTGATGTTTTTTCTTAGTTTCTTGTGGGCTGCTTCCAGAAGTTACCAATTATTCTGCCACAGATCATGATCCGGAAATATCCGTTTATTTGGAAGATTTTTGTATTATGATCTGTAGCAGAAAAAAATCCAATTTTCCGGCAGCGGTTTGTGAGAAACTAAAAAAAAAAAAAACAACAAAAACAAACAGCAAGAAACTCCATGGGTGTAACTAGCACCATCCTCATGTAAACATTTACAAGTTTTATTAAAAAGATATGAAAGTTATAAATCCATTTGGCGTCATGGCAGTTGAGTTGTAGTTGGCGCAACAGATCACGATACGGAAATATTTTAAGCGCTATATTTCTGATGCTAAACTAAGCAAATAAACTCTCAATAGAAGACATTTTAATTTAGCAAATCTGCTATTGCATCAGCATTTCATAAAATACAAAGATATTTCAGAGTTTCTAAGCAAATATAAATTTCATTGCTACTATTATTACGTGAAAGTAGTCTGAACTATAGACCTTACCTGTGGGTTAGCAGATTTGACATCCGAATTTTTAGTGTTGATGCTTTTAAATTTATCTACATTATCCCCATATTCTAATCTTACAGCCAAACCTAAGAGCCAATCACAAATTTCTTCTTTTTCGGTAAAAGGGCATGCTAAATCTGCTAAATACACTTTGAATGCATCTTCCCATGCGGCATTCGTGATGTTACGAAGAGGTGATCTGTCTTCTATAGGATACTGACGTATAACCTGATCTTCTAACCAAACAACAAGACTTCGAAAATCATCATCAGAAAATACATTAAATTCATTGAATTGCTTGTATCCTAATGCTTCTAATTTTCGGCGATAAGCCATAATTAATTGTTTTTTTATTTTAATCAAAAAATTCTAAACAAATAAAAGAACATTTCGACTTCTGCTTCGCTGTCTGCGAAAAATGCGAAAAACGAAAATTAATGCAGTTGCCAATCCAATAAATTCATCCTTAGAAAAATGAATTATTCGGAAAATGATTTCAAAAACTTAACAAGTATATAAATTTTGAGATTTAAATAAATAAGGTTTTCAAGATTCAATTATTTGTAATACATTTTCAAGCTTAGCTACAAATTTTTTTTCTTCTAAATGTCAACAAATAGTTCAATTAACTGCAACCGGTGGTTTTAATTGTTTTCACTTTGCAAATTTCTTTTTTTTGTAAACAAAGAAGTGCGTTTGTCAAATATGATAAATTGAGTTTAATTTGAGTGGTAATTCCTATATTTCCTGTTAATTTTTTAAATATTTAATGCAACTGCAAGAAAAAGCTTTTCTGTTCTCGTTTTCTCTGATTTCCTTAGAAATGAAAATTAGTTATTCAACTTGCATTTCAATTTAAAGTGTATTATTTTTTAAATCTTATTAGTGTTTGTATTAGTTAAAATTTTTCTTATTAAAAACCATCTGATTCATTTTGAGTATTTAATACTTGATTTTTGTGAATATCTTTTTTGGATGTGATTTTAAATTTCTAAGTATTTTTTACCTCCATCTCTATCTTAGTCCCATACGACTGATAAAGTATTTTTAAAGTAAAAATACTTTATCAGTCGTATTTTTTGGTTGCTTAATTGAAAGAAGTGCTTTAAATTCAATGTTAATCTTTCTTTCTGATGCTAATCATTTAGTGAAGCAAACGTAGATTTTCAATATTTTCTCATCAGTCTTTCAGAACAATATTTAATCATGCATGCAATTTTCTGCATTCTTTCACTTTCGGATTATTATTATTATTTTTTTTTTCAGTGTCAGAATTTTTATTTTTTTGTATTTCAGGAGAAGTTTGAAGTTCTAAATGTTATTACCGGAAGCAAAAGTTGTTATTCTTGGTGCCCAAGGTAAGACTTATTTTGATTTTGTTAATTTTAAAATTTTAATTTAGGGCTATTATTGTTTTTCTTACCGAGTATTACGTTATTGCCTTGTACTTAAATACATTTACATTTTATAAGTGATGTTTAGGTATTAATAATTTTCAATACATTAATCTTAGTACTTGATTGATATTATTTGAATGATTGATTATTTTTACTAAGTTATTTATGGGGAAATTAGTTTACAACAAATATAAATGAACATGAAGTATATGATAAAAATGCATTGATTAGTTGACTCAACTTTTAGGCAGTTAGAGTCTTGGCAATTAGGACTATGTTTAACTGTTTTTATTTTGAACTTTTTAATGTCTTAAAAAATAAAGTTTATGAGTTAATGGTGGCTGTTTGTTTCTTTAAGACTAGAAAAAAATAATCAATATTCTTAGCTACTTACTTAGTCTGTTTTAAAGGTGATTATAATTACTATACTAATTATCACAGAACGAAAATTTGGAGTGATTCTGTTCTGACCATATGTGTTGGAATTCTCACCTTCTTACATATGTCTTTGGTATTTTTCTACAATAAAACAGTGCAATCCCTCCCATTTTGGTAAAGAAAAAAAGATAACTATGATTATATACATTTAGATACTAATTTGTAGTATAGACAGAAAATAATTATCAAGAGTTGGAAAAAAAAATGAGTTTCAAACCAATTTGTCCCTACCATGAAAATTTTCCCTACTATAACTGTTAGATTACAGCCTACTGTTACATTGAATTATCTTTATAAAGAAATATCTTTACTGCAATTATAATTGTTTTTTACATTGCAGGAGTGGGGAAGACAAGTTTTATAAATCGATATATTGGTCAAATATTTGAACAGCACACCTCACCTACTATTGGAGCTTCCTTTTTCTCTTGTACCACGTATGTTTTTTTTTAAAATCTTCTTTTGTGTTAAAATTACTATTTAAGTATTATACTTTACTAAATAAAGATAACTTATTAACCCCTTATTCTATCATTTGTCTATTTCCGTAGAAGATATAAAAACTTCTTTACTAATTTAAACACAAACTTTATTTTCTATAGAATTTTGTGTTATCATTTGATGTATCATTAAACTTACCTACTATGTGTATGGAACAAATCAATATTAGTGCTTTAAAATATTTGCTAAATAAAAAATACTTAAAAACACAAAAATATGCACTTAATTATTTATTATTTATAGAAAAAAACTTAAATTATCAAAAGCTAGAAACAAATGCCAGCAAATTCAGAGATTCTAAGTTAATGCAGTTTATATGGAGAATTGCATTTCATAGACCTTCTACTGTATTACTGTTATGTTGAAGGTCTGTGAGTTTATATTAGCTTTTATATTATGACTGTAATTTATGAAATACAGTTAAAAATTATACAGATGTTTTAATATATTTTTAAAATAGTAAAATAAGTTGGGAAATATTTGGTGTTTTTCAAATTTTATTGATGGCTTCTCTTGCCTTAAAAGTATGAATTAAATAGACTTTATTGTTAATTAATAAGTTTAAAAAATACCATTCCTTAATTCTTTTGACTAATTATATGATTATTGAAGATTTTTTATTTGTTAAACTTTTTGTCTACATTTCACAAAGGTTAAGATATAAGCAGAAATTAATAGATATCATTGCTGTACTTGTTCAAATCAAAAAAAATATTTTCGAACTCTTTTTTCCCCCCTCCTCAAGTGAATAGTTAACTAAAAAGGAAAAATAAAATAAATAAATGGTAAAATTTTATTGGGAGCTAAAATTTTATTCTTGCTTAGGAAAGTTTTTAGAAAAATTTGTCTGATCTGAAATTTACATTATATTTTGTAATAACTATTTGTTCAAGAACATAATATTTTGTTTTTATTTATTTATATTTTGCTATAAAACTAAACACAACAGCAATAAGAAACAACTAAAAAAAGGATAATTTATTAAACAGAGGGATTTCTTGTTTATTTTGTAGCAGTTTAAGAAGGTTAGTTTTGGAAAAAATGAACGGCAATTATAATACTTATAACATTGCTGTAATTAGCTGAATTAATTTGTATTTATCCAATTACTGATCTGTATTTTATTTACCAATCTTTTTTTAATTTTATTTTTATGCACGTTTTAAAAATAGTCACTCAATCACTTTTTTTTCTAAGTGAGGAAAATAATTCCAATAATTTTTTTTCTCTTTTACTGTTTAATTAAAAAATTTCTTAATAAATAAATTTCTTTTAGGAAAGTTGATGATAATGAAATAAAACTTCTGATATGGGACACTGCTGGCCAGGAAAGGTTTAGATCAATGGTAATATACATATATATAAATTTCATAATGTTTCATGATTTGTACTAGAATTGTAACAATGAAATATGAATATCTTGATAGAATTTTCCTACACCCTTTTCTCATTATTTAGAAAGTACATTGTAAAATATGAACTTCAAATAATAAAGCAATGAAGGTCAATGTAAAAGTATCAAATGTGATGATAAATGAATAAAAAAAAAATCTGTAAATTGCATTTCATTTTTGTTAATTTATGTTATTTTCCCAAAACTTTATCTGGAAGAAATATATATAATTTTCTCTCGGATTTCTACAGATTAAAAAAAATATATACTGAGACATGTATTTTATAAATATAGGTGTTAGTTACGAAAGCTATCACATTATTAAGACCAAAAAGAGAGATATTAACATAATATTCTACAATTTTGGTTATGCTTCTTCTTCTAAGACTTTATTTTTTCTTTCAAAAATTCATTTGCAATTAAAAGTTTTTTTTATTAGATAACATGCCATGGTTTTTGAAATAAAATGACCCATGTACTTGCTAAAGAGTAAAGCTTTTCATGATTTTCTTAAAATATGATATGCTTTATATTCTGCCATTAAAGAATTTGTTAGCAAAATATGTTTCTAAATTCTACATATAGACTTAAATTTGGTCATAGAATGCAACTAGACAAGTGCAAAACTCTCCCCATTCTAAAGCCGTAGATCATAATTTATTTGTGTATGTTTTGATCTATTTATTGATGTTTTATTCTGTTTTGATTTTTTGTGAGTCCAAATCTAATGACCAAGGTCTAAAATAGTTTGAAGTCATTTAATCCAGGTTAATAAAATGGCCAATTTTAAGCTATAAATTTTGCATATGATAAAATTTTGGGTCAAATGACTGATAAAAAATATTTTGGAATCATATGGCAGGTATTTTTTTCATGATAAAACAGAGATTTGACTTAGATAACTTTAATATTTTTAAATGCTCCATTTTCATTTGAATACTGGTTTTTAATGTTTTCCACACTTAAAAATAATGGAAAAAAGTAGTTGAATCGAAATAAATTGGTATACTTTTATCTAATTACTAGGTTATAAAGAAATTTGCTTTAGTGTCAACAAATCCTTGTCCTTAAGGCGGATAAAAAGTTATATCTGGCACTTAAGAATTTAATAAAATTTAACATTTAAGCAAACAGTTGTTGCATTTTCCTTTCAATAGCATGCTGACTCCTAAAAATTTGTACAACCTTTACAGACTTAAAAGTTTTGTATTTTTGCACAACACTTTTGCTTTAATATAGTTTTGATTACAAAAAATAAATTGGCAGTTTGAAGGAAATATATCTCAATGTAAATGTTTCGTAATATACTATTTTTAGATTTTTTTTTTATCTTATCTTTGTTTACAGGTTTGACAAATTTATCACTGTAAAATCTTGTTTTCAATTAATGTATTTAAATAAATATTCTTAAAATTTTAATTTCACTTTATTTTGCAATTTTGTTTTGTTGTTAAATTAGTTCACTGGTTTTTTTATTGTCATGTTTTTAATTTTTAATTTTTTGTTTTAGGCACCTATGTATTATCGAAATGCCAATGCTGCTATTTTAATGTTTGATTTGACCTGTTATGATAGTTATGAATCAATGAAAGAATGGGTGTCAGGTAACTATATTGTCTTTGTTTTATTGTTTTTTTAATAGGCTTAATTTTGTAGAAAATTCAGAACTGGCAATTCATGCTTCTGAGATTCATTAAAAACATGAATATTATTCCTAAACTATTGATTATGATTGAAGTTAAACTGAATATTTTTTATTTAACTAATAACAAAATTAATTATATGTTAAAATTGTGTTATTTTAATGATAGCTAACTCAAATATGATTTAAATTTTTTAGCATCCATTTTTAGTTATTATTAAATAAAAAATATTTCATTATGTAATTTATTTTTAAGTATGGTTTAGTAACCAATTCAGAACTGGCAAGTTAGCACAGATTTTATGCTTCAAATATTCATGCACTTAATTATTTATTATTTNATGTGAAGTATTAAATACTTTTTATATAAAAATTAAACCTTTTTTTTTATGTTTCAATAGTTTTATACACTGTACAACACACTGCGGGATAATTTAAATGAATTCAAGAGGTGGTAAGAAGTTTTTTTTTTGCTATTCACAACGTTGTAAATGATTGAGAAATACAGATTTTTTTGGTGTGATTTTGGAAATTTTTTGTTATTGAAATTCGTGACATTGAGCTTAGAGTGTTATGATCTGTTTGTTCAGATCTTCATAAAACTGAAAATTAAATATTGATTAGTAAAAGACATAGTTGATACATTTATGTCCTAGTATGAGCAAAATACTTTTATTCTAATTATCATTTAACTGAATAGTTTCAATTTATATTTATTGTTAAAAACTGTTTGTTTAATTTTTTATTGTAGAGTTGAACATGCGATTGGAGGATTCCATAATTCTTTGTGTGGTTGGCAATAAATGCGACATGAACAGTATTCGTCAAGTAGGATTTCGGGAGGCATCAGAGTATGCCATTTCAATCGGTGCTCTTTATCATGAAGCTTCAGCCTTGAATAGTGAAGGTAAATAGCTAAATACCTTATTTTTAAATATTGTGTAACTGATTAAAAGGCATAATTTAAGCTGTCCATGGGGTCTATACTTAGTCTTACACTGCATTAAAATCAAATGACATTTAATGCAATATATTCTCCATTATAATTTACAATTATTGTCAGAATAAATGATGTAAGGGTCCATAACCTACGGCCTACAGACTGTTGATGTGCAGCTCACAAGAGCTTCTGAACGCAATAAAAAATATCTTTAATTTGGTTTTTCGTTAATTAATTTATTTAATTCAAATTTATATTACTCTATAAAATGCATATTTTTTTGCAATTTCATTCTGTAAGCTTTTTGGTTAAAATTTATATCCCCTCCTAATATTTTTGTGTATATATTTATATATATTTGATAAATTATTGTACGAAGGGGAAAAAAATTAAAAAAAAAAATTATCAGTTTCTTTATTTTTAAATATATTCAAATAATTAAAAGTATTTAATTTTCTGAAAATATGTTATTTTTATTGATAAAAATATTTAGTGCTTAGAACACTAATGTTTATATAAAAATTATATTTGCCGCTAACATGTCTAAATATGCATGTGGCCCCTCGTTAATCTACCTGCTGTGCAAGTGGCACGTCTCTGAAAAAGGTTGTGCACCCCTAAAATAATGGAAAAGTTTTTTTTTTCTTTTTTGACAATATGTATGAAAATATGATATTTTTGAACTTAAAATTATTAATGTTACAAATTACCTAAGATAATTTTTATTTTACTAATTAATATGTCACAATTTGTTTCATGCTCTTATTTATTGAATTGTTCAAAAAAGTTCAAGAGAAAATATGAGTAAATTTTATCTTTTTTTTACTAGTGACTCAATAAATAGTTATTTAAATTTGAACTTAAATAAGAATAAATAATTTTTCTAAATATAGACTCATAGTGAATTAGTAACTTAACCACAATATATAAAAAGAAATATGATTTTTTTTATTAACACTAATTATTAGGAAAAAATTATAGATTATAATCCTATTTGCATTGTGAAGTAATCCAAAAGATTGTTGATAGTTAATTATGTGTANTAATGATTTTATTTTTTGCTCTTAACATCAAAAGTTATTGTTTTTCTTTGCTAATCAAAATTATTTAAATTTTTTATCAAATGTCAGTTAAATTTTCAAACCATAGACGTGGAAATCCGTTAGTTTCAAAAACAAACTAAACGGGTCTTTTTAAAATTAGTAGAGTACGTTTATACAGCAGGAACGCTAGAACAAGTTGATACTTATCAGGGGTCTGTATGGGCCAGATTTACTACCGTTTAAAGATACCTTCACAAATTCAATTTAAGGAAAAACGGTAGTTTTACGAAATACTTTTTCTTAAAATTTTATTTTTGTATCCTGTAAGAAACGATAAATCCATGTTTTTATGCTGATATTTTAATATAATTTTTAATTTTCACAACTTATGTCTGAAGTTTTCACAAAATAGGTACCTCTCAGAAAAACCTTGACAATCCCCTGCTTAAGGGAAAACAGAAAATGGGGGATCGGTGGATTTAGTTTAACTGTATCAAATCAGGGGTCTGTCCAGACCGAATTTACTACCGTTTAGCGGTACCTTCACAAATTCAACTTTAGGAAAAACGGTAGTTTCACAAATTTAATTTTATTAAAAACGGTAGTTTCACGAAATACTTTTTCTTAAGATTTTATTTTTGTATTCCTTAAGAAATGATAAATCCATATTCTTGTGTTGGATTTTTAAATATAATTTTTAATTTTTCACAAATTATGTCTAAATTTTCACAAAATAGGTACATCTCAGAAAAACAAAGACAGACTCCTGCAAATATTCACTAAGCAAAATTTTGTACTTTAGACAAAGTCATTCTTTTTGAAGTAATTTTTTGCATGTTCTAGGAGTGGAAACTGTTTTCTTGGACATTTCTCAGGAATTGGTAAAGCAATATGAAAAGAATTCCAATGCCATTTATCGTAAAGAACGGTTTCAAGATGGTAAAGTTATTCGGGTATCTTCTAAAACGCACAAAGCACTAGAAGTATCAGAGGAAGAGAGGTCTTTCTTATGCTGTTAATTCTTACAATTTAATATTTGTATGGAAACATTTACAATTGATTTTATCTGTTTTTTTTAAATCAAGGAGCTTGTACATTTTAAACAGATTCACTGAGCTTAGCAACTTTTGGTGCTGTGACATTAGCATGTTACAAAACTACTATTTTTCTTTTTAACTAGCTTATGGTAAGGGTATTAATGTAAATCTGATGTTTCAAATGTCTTGTTTTTTTCCCCAATTTTACAGTTCACAGTGATGTATATATCTATCAGTTTTTAGTTCCTTTTCTTATTAAGAAAAAAAAACATGCTCATTCTTCTGAAGTGTAAATGTTCATTTGTTTGCTCTTTTTTGTGTGGTTAATTTTTTGCTAGAATATTATAAACATCCTGGTTATATTCTGGTCTTTTACAAATGACATATTTCTGATAAAGTTCCTTCGTATACACTAGGGGCGTATAACCTTCCCCCTCAAATGGTTAATCTACAATCCCTCTTTCTAGCCCAAAAATAACTAGAGAGATTATAATTGTTTTAAAACAATTTTAATATATTTTTTTAAATGGCAATAAAAATTTTCACCATGAAGTGCTGAGGTAAGTTTTTTTAAAAATGCTTTCTAACTAAAATACTTAAAAAACATACATATTTTAAGAAATTTTTTTAAAATTAAAAGTAGTATTATTTCCTTCAGGAAAATGTTAAGCTGTTATGTATGTTTATTTCTAGTTCAAATTTTACCAAATTTCATTAAAACTTAATTTATTACGCCCTTTTAAAGCACAATTTTTTTTTTCCTGCGTCAACTATACTTAATATTTCAAAAAAAAAAAAAAAAAACTTAGCAAGAAAACACTTACAGCAGATTTTACTGCCCACAACTTTTCTATTAATTAATTATAAAGAAAAATAAATTAAAGAGTCGTTACATATTGGATAAATTTTATAATTTGATTTGCTAAACTATTGCAATTTTTTGTTAGCTTTTAAATTTTTAATCGTCATTTTCATGTTTTTTTTCTTAAGTTTATTTATTGTAAAGCTCTGTATATTTTATTTACTGTTAAGTATGGTTTTACTGCTATGATTGTGATTCTTTGGTATTTAAGCTGAGAATTTTTGCTTATTTTAACGTTCTTCTCTTGGCTTTCATTTTTTTAGTCATAAGTAGTAGTTAAATCAAGAAAACTATTAAAAGGCAACAAATTCAGTTATTGGTAATTTATTCACATTTACATAACTTTTCTTTTTGATTTAATGGAAAAAACCTTATTTCTAATTATTTATTGGAGTCTGGAACAGTTGTTCAAAACAATTGAATACATATTGCTCCCATATGAAGTTATGAGTGCAATGGACAATTATAATTTTTTGCAGTATTAAAATTGAAAAAAAATCTTCATTGATCAACACAGCTTCCTTCATTGAGATAAGATTATTGAATTAAATTATTATATGCACAATAATTTTCAAAGCAACTTACCTTTTAAAATGTCGATCCGTCTACATCTACTATTGGGTTTATTGCTTCATGTGATACTATTAAAATGAGTTAAACAAAAATAATAAGTTTAAATATTGCTTTTTAATCAATATTCTTGTTCAATTGAGAAATTAAAATATTTTATAAATTCTTTTTAAAAGTTCCACAAAACTAAAAGTATGATTTCATTTACAAAAAAAAAAATTTAAAAAAATTGCGTGGAATAAATTTTCAATTCGATTTGTATGTAAATTTTTTTTTTTTTTAACGGAACTTGGCATGCATGTTTAATTATTATGCCTTCTTATTTGTAATTGTGATAAGTATGTAGTTTTATGTATACATGTATGAATGTGTTACAAAAAAGGGAAATATTTTATAATGAATTTTTTAACTAAATAGATTTTATTTATCAGAGGAAAAAAATGTCTATGCTTATGGTGCTAACACCTTGTTTTTATCTAGTTATACAAATATAAAAAATATATATTTATGAATGCTCAAATTATATGATTAAAGTGATTTCCAGAAACTTGAATGCTATTTTATAAAGAACATTATTTATCTTGGATCAGTTTTAAATATTTGTATAGATTTACTTATCAAGCAAATAAAATTATATGATTGTTTTTGTGTAATATTTACGATTAAGTTTTCCTTTAGTTACTTTATTGCTTTGTTGTTGCTTATCTATGCATAGAATCAAAATTTCTTTACCATCTGAAATTAATTTTTCTGCCAAACATATTAATTACTTGGTAATTTTGGAACCTGGAATTAAAGCATTCCTAGAATTAAAATGAAATACAGTAGGGAACCGATTATCTGGGACCATCGCTATTCCGAATAACTGATTTTTCCGGTTTTCTGAATCGCTACAAAAAGCCGTTTTTTTTTATTGTTAAACTCAACTAAAAAAAGAAATATTTGGAAATAATCTTGAAAAAACAAAGTAATACACTAATGATTATTTCCAAAATGATGGTAAGGTAAACATCTTTCAAAAAAGAAAGAAAAATCCTAAAATCTTATGAGGAAAAAAAAATTAAAAAAAAAAAAAAAAAATGTTGGGAAAATTTATCGAATTTCGTTCCGGTTTACTGATTTCTGGATAACAGGTTCTGTACTGTATTTGATTTTTTTAAATATAGTATATTAATTTTTATTTTAGGTCAGAATGATGGATTTGTAATTGTTAGTGGTTTTTATGCAGTAAAATTGAAGAAATTCATCCATTTTAAATCACACGTAAACATCGTAGTTTAGTGCCTTTTGGGTAGAATTTTGATTCTATGTTACTATCTATATATGCCTGTATTTTTCTTGAATAGTATCAATTATACAAGTTGCATGCTACATGTGTAAGAGCTTCTTATATGACATTTTAAGACAGCATATAGTCATTTTATTATCTATTCATATCAAGCAGGTTATTAATATTTTAGTTGATATTGTGCATATTATAGACTAATTAATGGGACCATTTGTATTTTATCTGAACTGTGTTTTTTTAACGCTGTGAATAAAGCTATAAAGATATGTTAGTCACTCTCCTGTAATGCTTTAAAATTGCTTACAAACATAAAAAATATATATATTAGAAGAAAATAACACTTATACACATAAACTTTATATTAAAATACTGATAAACCTACCTGTTTTAGTTTAAGGGTTTGTAGATAATATGCAACTAAATAAAAATATATTTTTACTCATAAAATTGTTGCTATACTAAAATATAATTTGTGCTTAATGAACAGTTGACCCAAATTTGAGTTTACGGCTAGTAATGTTCAACTCCATAGCCTAAAATTTCCAGAAGACAACGGAAGTTCCGAATCAGTACCTCGAGTGGTACTAATTTGTTATGGGAACTTGGAGGACTTTGTGACTTTAACAGATTTAACGAGCACCAGTCATCATTTAATAAACTGCCATTCTTACAAACGAGTCCAACGCCCTACCAACTAGGCTATCCTGGCCCAACTCTATACTTTATTGCAAGTTAAGAAAAAGAGAATTGCAGTAGAGGATTTAAGTAATTATCTACGACTTCCCATACTTTTAATTCAATAGCAAAACGCACATGTTTCATTACTAAAATATGTGACACTAACATTCAATTTTTGTTACTATTTGTGAAAAATAATTTAGAACTTTTGAAAAAGAGCATATTTTTAAATTTAATAAAATCTGTGTTTTACAAGATATCTCTATCAAAAAAGAGAGTAACCATGTAATATTAATTTTGATAGACATGATTGGAACAGTAAAAATGGTGCATTTTTTACTGAATTGCAATAACAAATTGTTTGAAAGATAAATTTTTGCTTTTACTCTGGCTTTTTTTTTTCACTGGCAGAACATTGTTAGCAATGAGTATTTATTTTTTCTATTCTTTTATCAGTTTTTTTTAAGCAATCAAATAGTATTTTATTTGTTATGATTTTCATAACTAATTTTTTGGAAAAAATGGAGTATTAATAATTTTTTTTATTAGAAATCAATTTTACAAAAGTAATTGTATCTTGCTTGGATATGTAAACAAAAAAAAAAAAAAAAGTCCATAAGTTGACAAAATAAATGGCCCAAAAAATTTATTAAATATTCATTTCCCAAATTATACAACATTAGCATTTCTAGTTGAAAGTTTTTAATAACTAAATCGTGATTCTGAAGAGAAAACAGAGTGTTCTAATTTCACTGTGATAGAAAAATCATGAATGATTTTATAAAAGTTATGTGTAATATTAAAATATACTATTTGAAAAAATTAATATGTATTTTTTAAATTTTAATGCATTATATTAATGCTTGCACTATGAAGTAAAAAAAAAAAACTTTATTAATGTAAATTATTCTATCAGTTTCATAATTATTTTTAATATATGGCATGTTTTTCTCAAAATAAGTCCAGTATTTCTGAATCATAGGTAAAACACTAAGCTCCTAGTTTTGTGTCTTCGTGATATAGCGACTTCACGTTATAACGCCTGCTGTCATTTTAAAAGTCAAATATATTAATTTCATAAACTTTGATTATAATACAGTCCTCCCATTTTACAATTAAAAAAAGTTTTTACGTCCGATTTCAAACACAATATCATGCAGGGAAAGAGAATTATAGTATGTTAGCAATGCTGATATTTTTACTTGGGGAATTTAACATTGAATTGTTGTAAGTAAGCTCTTTATATAAGGATAATGGTCTTTTTTTAAACTAGCAACTGAGTATATTCTTTTGTAACTTTTCAAATAATAGGACATTTACATTAGTACATTACAAAATAAACAAAAAATGATTTACAATTAAAACCAAGTATGAAGTTGGAATTTGGTAAGAAACAGAACTTGCAGTTAGGAAGATGTGTAATGACTGGTAAAATAAATTACAGTTTTCGACTGCATGACTTGAAATTATTAATAGAGTTTTTCAATTTTTTAAAAAACTAGAACATATGTAATTAGCCTTTTCTTTTAGGTTAGGAGAATCTTTGAGTAAAAAATATATCTAAATGGCAATGTAATTTTGCAAAATAGTAATAAAAGGCAAACAAATATTTTATTTCAGAACTAAAGACATCTTTTGCTTATCAAAATTATTTTTGTTTGTTTGAAAAATTGCAAAACAATTTCTCTTTCACTATTCCGGTGATTGGCACTTTTTATATGGGTAGATGACTTTTGCTTTGCATTTAGAATAAATTTAAAGATGAAATCGAAAAGGTTGATATTTAAACAGCTTTTGGATCGTGAATTTTTTGCAGGTAGAATCTTTAAGCAACTAAATATTCTTAAGTTTAACAGAAGAGAACATGAGTCGAACTATGCAAGTTACATTAAATGAAGACCTGGGATTTTGCCCTTATCGCCAAAGAAAAGTTCGAAGTTTGACAACTGCACAAAAATTAAAAAGGTGTCAAAGATGCAAGAAATTGCTGAACCAGAAAGGTAACAAAAATTTTGACAAAACAATCTTTCCTGATGAGAAAATATTTTGCACAGAACAAAGTTATAATGCTAAAAATAATGTATATTCAGCAACCTTTGATAACGTAGCTGAAAGAGTAAGAATTCGGTAATGGTTTGGGCTGCAGTGTCAAATAATGGAAAATTTTCTGAAATTTATCAATAAAGGGGTAAAAATTAATGCTGAATATTACAAAAAGGAACTATTGGCTACATATTTATTGTTACATGCTAACAGATGGTATCACAAAAAGGATTGGATATTTCAACAAGATTCTGTACCGTCACACCGAGCCAAAACCATGTTTGGCTGCATGTCAATTATCCGTAATTTATTAAGCAAGAAGATTGGCCCCATCTTCACCAGATATGAATCCTAGACTATTGTGTTTGAGTGTATTCTAGTCTAAAGTTAATGCTAAGCAGCACAGAAAGTTGGATTTCCTTGGATCTTCTTTATTGTGGGAATGGGACAAATTACCGCTTAAAATGATTTGAGCTGCCATCAGACAATGGCATAAGAGTTTCTCTTTAGTAATCGATAAAGATGGTGGTCGATTTGAATAAAATTTTTTAAGGTAAACCTCCATTTATAGTGTTCATCATATTTATCATTTTCTATTTAATATCTATACAACAAAATGATTTGATATTTGTAACATTATTTCATAGCCACCCTGTAAATTATCACTAAGAAAAAGTTTTTGCACCCATCAATTTTATCTCGGCACTATTTATATTAGAGTTATATATTTCTTAAATTGTGATTTCCTATTTTTTTATTATTAGATATTTATTTAAGATGCAATGCTTGGAGTTTTCAAAAAGGATCTACTATAATATTTTATAAGTGATTGTTAACCAAACTTTCAGAAAACCACAAAACTAAATAATCTTTATTTTCAATCCAACAATCAATTTTCATCTGTACTTTGTATAACAAGCAAAAATAGTGCCAGCACTAACACACAATAAATAGCAATCTTTATAAATAATACCAATAAAATACCAAACAAATAAATGCCATATAAAAAAAAATTGATCAGTTTTCGGTTTGTTTCATTACACAATTTCCATAACAGATTTTAATTCTTCTTCTCCTTCTTTGATATCTGTTGGAAGCTGGTATGTAGTAGCATGCAGCATTATAAAAAAGAAGGAAGCTCCTAAAACAATTTTCTCGTCACTTTAATTTTAATAAATATTCAGCACATTTACAAATTTCACTAAATGACTATGTGTACAGTGGAAAATAAATAAAGTCAAAGAGAGTTGATATCAATAAATTAATAATCATAGCAATTAATTTATACAGGAGCCATTTGAAGATCAAAGGTATCCTCATCTTTAGGACTTTGTTCTATTGAATATAATGTTGCATGAAGCATGATAACGAAAAAGGAAGCTCCTGAAAAATATATTTTATTTTCTAAGACTAAGTTAATTGTTTTAGTTTACAATTTAAAACAATGAATATTATATTAAGATATAAGATAGACTTTCATATCCATTAATTATATTTTATATATAAGTTTAAGTTAATATTTTAAAACTCTATTTATAAAAGCTTAAAATAAACTTTCAGCCCACTTAATATGTAACACTTAATATAGTATTTTCACTTTTATTCTCATGCCCAAATGAAGGGCAACACTAGACGTAAATCCCATCTCTGGATCTATATTCCATTATATTTTAATCTCAGTCAATATTTTTTTTTTGTACTTCGATTTTTATAAAAAATATCTATCAGATACTTGGTTTGGTGGTCATCACATTTCCACAAGGAAATTCTTATTGAACAGCAAATTTTATTGGACGAGCAACAAATATAGTTAAGTTGTAATATTTATCAAAACATTTATTCAGATGTTAGTCTATCACACAAAAGAATTTTCTGTTTTCTTTTATTTAAAGTGAGAAGATTGCAGGAATTGAATATGAAGTAAGCAGTAATATTTCTGAATTATCATTAAATAAAATACAATTAAATATGCCCCACTTAAGTAAGACACTTATATATATATATATATATAAAAAGGAATTCCTATTTATCTGTTACAACAGCATCTTTCCTAATATAATTACTTACAGAATTTTTTTTCCCTTATATATAAATACATTTGCATGGATTTTAAATCTAATTACCAGTTGTAACCTGGTTAAATTAATTTTTTGTGCATTTTTAAAAAAATGCAATTTAAAAAAAAAGAATCAACTGTTGTTAGTCTTTTACATTGCATTTGCACCTCTGTTCATTCTTACATGTCCAAAGAAGTTAGCGCCTTCAAAATTTGCCGTTCCCGTTAATTTATTTACATAACAATTATGACACACATTAATTTTTTAAAAAAAATAAACATTAAGTTTTTATAATTGTGCCACATTTGGCATACTTTTAGATCACTGCCTTCTTTATTAAGTTTGTAAAAGTATTCTCAGGTCTCACAAGAGGGTTAAATTACTAGGCTTTGATGACTTATTGATTGCGTTTCTATAACTTAAGATTAAATATCAAAATTTTGAGAGATTAAATTAAACATTTAAAAATAAAAAACAGACATTTATTTAAGAAAACAGCAAATCATTTAACTATACAATACCTAAAATCCAGAAGACTACTTGACCAGCACCAGCAAGGTAAAACAATGGGAAGGATATGAGTGATACTAAAGCATACTGATGAGCAAGTGTCATCTTTTGCCCTGCAAGATCAAGATGAGTATTATGTTCTAGAAAAATATATGCTTTTAGGTAGCCAGAATAAGAAAACACTTTTAACTGTACATAACTAAAACATAAAAGTGACTTTCATTGCAAGAGAAATTTGTGGTAACAAGTTCAAACTATCCATTTTAAGATCTTATTATATTAAGATGTCAGATTAGACATGATAAAGTGGTTACAGAGCCTACAAAGGTACAAGCACTTGGTTACCTAAAAATCCCATCTCTCGGGGCATAAGTTTCTCGAATGTAATGCTTTTATTTTCTATGCAACTTCTGGTTTAGTAATCTTGTGTACACATTCATAAGGATACAAATGTCTTTTTATTTTTATTAGCAATTTATTTTATTATTAATATTTTGATTATTAATAATTTAACTTTTTTTGCAACATTCAACTATCAGTTAATAACCTTAACAAGTATTTTTTAATACATTTAAATGACAAAAAAAAAGAGATTAAAACACTTAAATAAGATAGATGTCACCAAATAAAACCATTAAAAATTTTTACAAAATAGTTTTGTATAAACAATAGAAAAAAATTGTTTAAACACTTTTTCTTTGTACATGTATTAAAAAGTAAAAAAGTAGCTTTTTTTTAAATAAATTTTATTTTTTACAAGTTAGAAATTAGTTTTAAAATATTTTATAAACTGGAATTTATCAACAAAAATTCATCAAAGTATCAACAAATAAATAAAACATATTTTCAAGAGTTACATTAATAGAGAAATTATATTGTTAATCTAGTAAAATATCATTAGTATTATAAATAAATGTTACCAAATAAAACAATTTCTCTTGAATCATTTTTCAACTTGATAATGTAGCAAGATCCAAGGAATGCGGCAATAGCTATTAACAGTAAGGGGGATGTTAAGCTGAAAGCAAAAACATTTACTCAATTACTGTGTTCATAGAATAAAAAGTTATTAATACAAACATTTTGGTTTTAAAAAAAAAGAACCAATAATCACACAATTTAAGTCTATTTTATCGACATTAACATAGCAAAATAGAGTTGAAAAAGAACAAAATTATTTTTGTAACAGAATGTTCAAACATAAATTTTATTTTATTTTCAACAATACCTGTACTGATTTCTAACAGGGACAAATTAAAACAAGTAGTATTGAACAATAGCTACAAACCCTGAAAATTCAAAAACTTATTTGCTTTGTTTTGTTAAAAAATATAATATTTTTAAAAATGTCTTAAAATGCTTATGGTTAAGAATAACATTTTAAGAATAAATGGGATCTTGTATGAACGATTTTCATTTACAAATAGTATTGAATATGATATTTCTTATAGCAAATAAAATTATTTTTGTTATTAGAATTACATACTTGATAATAACTTACATGCAATAGACAATTAGTCCAATAAAAATGATAATATAATTGCTCTGGAAATATTCAACGTTCTTAACAACTCTGCTAGTACATCTAGGAAAAGAGTTGGGAATATGGAACATTTTGAAGTCCAAAAATTGACTCCATGGTCGTATTCTGTCTTTCCTTGTTAACAACCATTCTTTTGCAGCAGGGCTACTGAGATTAATAGGAACTACACTCATGTTTCCTTCTAGATAAAGTACCAAATCTGAAATGATATACATAAAATAAAAGCATTATTAGCATCTTTTAATCATAATATTAAAACTTTCACTACCTAATAAAGTAATAATTGTAAAATTAAATAATAATAGTAAAAAAATATGATGTTCGCTGATTGAATACTAAATTTAAAACACAGTAGAAGAATTGGTGCATATTCGTTTTAGAGGATCATAAAGAAAAAAAAGAGCCAAAAGTATAAACAGATTTGTAATTAATTGTAGTAATAGGTGCTGTGGCCGGCTTGACAGCCCAGTGTGGGCCACAGATTTCTTCATAAGAACTCTTGAGGCATCTCTTTTTGACACAATAGTCCTCTGATTTTTTAACACATAGAGTAAGGAAGTCATTTTCAACATCATCAACTAGTCTAGGTCCTCTTCTTTATCAGGTCACTTTATCACTTGCAATATGTCACTTTAATCAAACCCTGCAGACATGTATGACATCTAATGTTGGTTTGGGGTTCATCTTAAAATACCACAAGTAGGGTAAAACTGGGTAGCTAAGAATCGAATCCCTGCTGGTGCTAAATTGTTCATTTAGTTCTAGTTGTCTTAGTTTCCTAGGGCCACCAGTGCATTTAGCAATTTAAAAATACTAGAACTTCAGTGAAAAAGTAGTAGACATTTCTATTTAATATGACAATTTAAGAAAAATATAAACATGATTTACATATGTTGTAATTAATGATGAACTAGTGGAGGAAAAAGGGACAGTTGCATATCTGCAAACATAAGAGAAATAAAATAACGAAGATTTTACTAGCAAAATTTTTTAGGCTATGAGTTAAGTTTTGATTCAACAAAAAGAGAAATGCAAAATTACGAATAATATAAGCACTTACATTTAGCGAAGTAAAAAATATGTACATAATTCTTAATTTAAAGATATTTACATACTGCAGTACTGGCGATAGCATTATCTGTTGAGGAATAAGAGAAGTATTGTTGCCCTCAACAGATATTTTAACACCAGTTTTTTTACTTCTTTGAAATTTCTTCAACGAAGATGGAGAAATTTGAGAATATACAGACGTATACAAGAGTCTTTGTTAAAAAACAGGATACTTGGCAGGTATGCAATTATCCCGGGGTTATAGTGTTCATTAATTAGTATTTCAGTTAAAAAATTTCAGAGAACTTTTATGCATCTATATAAAAATTCAGATATTTTAAAATTCTAAAAATAAGTATTCGTGTGCTTTGAGAAAAAGTCCTACAACAAACTTTGCTTATGGGATCCGTAACAGATTTTTTCAGCCTTAGATATAGCGATTTTCTTCCTCCACTGCAGTACAGTCCTTGTCAGCTCATCATAGACTCATATCAAGTGGGTAGGAGCAAAACCGGGAAGTACCTGGTCTTACCCCGGGAGCAGAGGTAATTGAAAAGTAACAGAACAGTGCTATTTGTGCACTAAATTCTTATTGGTTGTTAAGGTATGAATTTTCAGTAACATACAAGAAGTAATAATAATTTTTCTAACAGTAATGACTAATATATAAAGTTTTCTTAAAAATAAAAAATACGAGAGCAGTTACATAGTAGAACAAACTCATTTTCACAGACAAAGTCTTTCTGACTAATAAGGCGTCATTTAGAATTTGTATGCAAGAAAACAGAACTAATTTCGACCCAATCAGGGAATAAATATCACAACACTGCTTATCCCACTCTCCCCAATGTAATTTAATTCATATGCATAATTTATTTATATTAAATGCATAAATATGAATAAAATAAAAATATTTACAAAATAAACAGAATATGTTTTGCAATACTGGAGGGAGAAACTATCAAATATTATGTTTGCTCTGCACAGAAGTCAAAAAGATGCAAAAAGAAATCAAGCCTAAGTTGGAATCAAATATAGGGACCGCCAAATATAGTTAGATATTTTCTTTTTTTTTTAATATAAAATATGTATAGCTGCTCATTGTCAAAATTATAATAAAAAAATATACCGCATTTATCAAATTACGTTGCGAAAAGATAAAAAATAATTTTGTACAATTTTATGGTTTTATACATATTAGTAGACATGTTAAGTTGTCAACAAATATTAATGCAATTTCCCCATGCAAATTATTAAATAAGGGCTTAGATAAAAATTTAAACTATAATATCAGACGAGAGTACTAGTAGAATGTAGGATCTATATCAATCATTTCATGAGAACGTATAATCCAACAATTCGACGTACGGTTCGTTAGAAAAGTAAATAAATAATCAAACTCTGGTCATGTTACGGTTACAAATTAATTAATTATTTATTAAATTAATTCTTAAGTTCGTATTATTTGAATTGAAAAATCTTCAGTTTGTTTCTTTAAAAAAACCCNCGAAATAAATAATCAAACTCTGGTCCTGTTACGGTTACAAATTAATTAATTATTTAAAAAATTAATTCTTAAGTTCGTATTATTTGAATTGAAAAATCTCCAGTTTGTTTCTTTAAAAAAAAACCCATCAAAATAACTTCAATCAATGAAAAATCTTCATTTTTCCATACTTTAAAAATGTACTAAATTTTAACCGCAATAGGATTTGTTAAAATCGTACAGAGTTTGTTGACGTCTGTTGTTCATAAATCCAATCCGGAAGTTCGCGGCTCAAGTCTTTCTTTTTTTAAAAATTATTTTCATAGCTGTTATTATTTCTCTTTCCCATCTGTTTATTCCTCTCTGGGACACATCTTATAGTCGGTAGTGTCACTTCGTACTTAACTCTTCGAGGAAATGCGGACATGATCGAATATTTTCGATCTAATCAAACTGCATTAGTTTCCGAATTTTGTTTTTCTAATATTTACTGGAGATGGAAACAACGAAGATGATACTTTTCGCTATATTTTTATATTCCAGCTTATGCCAGATTGGATCATGTTATACTACAGAAGATATGGAACTTTTTGATTTAGTTGAAAACACACCTCAAAATTTTTATGATCTGATGGGGGTACATGAGGTAGGTTCATAAAAATTGGAACATCTTTAAGAAAATACACGCATTTTAAATTTTTAATATAAGCCTCGAAATTTGAATATACAGCACGTGTATTTATTTAATGAATCTATATAAATTTGAAATAAGTATAAATTTGAATAAAGTATTATAAATTAAGATACTAAAATGAGAACAGAATGAACAAGTGCAACGAAACTAAATCACTCAACTGCCTTTTCCTTATTGATTCTTTTAAAAAGTATTTAGCCGTTCCTTTTCTTACAACATCATTTGACATCAATTTTGTATCAGTTAATAAATATGTGAGATCAATTATATGTATAATTTATTAACATATTGTATTAGTCTTATGGTGCAATTATTTTTATAATCAACAAACTAATAAAGATTAAAAGATTTGTAGAATTTAATTGGTTATTTAATATCTATTTAGTGAAATTTGTTGCTTAGCATTGCTTATATAATTATTTTTCATTAAATATAATTTTAATTTGAAAACTCTTAAGTTTATATATTTTTTAATCTATTATTATGATAACTTTTCTGTGGTGTTTGTTATTTATACTTAAAGTGATATCCAGTAAAGAATGTAACAGTGAATTTATTTATGTATAAATCAAAGGATTGAAAGCAAGAAACAGTATTTGTATTATACCATTAATCTAAAACACCATAATTTAGATTGATTCCTAATCCTTCAACTCTTTATCTCAAACATAATTTGAGGTAATGGTCTGCCCTAGTTGCCAGCATGTTTGATAGCAAGTTAGCCATATTCAATAGTAGCCACCTTTTTGTGTGTATAAGTTGCTCTGTATAGAAGTTATTTTTTTTATTTATTATTTATATAAATAGTTTGAATATTAATATAACCAAATAAAAAAAAATTAAATTTTCATAAAATGTTCCATTTCTGAGTATTTCACTTATTTCTTTAAGTAAACAGAAATATATAATTTTTAGATGTTATAGCTTTCCTGTAAAAGTATCTATAAAAATTATAAATAATATTTTTTTAAAAAGACATATTCTGTTTGTTACAATCAAAAGCATAAATGGAGATGATTTGCTTATCTAAGTTTATTCTTTACTTTTTGGTTTATGTGTAGAGTTTTTTCTGTTATCAGTGTAAATTAATTTGTATTGTCTTAGATTTTATTCCCATTTTTTAATATTTTCAAAATGCATTTTTTGTGTTACCAAAATAATTCGAACAATAAATATGCAGAATTTGTTATATTTTATTTTATTTAATACTGCATTATGTTAATCTAATTTCAGTCCTCTTTGTAAGCTAAAGAAAAAAACAAGGACATTTTATGTTACAGTATTCATGTACCAGACTTCTTTTAAAAAGGACAAACAACAAACTAAAAGTATAATTTTCCCTACTTAAATACAATAAAGACAAATTTTATTGCAAAAAAGTAATAAAATTTACTATTTTCAATTCCAGAGTTACTTTATTCTGAAAAAAAAAAAAAGATATAATAATTTCTCCAGTAAAATTCATGAAGTACCTACTATTGTTAGATAGAGTACTGAAAATTCATAAGAAATGAGATCAATATTTGAAAATTTTTATATTCATTAAAATAAAATCAGCATCAATTAGTTAATATTCCTTCATATTAATATTTATCTGAAATTTGTAATTGAGTTTATGACTTTTTTAATCAAATATTTTAAAGTGGGATTTCAATAATTTAGAAATGAAAATGTAGTGAATATAGGTCTTAGCATTTGTGTTCAAAAGTAATTTTCTGGATGAACTATTGATTAAAATATAGAGATATTAAATCAAAAATCCATATCTTTCGATTATTCAAACCAATTATTTTAAAAACTGCAGAGTTCTGCCTAAGAATAAAAAAGGACAGTACACTGCCTCCCCAGAAAGGGCACATAAGTTTTGAAAAGGCACTGATACAACACCATAAAAATTTATCAAAATGAGTAATATTATTTAATTATGAATTTTATTTTCAATAATTTTTAAATTAACTGCTTATGCTATTTGATGTGTGTATTTTAAAAATGATTATCTCTCATTATCAGAATACGAGAAATATTTGTGGTTTATAAAAATAAATAAAGGCATGCTATAAAGTAATCTCTGGGCATAATTTAAAAAAAAAAAAAATTTGAACAAAAAAAAATTATTAATTGATAAACAACTTTAAAGATTTTTTTTTAATGTAAAACTGAAAATTATGAGAAAAAGAACATTCAAAGTTGCATATTTTTTTGGTAAAAAAGGTATTTATTTAAAAAAATAATTTTAAAAATTAAAACTCTTAAAAAGTCAGCAAATTAAGAATAATCCTAACAAAGTAAATATATTTGAAATAGTAATCAGAATTAAACCTATAAACACAGATAATTTTACCAGTGTAATTATTATTTAAGCAGTGAATTTATTTAAAAATGGAATATGAATAAAAAGGCAGTGTTTTTAAGGGATGGGCGGCTTATTTTTACAAAAAGGACAGAGAAGGCGCATTTATAAGGATCAAAGGGCAGGCAGGGCAGACCGCCCTTCTAAAAACGCTTCAGGAGATCATTGTGTCAGAACAAAGTAATTTTAACTAAAGTAATTCTGAAATTAAATATAGCACTTTTTGTTATTCTCTTGTGATAAACTTTATCTTTATTATACTTAAGTACACAAATTATACCTTTTTATAGTTTAGTTGAAAATAGTCAAGTATATGCAGAAATGTCTTGATTTTTTTTGAAAAATGTTCTGAGTTTTTCTTTTGCTAACTAAAAGGCCTCATATGTTATTATTTTGTCATTTATTAATGCATTTAAATTAGAATTTTTTATTTTATTTATTGCCCTTTTTTTCTACTTATAAGCTCAAATTTCCCCTGAGTTATTTGTTCTAGTGAAAAAATAATGTAAAAAAAATATTTAAGAATGATTTTCAAAATCGTGACAAAATGTATTTCAATAATGTATATAATCAGAAATTAAAATAAATGTTATATACAATTCATTTGAAATCATCAAGCCATAAGACCTGATAATATGATAATAACTTATGTTTTATTGTAGGTATATTTATTCTGCTATATATGATACCGGACAAAATATGACAAAAGTTCTTAGAATATTAGTTTTTAAAATGATATTGTACTTCAAAGTTAATAAGAAATTTATAAAAATGTTTCAAGTTCTTGTTTACAATATTGCCTAAATTTTTATTTTTTTTAAGATGATTACAGAAATTGTAAAAACAGGAATTCTTCTTTTATTTTATTGGAAACAAGAATTTTTCTTTTATTTTTCATGTTAAAAATCAATAAAATGTATATTTTTTAAAGATAGTAGAAACCATGGAAAAAAACAGGTTTTTCTTAGGGTGGTAAAAATCATTGTTAAATCTGGTAAAAATTTCACATGTTAAATACTGTGCCAGCCCTGGAAGTAGGTCAAATATTAGTTAACTTGTACAATGGTAATTGACTGTTAATTTATTAATTGAAGGATATAAAGAAAGTTTACATCTCATAAATCTAAAAGTTTATTCAATCTAAAGTTACTGTTTTGAAAAAAAATGGTTTTAATTTTTTATTTTCATTAAAATTTTAAAATCTTGTATAAAATGATTATTTATTGAATTAATTAATTGTATTAATGAAATGTTTGGGTTGCCGCATTAAAATTGAGCTTTGTAATTTAATTTAGCTGTAAAATATTTAAATGTTATTTTTTCCGATAACTAAGTTAAAGGAATTATTCTTTTTAAAAATATTTGTATGGCATAAAAGCAAAGTATTCCCACAACAGCCCATTATAGACCAGGGGTTATGGAGGTTTAGGCTTCACAATTTCGTAACCAATGCCATGATTGTGGCAATGTGGTCAGCATTGCGCACAGGCAGACTTTACTTCCTAGGCAGGCTTCTACACATCAATATAAAGCTTGGTGGGCTTCAAGCCACCTCTGGGGATTGAACTTCAGTTCTTCACAATGTTCTTTTAATTCAGCCTTGTTATGCTCAATATTCATATAAACATATTTTCTCCATAATTAAATTGATATTAAAAAGTTAAATATTTTTTCTTATATTCTCTATAAGTAAAACATTTTCACTACAGCCTGTTGTTGGCCAGACAGCTCATGTAGGTTAAGGCTCCACATTCCGCTGGTCAGACCACAGTGCCAATATAAAATATCCTCAGTGGTAGACGGATCATGAGTTAAAGCCCCCTTGTTGTCATGCTAATCATGGGAGGTTTCCATGGTTTTCCTCTCCTTGTAATTTGAACCGGGAGTTCCCTTGTCTTCTGGATGGGATTCAAAATTACAAGTTGAAAGTCGTAAACTCAGAATTGGGTTTGGCTGTTCAACACTGGTCATAAAATATAAAATGACAGTTCAGTGTCCTAAAAACTGAGCCATCACATCTCATTTATATGGTATATATTATTTTAATATTCTAAATTCAAAAAATTAAGTTTTACATTATGTTTACTGATGGATTGATAATGATATTTTTTATCATATAAAAGTGATAATTGCTACCAAAGATTGGATAATGATGTTTTTTCTTCTTTGGTAGGAAAAGTATGTTTTAATGAGGGAGCTTTAGCAAATAAAACTACCAATCTGTGTAAACATAACCAAGAAAAATAACTTAAATTACATTTCAATTTGTTGACTCAACTGTTTTCACTTTGTTTATTGGATCATTTAGAAAGAATTTTCAGCTTTTGTTATTTTTTGATCAGAAGATAAACTGTAATTGCAAGTAAAAAGTAGACATTTTTATCTTTGGCTCATTAGCTTTATATTTTAATTTTTAATAATTTATTTTGTACTATATTTTGTTTTATTCTTTACTAGCATCTTTTGTTTTAAATGCAATTTTATGAAAGCCTAGCTTTTACAATGTTTAAATCATTACTGTTAAATTTAAATTGTCCAAGAATGTCTAAAAATCATACTTATTATATATTTTTTAAAATTTTTATTATCATTGAAAAGTTAAAAAAAGTTATGAATACTTTTTATTGACTTTTCTTATTGTTCGTTGTATAAATAATCTTAAATGCTTTTAAGGTTTTTAATAACAGTATTAGTTCAGTAAGTAACAGTATTATGTTTGATATGAAATTGAGGAAAGCAAACAAATATTTTAAATAAATAAATAAATAACGTTAGTTGCCACACTTTCTTTTTGTCTAATATGATCTAATTTAAAAGTATCTAATTTTTTCTTGTTTTTTATTCCCTTTTTTTGCAAGCCTTGGAAAATTTTTTATATTTTACAATTTAATTGATCTATTTTATGTATTTTTGTTTTATTTATGTTTGATTTTTATTTTAAATAGAAAGCTTCAGCAAGTGACATTCGGAAGGCATATAGAAAATTATCAACCCTTTATCACCCTGATAAAAATAAAGATTCAAATGCCGAGGAAAGATTTAGATCGGTAATGTTTTATTTTTATTATAATGTTTTATTATATTATACTCTCTCTCTGTGTATATATATGCATTTATGTATAGTACTCACTCTCTCTGTGTGTATATATATGCATTTATGTATAGTACACACTCTCTCCATTACATAAATTTAAAATATATCAGAAATATGATTTTTTAGCACCCTGTTGAAATATCATTTCACAATTAAAAAAATTAATAAAATTTTTGATTTATATTTTAGTTTTATAATAAAATAAACTATTCAATGAAAAACATGCCTAATAGTTATTTATTTTCTACTTTTTTACCTTATTATTGAAATTTTGTTATTTCCGACTAAAATTATGTAGTATAAAGCAGTAGGTAAATAAATTTAAATTTTAATAAATTTCTTAAAAGACGATCTTAATAAAATTTTTTGTTTCAAACTTGTTAAAAGAAATTTTAAATTGTATTACTTTTTTTTCTTCCAGATTTTTTGATTAAGTTAAATGGGAATAATCAGGCCACTATATTTTTATAGTAAATTTTAAAATTATTTTTGCTATGTTAAAAGAAATTCTATCTCCATGTTGTTTCATGTTTAAAAGTTCATAACTACTGTTGCCTAAAATTGTAATTTGTTTTGCTATTTTTACTATTTTTATTTATTTATATTGTAATGTGTATTACAAATTTTGCGTGGTACCTCTTGAGAAAATGGTTCTGGTACTGTAATGTTTCCAACTTTTATTTGGTTGTATATATGTCATTAATTTAAAACATTTTTATGCTTTTTTATTATTCCTCGCAATGAATGAACTAGTTTTTGGAAATTGCAACATGTGTGCATATTGAATTTGATCAAAAAATTTAAATGAAGGTTTTTTTATATATTTTCTTATCTGATAGGTCTGATTTTAACTGTGTAAATTTATTACACTCATTTTAGTATAAATAAAAATGTCAACTAACTTTTCGATTACAGTGTTACAATTTAAAAATATATTTAAAAAATATACTAAATGAAAGCTGACGTAATTTATACACCTGTTATAAAATGATATTCCATTTTATACTTTATATACATACAAAGTATGCAAAATGCTGACCAAGTCATCAGTAAATTTTATGGAAAAAAATAAAAAACCTTTCTGCAGATTTACACTAAACTTTAACTATGTTTGCTGCCTAAGTACTAAGTATTTTCAAAAGTTGAAGAAAAAAATGGAGTTAATGAAGGTTTTAGGTGTCTGCAGACTTCGATAAAATGACTACCTTTCTGTGAATACAAAATCGTAATTAAAAAACTTTCTGCACGCATTGAATAACTCTTGAGACTAGTTTCTACCTTATTGTCGCTGCCTCATTTTGGTGAAATTTGTTTGAAAAGCACATATTTTTTTAGAAATGTTTAATTTTTATAGAACTCTATGTTGGTCCATGCCACAGGTATGAATTTTGTAAAAAAACTGAAAATAGAAATCAAAAATGTTTTAAACAAAAACACTTTTTAAGTAATTGAAAAAATACCTTATATTTGAGCAAGAAAAAAGTATGTAGGAAGCATTTATCCATAGATTGTTATCAGCGTTTTAATAAAAATATCGATGCGAGTACTTTATTTATTTATTAAAATTGTGTGTATGTGAATCTCAATGTGTGATTGTAAATTAACATTAATACAAATCTCAATGTTTGACTTTAAATTAGCATTAATTTGAATCTCTATGTTTGACTTTAAATTAGCATTAATTCAAATCTCTATGATTTCTATGTTCTCTATGGTGTCTATATTTTCAGTTAATTTTAGTGTAAAATGCTCTTGTTTTTAGATGGCTGCTGTGGCTGAAGTTCTACGGAATGAAGAAAGGAGAAAAATGTAAGCATATTATATGAAAATAAATTATTTTTTCCTTGTTTTTTTGCAGAGTTTACTTTTTTCTGAGTAATTTATTTTCATTTACCTTAAAATTTTTTAAATATGTAAATTGAAGATAAATTAATTTAGTTAAGTGTGCGTCAAAAATTTAAATTTGTTTCTTATAAATACTACACTTTATACAAAATTTTGGTACTAAAAATTGTTTCATCAATTTAAAAGGGGAAATTTTCACTTCAATCTTGGTTTTTAAATTAATTTTATCAGAATTTTGAATTTGGGCATACAATCCAAACACTTATAACTAACAATGATGAATTTGAGATTGATTTAAATGATTTATTTAATTATTTTATTTAAAATTAATGTACATTGTATTAATTTTAAAGCTATAAACTTTGCTATAGATAAAAAGTATAGGTTTTAAATGAAACTGTCTCGAGCTGTAATTACGTTGCATTTGCATCCCTCTGAGTCTAATCTTAAAAAAGATGAAAGAAGAGTTTTTAAATCAAATTTTAAACTTTTAAATACCACATGTCTTTCTTAACAATAATTTTTATTTTTCATTGTTTATTTGATAACAAAATTCTAGTTCTACTTTAACTTTTTGGTTGGATGAGAGAAAACTAACATTCATATTCAACAGAAACTGATATTTATATTCATGTGACTTTTGTTTATTGTTTACTTTAAATTTTATTTATGTGTTACAAAGTGAACGAGTTTTTGTATTTTTCCTTTTCAACAAGGTATGACCTTATACTTAAAACCGGATTGCCAGATTGGAGAGCTCCTATTTATTATTATCGACGTGTTAGAAATATGGGTCTTCTTGAAATGTGCATTTTTCTTGTATGCCTCTGTACTTTCGGACAGTATCTTTTTGCATGGTCATCCTACCTAGAGAAGAAATATGAAATAGTAAGTAATAAATATATACTTTTATTATTTTTAAATTCATTTTTTATGTATCCTCCTTGCAGGATTAAATTAAACAGCTGTAGTTTTTATTAATAATTTTAATTATAAAATAATATGAATCATTTTGTTAATTTATAATAAAATGAATTCATAGATTTCAATATTTGTGAACAGCCCCAGCGTTGTTCACAAATATTGTAATCTTAGATTTTGACATAATATTTTAGCCAACTATATAAAATTTGCACTTATGTAGTGACCTAAGAATATGCAACAAAATAAGAGTTGTGTGCACTAGAGTATTTCTGAATCTTCTTGGTTGTAATCAAACTCTCACTAGTAGATTTGATAAATTTATCTAAAATATGCCAATTTAAATTTAATTTAACTAAAATATGCCAATTTGAATTTAAATCTATCTAAACTATGCCAATTTAAGCTGAATTTATCAAGTCTGTTAGTGAGAATTTGATTTTAACCAAACTCTCAACAACTTGATAAATTTATCTAAAATATGCCAATTTAAGCTAAATTTATCTAGTCTGCAAATGAGAGTCCGGTATGCGAGTCTGGTAACGAGAGTCTTATCTAAGTCTGAATGGCTTCAACTTTTCACTCAATCTGTAATTTGCTTTTAGATGAATTATTTAAATTATCTTTTGAAGTAAGCAATAAAATTCAACACAACAAACTCTTTTTTTTGCACTTTGGCTTCAATGTGATTGAATGGTTGGATTTTTGATTAATAATTAAAATGAAAATAAAAGGAGGAGGATGAAAGTTAGTTAAAAAAAGAGAAAAAATATATAATCTGTAGATTTTTAAAGAATTATTTAAAATTTTCCTTGAAATTATCATCTTATTTAAAATTTTAATAATAAAGGCTGAGAGTTTTACTAATAACCATTTAAAAACTAATCCATTATTAAGCAACCTCTATAAAAACTTAAAGAAATAAATTGGCTCAATGTACAATATAATTTGTATGCGGTTTGCTGAAATAAAGTTGAAGATACTTTAATAATTTGAAAGTGCTTTCAATGTTTGCATTCAAAATAAAATTTATGTATTTTACTATTGGAAGGAAGAGCTAAAAGTGGTAATAACATTTAACATACATAATATTTTGTGACACTATGTAAATTTTTTAGAAAGTTGGAAACACAAATCAAGCAAAAAAAGAATTTTTAAAGATATGGATTTTAGCAAAAACAGCTTATCATCAGGGGACACACTGTCTGCTAACACACAGGAACCTTTCTGTTTACAGTGGTAATACCAAAAACTGACTGTGACCCGAGCCCCCTAATGGATAAACTAAATAAGAAAAAGCAATTAAAAATTCAAAAATTCAAATGTAGATACAATGAAAAATTAATGATACACAAACACAAGTCAAAAGTACACAGAGAAAAAACTAATAATGAAAAACCCACTTATAAGAAAAATAAATAAAGATAAAGTTACCGTTGGAAAAACCAGGTCAAAATAAATAAAAATTGTCAAATCTTTAAAAAAATTGCATTGCAAAACTTGGCAATACATTGTAAAACTTGAAAGAACTATGTCTAAGCATGAAATCTTTTTGGTCTTGTTTTTGAATTCTAGATTTTAATTGCCCTTTTCTTCAAAATAATAAAATAAAAAAAAATTTAATTAAGTATTTGTATTTTCAAATTTTTTAAAAATTTTTTTGTGTTTTTAAATTGACTAATTTTTTTAAAAATTGGCCTATTTGTATATTTTTTGCCATTGCTATATTTCTAAAGAAGTTTCTACATTTTCTCAGCATTTATTGATTTAATTGAAATGTCTGCAAAATTTTGTTATAATTAAAGTTAGTTAAAAAATCATTTTAGAGTTTTTTTTTTATTAAATTCAGCTTATTGTTTGTCTTTATAACTGAAATTATTTCATTTATAAAATGNCCCGAGGATCGAACCAGGGACCTGTGGCACAACAGCGCGAAGCGCTACCGCTCAGCCACTGGGCGTAAATGATAATGTTATTGCTACCATTTTGCAATACAATGAAACCTACAGGAAAGACTCTCTCTCTGTAGCGACCTCCTCTATTTATGAACACTTTTAGGAGGCATGGGATTTTTTTTCCGTAAAAGTTGTGGTTAAAGAAAACTTTTAGGTTCATCAAAACCTCTCCCAGCGATCAGGAAAACCTCTTCCAATGAACTTTTCCAAATGTGGAAAAGTTCAAATGAGGAAACGCAAAAGAAAGAAAAAAAAATATATCAAAAGGAAAAATATTAACAAAACAAATGAGTAGATTCAAATATATTAAAAATATTGGTGAATGCATGGCTCTAATTTAGAGAGCTACGATATCTCACCCATTGTGGTGGTCCTGAAAGAGTGGATACCACCTCTGGAGAACGCACTAGGTCTGCTCATCGGCAAGACCCCGATTGTGCAGCTCATTGGAAATGAAAAAAAAAAAAAAAATTTAGAGAGCTCTTTTGACAATCTGTGAAAGAAATTGTCAACCTCATGTTGAAGTCAGAGTGCACTGAAGACAATGCTATCAATGATCTATTTTTAGAGTTGAAAGTTAAAATTAGAAAAAAAAAAACTATTTTAGAAAAAACTAAGCATCTCAAACAAACAAACCTTTTCACTAAGTGGATAAGCATAAGCTAACTAATGTTTCCGAAAGCTGAAATTAAAGCTAACTGATTTTTATGATATAAAATCAAATGCAAATTTAAACAAAAAATATAATTGTTTGTTTATTTAAAGTAGTTCTATTTTCCATAATTGTTAATTTTTTTTGCACACAATTATATCATTAGGGGTAATTTTTATTGAACACGCTAAATTTTATTCATCAATCTGGTTTTCATGATGCCAAAACAAGCGGTATTTCCGCACCAAGAAAATGATACTGAGAAAAATTAAAATCACTTGCTAAAAATCATGTACCCTTGATAACATTTTGAAGTCAATGGAGGTAACCTCCAAGAATGACCAACCTCAATTTACGACCATTTTACTGTGAATCAGAGAGTGGTCATCCCCGAGAGGTTTCACTGTATTTCTGTTTTTACTTCAATAAAACTTTATTTTGTTATTCAAATTTTTTTTTACTTAGTTACTCATTCAAGGATAATTAGTTATTTATTTATTTATTATTAGTCATTAAATAATCCAAACTTTCAACTTATAATTCTATTACAATTAAATTGTAACTATATTGTCATAAAAGTGCTTAGACTTAAAGCATAAATTAACTAATTTTTATTAAACCTACAGAATTAAAGTGAAATAAATAGATTTAATTGTTTATTTAATTGTATTATAAAAACTGGAAACATAAATTTTAACCTGAAATTGTTTATTATTGCATTACTTTTTAGTTTTTTGACTAATTTGCTACTCTTTATTTGTTAGCTTCTATTATAGGAACAGAACATTTTTTCTTTCAGTTACTTTATTTCCCTTTCCTTAAAAATCTGGATGCAGCTCTTGAAGCTTTCTGATTCCTTACTATGAAATTGTTTGATATTATTCGTGTTGAATTTCCTAAAATATAAAAATAAAAACAGTTTAGTAAAATATAATGTCGTGTAAATCAGTTAATACTAATATAATTTTTTAGATTTCTGAACATTTTGTTTACAATTAAAGTTCATTGCATTTTGTTCATAGGAAGAAGTTGTTCTATCAAAAATCAGAAGAAAAGCAAAACATCAAAGAAAAGGAAAGAATGCCAAAATTGAAGAAGAAGCTCTTGTATCTGAAGTTATGTCTGATCTTCACAAACCTAGGTTTGAAAAAAACTAACTTAATAGTCATAATTTACATATCAGCCCTCATTTTTGTGTAAGAAATAAATAAAAGGATAATGAATGATATAAATGATATAAATGATTAAATTACTTTTTTTTTCATGAAATATTAAGTTTGGAGTACAGCAAAAAATAGTAATTTTTGTAAAATACTTTTTTTTTATTCTTATAAAAATGCAAAGAGATTTGCGAAAGGATTTAAAACTAAAAACTAATAAGCCTTCATTTTTATGTAGTAAAAGAGAGAGTAAAGTTGTTTAAATGAAAGATATGAATGGTTTACTTACTTTTTTTTTTTTTTTTTTTTTTNTTTTTTTTTTTTTTTTTTTTAAATGAAATATAACCATAAACTTTTGTGTCTTGTAAAAAATCTTAATTTTTAAAAAAAATTTTTTGTCTAATTTTTGTTAGTTCTCAAAAATATAAAGGGACTCACAAAAGTTTGTCTAGTGAAAAAAAATCCTAGTTACAGTTAGTTTTTGTAAAATATCTTTGCTAGTTCGTATGAAAATGTAAAGAGACAACAGTTTAAAAGTTTAATTAAAAAGATAGGTTGTGGAAATATTTTCTGATGCATAATATTTTTATTTTATTTGTTATGTTGGTTATGGTTTAATTAAAGCTAAAAATTGTTTCAAGTAAATTCAAACAAAATAAATCAATATATGTACTCAATCAATATCAGTACCGAATGTATTTAACGTCATAGTTCAATGTATTGTAAATTCAATGTAGTTCAATGAATATATTGAACATTTATCTACTGAATGTATTGAGTTGTATTAATCTGGATGTAGGTATCCTTTATTGTAAAGAAAAGATAATTTTAATTTAAAATTAAATATTAGTTCTAAAAGTTGTTTTTAAAATTGTTTTTAACTTTGGGCCATTAATAAGGCATCTTTAGTTTTTTAATAAACGTTATTTTTAAGGTTAAATTACATTTTGAGGAATTTTTCTGAAGTTAATTAATTGTTTAATAATAAGTTTTATAAATATTGTTTTAGTTCAGTTACATAGCTAAAGTTTTAATATTTTTTCAATAATTTTGTTTGCTAAATAAAGACACATACCACACCTGGCATTACCAAATCCGTTTAGTCCGCAAATCAGTTTATAGGTTTTTTTTCTTCTCCCCCCTTTCTTCTAAGATTCAGAGCTGCCATTAAGTTTTAGAATAGCTTAAAATGGTTACATTTTCAATTTAATCTTTCCAAACATATTAATATTTATTGTTTTAGAGAAAACAAAGTTTTTTAGAGTTTAAACAATTTCATTGAATTAGTTTTATAGTTTTTCCATATTTAGCTGCAAGCTTGATTTACTTTTATTCTTAATTAATTGGTCGCTATGTTATTTATATGTTTTTTAAGTTTTGTGATTGTGCATTTGCTATCTAACTTAAGTGTTTTATAATAATGTTTATGACATGTTTCTGAAAATATTTGATCCAACATTTATTGCAATATTTCAGGTGCCAAGATTTATTTCCTGTGCTTTTGTTTTATTTCATTATCAATTTAATAAAATCCTCACCATCATATGTTGCTTCATGTAAAGAATTTCTGAAATCTCGCAAGGTAGAAGAGGAAGAAGAAGAGGAAGGTGAACCAATTCCTAGTAAGATACTTAGATAACTTTATAATGTAAAATAAAAATAGAATGTTTTGCTGTTTATTATTGAAGTGATTAAGTATTTCTTCGGACACTAGTATTTTCTTATTCCTCAGCCTAACTGTAGGTAATTGCAAACAGTGCTTTTATGAAAGAATTCAGAGTTTAGAAGGAACTGAAAGAAGTCTTCTTTATTTTAAAAATTATTTTTCCTTCATTTGAAAAATTTTAATTCAATTCTATTTTTAATTTTATTAAGATTATTAACAGACTTAAGATTTATAAACAAGGATTTATAAACAAATGAACTCGTTTTTAATGTGTTTTTTTACTTTGCATTAGATTTATTTTAACCCTCATAAACATATATCTTTCTGAGGATTAATGATCTTTTTTTATAGAGCCTACAGAATTTACATTGAACATATTGCTAAGATAAATTATTAAAATTTTATTCACTATCTAAAGCATTGTGATATTTTTTGAAGTCTATGGCAGACCGTGGTGTATAGTCCAGTTTTAAAAGAAAATGGTCCTCAGACTGGAATCAGATTGTAAGAAAGCATAAGTTTGTAAGAATTAAACTTAAAGGTATTATACTAGTATCTATTTCTGCCAAATAATACCTTTGTTAGAGTGTGTTAGTTTTTCTAAAATGATACTCGAGTCATTAAGCATTTTAAATTTTTTTATTATTTATTAACAATAAAAAGTAAAATTTTGCGATTATAAACTCGACAGAATTTACTTTGATAAATCAGAAGTAATTTGAAAAAGAGGTCTTTATTTTAAAAGCTTTGATTATTAACAGAGATTCAAAACTAAGGCTGTTTACAATTGACTTAAGTATAGAAATCTTTGTGTGAAAACAAAACTAATTGATTATTTTATAATTAATAAGAAGAGTCAGTTTAACTCAAAATTTTATATTTTTTGCAGTTTAAGCGCCGCATAAGAAAGCTGTTTCTTTTTATCTTAGGATTCTGTAATTGATATGTTTTGTTTTAACATGATGCTTATTTTTAAATTTGATAAATTTTAATCACTGCATTTAGATCAACGTGTGAAAGTACGCAAATCTGTTAAACCTAAGATTCCAGACTTTGCTGATATTCCTTCTTATGAAATAACTTCTAATGGCTCTACACCTACAACATTAAATGGAAATGTTGTTGAAGAAAAGAAAGTTAGTATCTTTTCAAGTCTTCAGTTTGCTTGTGTTTAACAATATTTAGTGAATTTTATGATTTCTTGTTAAGTAGAACCAGTGTTGTTATTTTGGGTACTGTTCCATTTTGGGGTAGGGCATTAAAACATTATTTGGGAACCTGAAATCTGAAATTACCCCTGAAATTTTGAACCCAACTCAGAATACAAGGGAACTACTATATAAAGCATTGGAGCAAATTAGCCTTTGTAGAGGACTTTATGATACAACTAACCTGCATTTGCGTTACATAGAGAGGAAAAATATGGAAATCTTCCACGGTTAGCCCAACAATAAGAAAATCCTAACTCGTGAGCAGTCTACCTTTCAAACACCAGAGGGAGAAAGAAAAAGAGTAGGACCTAAAACAAGATTGGTAGATAGAGAAATGATTAAAGGACTTAGGAGTTAATAGATGGAGAAATATAGTATCCAATACATCTAGATGGGGTAAACTGACTGAGACTGCCTTGGCCGGTAACTAGCTGTAGTGCTTAAGAAGAGGAAGAGAAAAAACATGAAAATTTCCGACGGTTAGCCTAATGACAAGGGGACTCTAATCCATGATCAGTCTACCACTTAGGATATTTTACATCAGCACTATGGTTAGTGCGAGCCAGGAGCAGAATTCATATCAACCAGCCTTCGCTGGGATTCAAACCTGGGTTCACCTTGTAAGGCGAACGCTCTATCACCAGGTGCTGAAGGTGCTAGTTCAAGGTGCTGAAGTTTCAAGAAATCATCTATCACATTTATGTATAAAAATTCTTGTATATTTTATTCAAAAATATTCGAACTATAATTTATACTTGGCATCTCTTTCATTTGTAAGAATAATAAATTTGATTAGATATAAGAGTAAACTTATACACAATTATTCGTTTAAATTATGCTGCATATAATTTATTTAGAATTTCACGTTCTGAAAATATCAATGATTTAAATTTATAAAGACATTAATTTTTTGAAATGCGTCATTAGTTAATTTACTCTTGAAATTTTCAGGATTTTTGAGTTGGGCTCACAATCACCCCCTGTTTATGTGACAATATAATATATTTATATTTTTCTATCTGTTTTTGAAACTGTTTTTGATATATTTATTTGAAAAAGTATATTAATTTTAGATTCAGAAATGGAATTATGAAACATTGACAGAACATCAGATGGGAGAATTTAAGAAAGCTTTGAAAAAATTTCCTAATGGCACCCTGCAGAGGTGGGAGAAAGTTGCAGCTTTTCTAGGTTGCACTGTTAATGAGGTAAATTAATTACCAAAAAGTTCTTTTAAAATAGTTAATTGCTTGTTATTGTACAAATATTGTTGAAAGAAATTTTCAGATACTACTTGAAGTTTACTATGTTTCTAACTTCTAAGTTGTATTATTTTTATATTATAAGTTTGTATTATTGTCTTTATTCATATCTTAAACAATTCAAGTTTTTATTTATATACTATTCATCGTTTTAATTAAAACTATTTCTATTAGGAATATTTGTTGCCCTATTAAAATTTTTTTAATGATTTTTATGTGTTTTGTTATAATGTCTTTTAGGTTGTCTCAATGGTTAAGTTATATAAGAACCAACAATTTACAAATGGAGTTCCAGCATCATTGCAAGGTATGCATAATATATGTATAATATCAATCAGTGTTGTATTTTCTTATTCAAAAATAATGGTTTAATTTTTTAGCTTTTATTATTTAATTATAATTAAATAAGTTTTTGACCCCCCCCCCAAAAAAAAATGAAATAAAAATCTTAATGATAAAAAATAGTTTAATTTCCTTGTACAATATGGCTAACTAAATTATTTAGCATTAAATAAAAGGTAAGCCTTAAGTTTTGTGTTTTGCCTTATAATGGAAAATTTGACTACCTATGACTGTTGTTTGTATGACTTATATACTTTTGTTGTAGCAGTGTCACACAGCATAAAAAATGTTTAAAAAATGTTTGCTACTTCTTTTAGTACTTCAGAAAAGAGAAATGATGCTGTACTAAATAAAGAAAGAGTCACAGTACTTTTAAAATGTATTTCTGCTGAATTATTTCTTTCTTTAAAATATTTTTTTTTATGACTGATAATATAATTTTAGAAGATAGGGCAAAAAAGTTTGATTGGAGAAACTGAGAACAGTTGCTTATTTTTATTTTATAAAAATGTAATAATACTGCTCATTAAATGCAGTCTATTTTAGTTACTCTATGGAAGAATTTATATAGTTGATTTGCTTTGAAAAATTTAAATAGTTTTCTGTAGAGCCGGTATGAAATTTTTTGAAAATAAATAGTAATATTTTTAATAAATAGTAATATTTTCTACAGTCAATTAATAAATTGAATATTTTATTTTAAAACAATTAAATATTTTTTAAAATTGAATATTTTTTTTAAAAATTTAAAATTTTATTTTAAAGCATTGTTTATTTTTTTCTTGAATTCCAAGAGGAAGTTAATGTTTAGTTGGACATTTTGTTCATTTCAATAATCTTTAATTGTAATTTGTAAATACCATAAAATATTTATTCCTTATAATATTTTTAATTATTTTATTTGTACCGGGTACTGCACTTTATAATTATCAAGGAAAAAGAAAGTAACAAGAATGCTGCTTTTAAATGTTGTATTTACTCTGGATTTTTTTCTTGCTGTATTTTTTTTACTATTTTTGTTACTTGCTGTCTTTTTTTCTTCTTTAATTAGTTCATTATCTAGTAAATTGTTTTTACAAAGTTACTTAACATTATTATGAGAGCAATGTCACATTGCTAGGAAGCCTTCTGATTTTTAATTTTTAATATAATATTAATTAAAAAAAAATGAATTCATGAATCCTATTTTTATTTATTTTTTTTTTTTTGCAGAAAAATTAATTATCTTTATGGCAAATTTCTATTATGAATCATAAAAAATTTGTTTTTGAAAAAATATATGCTTATGAAAGTAATATTTTTTCTATATTGGTTTTGTAGAAATAAAATTTTATTATTTAAAATTATTTCTGTGTAGGAGTGACTGGAACTGAGAAAGAGAACTTTGGTTCTGAAATGTACGAAGAAAAAGATTCCACACGCAAAGAAAGTGAGAATCTAGCAAAAGAACGAATGCCAAACGCACAGAATGGTCACAAAGTAAATGGACATGCTAGCGATCAACAGAAAAGTAATGCAGCTTTGGAGTCTGATAAATTCTGGAAGCAAGAAGAACAAAGGTCTCTAGAAATAGCTCTACAAAAGTTTCCTAAAGACACTCCTTCTCGTTGGGACAAGATTTCCGACTTTGTTTCTACTAAAACCAAGGTATGTGGTATTTGATTCTGATGGATTTATTTTCAGTTTTTGTTTTGATAAATTATGATTACATTAGGATTTCTTTAAAGCCTTTTTATCAAGGACAAAAAAAGTCTGTAGTTTAAGTACCTTATACTTGAAACAAAGCTTTAATTTGAAAGTATATATACTGTCTTACTGAAAAGAACAATATGTATTTAAAAGCTTATAATCAAAAAAATTATCTAGCTTTTTAAAAATTTCTTACTTGATTAAATTTTTTGCCTAGATGAAAAACATTAAATTTAGCGAATAATTTTCAGTTTTTGTACATTTTTAACAACAACCCAAACAGTGCAGCATTGGTGTAATTTTTCAAACATGAAAAAATAAAATCACAAACACTTTTCATTATCACTAAACTATGGCTTTTTAGCAATTCCAATTTTTTGTAATTAGTTCAAAGGGCATTGGTTAAAAATGGACAAAACTTAACCAAACAGTGATGAATAACTTTCACTCACAAAATTTCTAGAAATAGCAAAGCTATTAAGAATTATTTCATAAGATGATAAAAATTAAAATAGGCAGTCTTATTGTCATATGTTATGATATAAGTTTTCATCTAGATGGAAAGAATTAAAATTAGTGAATAATTCTCAGTTTTTTTGTATATATTTTTTATGAGCTAAAACAGTACAGCTTAGGTGTAATTTTTCAAAAATGAAAAAATCAAGATACAAACTTTTTTCATTATCACTAAGCTATGGCTTTTTATAATTTCTTACTTTAATTAGCTCAAAAGGCACTAGGTAAAAAGGGACAAAACTCGACTCAACAGTGATGAATAACAGTTACAAATTTACTAAAGTTCAAGTAATAGCATATTATTTGCTAGAAGGAGTTATTTCCTAAGATGACACAAATTAAAAAGGACAGTCCTAGTCTCATATATCATCTTATAGATATTTCACTTAATACTCTTAAATTTTCACTATGGAGATTTTTCTGAAAATATTTGACCTATATATTCGGTTTATATAAAAGCACTTGAATAACTGGTTTACTTACATGGTGTTCATGATAGACACAGAGCTGATAAAGGGTCCATTTTACTTATCTGGTATTAAATTAATACAATTAAACCTTGATCTATTGTTTCTCACGAGATCCTTTATTGCGAACGATGGGAAAAAGATGAAAACATGTCAACATAGAATGTGAAGTAATGAGTTAAAAATCTATGAAAATTATTTATAAAACATTATCCAATTAATGGAAAAATATTTACCATGCTAAAAAAAGATAAATAAACACATATTTTTATTTAAATTATTTGAAAAGTTTGGTTTGGCAAACGTTAAATTTTCATCATTTGTGACCGATTTTTGTTCATTTTCTGTAAGTTTGTATAAATGCAGAAAGCTCATTATTGTTTCAAAGGGTTTGTGGTTGAATGTTGGTTACTGGTTGTGGTTTGTTTTAGCCATCATCATCACTTTTCAGTTTCTGCCATCATTTTTTGAACCAACAACATCACAAGTTCCAACATTTTCATCAACTGATGCATAAACCAATGCAATGTTTGAAGTGTTTTTTCCAAACTGTAACAAATCCTTAGCCTTCTAAACAAATCATTATTTTTTTCCCTCTAAACAAAATGTATTTAATTGTTTTAAATGTCAGTACAATTTTTGAACAATAGACAGGGGAATTTGATAGTTATAAAAATGAGTAAAACGGATATCATGAAATTATAAGAACAGCATTTGTGACTGGACTATTGAAACAAAATGATACAAACGGGAAAACAAATGATGTGGGAATAATGGTTTGAGGTTCGACTGTATCGCAGTTTTAATTATCACCCATGATTTGTTTTTCAATTTTTGCATGTTTTAAATTTTTAATTGTTGAATTGTTGATTTGTGCTGTTAAAAAGGCATTTTAGGTAGTTAAAGAAACCAACGAAAGAATTTTTTTTCTAACAGAAAATATTTTTTAAAATTGAAAATTAGTATTCATCGATAAAAATCATTTTCCTTTCCATGTAATGAATAATTTGTTCTGTATTCTGCATTATATTGTATACTGGATTATGGAGGTTTATAAAATCTTGGTCAATGATGCAATTTTTTTAATACAGTAGAGCGCCGATTATCCTAACCCTTATTATCCGAACGTCCAATTATCCGAACGTCCAATTATCCGAACTATGTCCGAATTCTTCTTTTCTTTCTTTTTCCCCCTTTTTTTTGAAGTTTAGAATATTTTTTAACTTATCGGCAATTTTTCTACATTTAGAAGAATAAATAATATCCACTACACTTGAAGACCATATTTAATTTACAACCTTTTTTAGCAGTTTTCTTATAGTAGCCATACATACATGTATTGTTATACAGTTAAGCCTACATAACCCTTTAGCCCTCTTCAACTAAAAATTATCTTCCAAGAATAAGCTTCATTTTGACAGTCTACAATAGTTGGGATGCAGAAGGAGTTTATGAATAGATAAGTGCTGAAGTTCTGCAATTGGGGAATGGGTAATTGTCAATTATGGTTAATGATTAGTGATTATAGTGCTTGGAATCTTAAATCTTGGAATAAAATTCTTAACAGAAAAACAAACCAAACTGAAGTTTCTGAACCAGTAGATCTTCCGAATGAAAAGATGCCAGGTTATACAGCAGAAGAAATAGATGACTGGTGTCGAGACACTGAAAACGACCCAGGATTTAAAATTTTAAATGATGATGAAACTGTTGCTGAAATTTTGAAAGAAAATCGGAAATCCGCAGACGAAGAGGAAGAAGTAGGTGATCAAGTTCAAGATAGTGGACCTTCTCATATAGAAGCATGCAATTCATTAGATATTGCAATGAATTGGCTAGAACGTCAAAATAATGTTGATCCCGTTCAGTTGATTTATTTAAAAAGAATAATAAGGGATATATCTGCTCAAAAAAGAGCATCTTCTTTGAAACAAAACAAAAAGTCTTTGAAACAGAAGTCTTTGCTGGATCTCTTTTGTAATGGAAAATAAAGGAAAATGTAGTGAAATCAGTAATTGACAAAAAAATTATAAGCTGAAATATGACAAAAATAATTCAAAATGAAAAAAAAGTTTTAAAAAAATAATTAAATAGAAAATATTTAAAAATTGAAAAGAAAAAAAACTTTTAAACACTCCAGAGCTATTTTAGATAGTATTGTCAGTTCTAAGCCCAGAAAAAGTGTGAATGGAAGTTAGTGCATAAATAATAATCATCTAAACTAAATTTTAAGCAACTTTCCAACTATCCGAACTTTTCATTATCCGAACAACGTTCGGTCCCGAGCAGTTCGGATAATCAGCGCTCTACTGTATATGAAAAATTTCTAACTCTCCCATATCTTCAGATTTATAATTTATATATAATTGTTATTTTCTTTAAATTACATTTTGAAGTTTGATTTTGTATACATTTAATTTATTATTTTAGGAGGAGTGTGTTGAGCGATTTAAAATTTTAGCGCAACAAGTTAGAATGAAGAAAACCAAAGGACTTTGATGTTCGCTTTTACCCCTAGCTATTATTTGAATCAAAAGGTTAATTATGTATATATGACTATTTATTGACTATTTTTATTGTAAAGAAAATCTTCCATTTGTATTATATAACAATTAAAATCTATGCAATAAATGACCTCTTGCTTTTAATGCCATTGACTGAAATTCCTTTTAAATATTTAGTAAGTTGAAGCTTGTTCTTTCTACTATAGTGCTGCTTTGAGGAGAGCTCTTCCAAACTAAAAGTTTGGGACTGTCTACTGCTATAGTAACAAGCAAGAGCGCATTTCTAATGGGGTTCAAAGGAAGAATGATGGCGTTGATTGGTTTACTCACACCGATCTTTGCCAAGATTAAGACAAAACTATTCACCCCACACCCCTATTCAAAGTGACTTTCCCATATAACCATAGTACCCGTCACTCCGCGAAACTGATGTCTGGTGAAGTTCTCCTGAAAGCTGCACTATATATTTAGTGCTATTCATCCTGTTTATTTTATTGTATAAAATTTAAACTTGTTAAGATATTTTTTTAAAATCGAAATCACTTATTTAATTTTTCATGATTGTGATTTTGTTAATTTAAAAGCATTTGTCTAATGGTTTTTCAATCAAAATTAGAAATCAATTTTTTTTATTTGTAATAATTCTCACAAAAAAAAAACCATTTCCAAAGGATAATTTTGAGTTGCAAAGATACTCTTTTTCATTTAAGATTAACTTTTGAGAACTATTTCAACAATTTTCTAAAATAATTTTACAGTTCTACTTTAAAAAAAAAAATTATATTAACCTAAAATACTTCTTAATAGACTAACTAAATTATCAATGTAAATTTTAATATACTTTCCAAAATTGTGGTGAATATCACTTGTTTATCTTTTTTAATAACAACAATAAAACAAAATGTTGAGTATATCCTTTTTTTTTTTAACTTCTCAGAATTTTATTAAAATTGTTACAAATGTTCACTTAAAATAATAATTTATTCAATTTATCCTGATTATGAAAAAAATATGGATGCTCACTATTTGTTTTAATTCAAAGATAATCCTTTTTTTTTTGTTATTTTGTTAGTAACAGTTTAACTGCGGAATGAGCTGATGAGCTCTATCATAAGAAATATTATCATATCATAAGAAATATTATTATATCATAAGAATTGCTTAAATTTTGACTAATTTCATTATTGAATAAGGGAAGCAACTATTAAAATAAATTTAGGATGTTCTTATAGTGGTACAATTTTCAATATTTATTAATATATAATATTTTAAAGAACATATATCTCTTTAGTACTAAAGTAGAATTGTTTTAATCTGATATGTAGACAGTTAAACACCAAGTTCTTTGTACATTTTCGTTACAATTCAGCTATTTGAACAAATAAAATGTAATAATATTGTAAATCATGTAATTTTTTGAGATGTCATGCTCTCAATAAATTGTATGAAAATTTATATAAATCCAAGTTTTAATTGTGTTATATATTTTTATTCGAAAACATGTTTATTAAGCTAATTATTGATTTGTGTATTAGGACTTTTACATGATGCTTTCTATCATAGCAAAAACATAGCCATCAAAAAGTGGAAGGATTTGCTTATCATCTGTCAGTTCTTCATACACAATTCTTGTTTCAAATTCGTTGCAGTATCTTTTAAAGTAATATNATTGTTCCAAAATTTCTTGATTGTGATTTTGTTAATTTAAAAGCATTTATCTAATGGTTTTTCATTAAAAATTAGAAGTCAAATTTTTTTTGTTTGTAATAATTCTCACAAAAAAGAAAGAAAAAAAAACATTTCCAAAGGATAATTTTGAATTGCAAAGATACTCTTTTTCATTTAAAATTAACTTTTGAAAACTATTTCTACAATTTTCTAAAATAATTTTACAGTTCTACTTTAAAAAAAAAAATTGTTTACCTAAAATTAGACTGATAAAATTATTAGTGTAAATTTTAATGTACTTTCCAAAATTGTGGTGAATATCACTTGTTTATCTTTTTTAATAACAACATCAAAACAAAATGGTGAGAATATCCTTTTATTTTTAAACTTCCCAGAATTTTATTAAAATTGTTACTAATGTTCATTTAAAATAATAATTTATTCAATTTTATCCTGATTATGAAAAAAATATGAATACGCTCACTATTTGTTTTAATCCAATTTGTTCCTAAGATAATCCTTTTTTTTTGTTATTTTGTTAGTAACACTTTAACTGCAGAATGAACTGTTTTTTTCTTCCAATATCACTTATTACATATCTCTATTTATCATAAGAAATATTATCATATCATAAGAAATATTACTATATCATAAGAATTGCTTAAATTTTGACTAATTTCATTATTGAATAAGGGAAGCAACTATTAAAATAAATTTAGGATGTTCTTATAGTGGTACAATTTTCAATATTTATTAATATATATTATTTTAAAGAACATATATCTCTTTAGTACTTAAGTAGTATTGCTTAAATCTGATATGTAGACAATTAAACACCAAGTTTTCTGTACATTTTCGTTATAGTTCAGCTATTTTAACAAATAAAATGTAATAATATTGTAAATCATGTAATTTTTTGAGATGTCATGCTCTCAATAAATTGTATGAAAATTTATATCAATCCAAGTTTTAATTGTGTTATATATTTTTATTCGAAAACATGTTTATTAAGCTAATTATTGATTTGTGTATTAGGTCTTTTACATGATGCTTTCTATCATAGCAAAAACATAGCCATCAAAAAGTGGAAGGATTTGCTTATCATCTGTCAGTTCTTCATACACAATTCTTGTTTCAAATTCGTTGCAGTATCTTTTAAAGTAATATCTGCAAATATAAAAACAAATATATATTGTTAAAAAAAATAAAAATCTAAAAGAGAGGTAGCAAGTTTAAGCAGCATTTTCTTAACATGTTTTTTCCCCAAAAAGATTAGGATATACTTTGCGCAAAGGAAGCGAAAAGCAATTAAAATAGAAAAAAGTATTAAAGTATTATATAAGTACTAAAGTATAGAATTTGACATACTATAATTTTGGTTCTCTGAACAAGAACCTCCCACAATGTCTAAATACCCAAAACTTTTCTTACAGTTTACTTCCACCCCCCAGATTGTTTATATATTATGAGTATAAACATTTAGTGATATATCAGCTACTGGCGAATCATTCACAGGAGAATATTATGTATAAAAAAGAACTTTGTGACAAGGTGCATTTTTTTAACTTTAATGTGCAGGAAAATATTAGAACAACATAGTTATTAATTTAGTAATAGCACATGTGTATTAGTTTTCGCAGAAAGAGATCAAACTTAATATGTATGTTAATTGTTTTACCTAGAAAGATTTAAATTTTGTTATTTTTTGTTATGTGATAATTCGTATCATTAATTATAATTAATATAATTTGTTATTATTAACTGTTTATTGATATTCATTTTAATAATTGCTGTGACACATTTGTTAGATTAAATAAATAAAGTTACACAATGATTTGGTAATTTAGTAATGGTCTCCTCCAGACAGGAAAAGGATTCTGCTTTCTCCATCTTAACCTATGAGGAAATATATGTTTGGAATTTCCTTATTTATTCAGTAACTAATCAATATTTTTGAATAAAATCTGTTTTATTTTATTCATGCCATTATATGCCCTCTCAAACTTAACCCGGATTTACCCTTATGACTGGATTAAAAATTTTGGGATAGTAACTATTTTTAAAACTTCTTTAAAGTTTTTCATAGTTCAAGTTTTGGAAATTGTTACCACATTTAAAATTTTTTAACCAAGATTTTTGATGAATAAAATAAAAATCATTCAAAAATATGAATTAGTTACTTTATAAATAAGGAAATTTCGGGCAGATAATTTTCTTAGTTATCATGGAGTAAACAAAATCCTTTTGTTTGTGAGAAGAGACCCTTAGAACCTAACAATCTATTTTAAAATTTATATATTTTTATGATAAATTTTTCAAAATTATCTTCACGGTTGTTTAGTGCTGTATAGGAGCATAACTCAATAGAAAATATATTAATTTCTCCTATCACACCATCTTGGATTCCTGTGGTTTTTTTCCCCATGAAAGTATTAGTAGTTAACTATCTTTAAATAGCAAATTGTTTTATGAAGCAGAGAAAATAATAAAATCAGTCTATTGAATTGTGAACAATATTTTAGTTTTGTTTAAATTTTTTCTCAACTATTCAATAAAAAAATATTTTTGAATTTAGTGCTTCTGTCTGATAGAGTTTATAAAAAAATAATTTAAAGATGTAGTTCCTTAATATGCCTTTAGATTTTTTACATCATGGCAAAATTTTTTTTTAACAAACATTTAAAACTGAAAGGAAAGTATTTTTTTTAATCTTTTCTTAAGTATTAATCACACAACATTGTTCTAATTTTGAAAGAAAATGTAAATTTTTGAAATCGTGTGTTTAATTTAAGCCATTCAGATGTTTTTATTCTCTTTTATTCTGCATATTTTATTAAATAATAATAAAATATTTATTAAAATGTTAATATAATAAATATAATTATTAGTGTATTGATAAAAACTGAATTGGGGTGAATAAAAATTAATTTAATTTTCTAGCTTTTCCTCATAACAGGCTAACAACTGATTCATCTAAAATGAAGTTAAATTTAGATTATTTACATGTGTTATTTACATTAGATTATTTACATATAAAACTTAAATAAAGATTAAGAAAATAGATTAAAGATATGGAACCACATTCCATCTCACAAAGTACTGGTACTAAAAGTCCCGCACGAATACATCGTGCCGGTACGTTCCATTTTCCATGGCACCCATGAGATGGTTCTAAATCATTCTATAGATAGTGATTCAGAATAATTGTTCCAAAATTAATATGTTTTTCAATAACATGTTAACACGTACGAATCATAAAGGAATATATGATCACAAACGCAATACAGGACTAGAAAACCAGAGACTGACAAATTTGAGACAAATAATGATAAGTGTGTGAAATATTTTTTTTTTTGTTTACTGTTGTGTGATATTTTTTAACAGGTCTTTGATATTTTTGTATCGTTGATTTCAAATCTGCTGTTTCTCTCTCCAATCTACAATTTTTTTTAACATGATACTTTTAGTCTTTTTGTTGAAATGTTCAAAGTTCGAAACTATATATAACAAAAGTGCTGCGACAAATTTTTAGGGGAGCTATGGCACATCTTTAGGATTAAAATTGCATAGGAACCCATGCCCGTAAGCAATTTTCTAACCCAGCGGCTTTCTCTCTTGTTTGGTATTTTCTTATATGATAAGAAAAAAAATTTAATTCTTGGTTTTGTTGAAACTTAATTGTAAATGCCGTGTCCGGCTAGGGTTGTTCCCTATTATAGCCTGTTCAGAAACACACGAAACAGTTCATAATGGGGGAAGCGCCTCTAGCCGAGTACGACGACGTTTCTGGGCATGGGTTCCTATGCATTTTTAATTCTGATAATGAACCCTAATTTCTTTGAATTTTGTCGAAATATTTGAGCGACATCCTATTATATATAGCCCCTAGTTTTTAAACTTGTACATTTTTACATAAAACAATAAAATTGCCATTTAAAAAAAAAGAAATCTGTAGTCTTAGGGGTAAAACTAATTTCAAAATTGAAAGCCTCCACACCGGAATGAGGCAAGATCAAGTATTTGTATGAATGCAACAAAAAATTGGTTACCCGGAATAATTTATTACACAAATACAAGTTTAAACTGCAATTTTATTAAAGAACGTTTCAAAGCAGGCGTTCGAAATTGCAGGTCGACGTTCCCTTGAATGCAATTTTGAATGTAAAATTTGCGGGCTTTGCGTTTGCTACCTTATATTCCTGTTTGCCTTATTCTTGACCAATAAGTCGATTTTTGAATATTAATTCTGAATCACCTTGCACTAATTTCTAATTTCAAACATTACATTTTTACAGCATGTATTACACAGTATTGTATAATATATATACCTACCTGAACACTCCTTTTCTGCATAAAATACTTTTAAATTGTCCTAACGTAATTCTTTTTCCTTTTACTTTCGTGCAGTAAGGCGCTATGTCTCCCCGAAAATAGTAGCCGACGCTTGTAAAATCGTCCTTTACTGTTTTGCTAAAAGTAACATGTTTTGTCTTGCTCTGTGATTTAAAAGATCTGTAAGAAAATATAAAGGTTTAGATTTTATAGAAATGATTATTGGTAAGCTTAGCTTGTTTAAATTTCGAAATTCGAATTTTTTTCACTTGTAATCTTAAAAATCCATTTTTTAAAAAATGTTTATTTTTTAAATTCTTTTAAAAAGGTCTACTATTTATTCACTGGGAACTTGAGCTATATTCACCGACTTATAATAGAGTAAAGTAAAGAGAGTTAGTGCACATTCCTAATGATAATAAAAAGAAACCTTAATATTAACATGTTGCTAAAATATCCATTCGTAATATTGAAATAAATTGTTTCCTGTTTGCATCTGATTTTTGGTTACAATCTCTTCTTGCAACTTTTTTGTCGCTGCTTTGATGTAATGCTTTGATTTAATATACCAGCTGTAATGAAACCAAGAAAATTCTTTTATGCTATTTACCCCATCAGGTTGATGTGAAAGTAGTACGAAATGTGAAAGTACATAAGTAGGTGAAAGTTCAATAAGTAGGTGATTATGATGTGAAAGTACATAAGTAGGGGAGAATGTAATTATAATAATAACTTCATTTAAATCGGGAGCAGTATAACAATTGCATTTAAATGGCATTATTGTGAAGTTACTGTGACTACATATTAGTGATTACTTCCACCTATGGATTAAAGAAGAACACGTATTTGTGATTCTTGATGTGTTGCCATACTTATCTGAACTCCTCTGTTGGCTGTCTTGAACATTGCCAAATCTCTCCTATGATAGGAACAATGTCATAAGTTGCAGACGTCTTAACTCTCTCATTCTGGTTATAGGAGTTATTGCACGGTCCCTAAATTCTACCATGATCACTTCTGGAAAGAACTGTTGATGTACGCGTCGCCGTTAGCCAATGTTCGTACCTTACGAAAAATCATTTTAATTCTAAATATTTTGTTTAAATACTCTGCTGTTGAACTGAAACTAAAGAAAATTCAGCCAAACGAATATTCAATCACTTATATTGTTGTTGCGTATGCCTGTTTAGGTAAAGGGGTGCGATTGTTTTTGCTTTCCAGTGGCACCATCTATGGCCAAGAATTCGACTTCTGCCACTTTGTACGTCACACCTGTTTATAGGGCGGACCCATTCATACATCCATTCATTCATCCACAGATCGTAATTTTGACCTGAATCAGAGAACGATCAATCTCCAATCCAGTACTCCCAGAGGTATTCATTTGTTATGGGAACATGGAGGACTTTGCGACTCGACGAGATTTAACCTTCATCAGTCACCATTTACTAAACGGGGAGTCTTCGGCCGGCGGTGTTCGAACACTCGGACATATCCGTTCAGTATATTGTATATGTAAAGAGCTATATATAAAGATATATATATATATAATAGATATATAGATAATAGATATATATATAAATAACATGCCTTTATAATAATTGCTTTATTTAACATCGAAATTTTTAAACGAATAAAACATGAAATAATGTTTTACAAAATATGAAAAGTATATGCATTTATATAAAATAGCATTAGAATTTTCATTAAGATTGCATTTCCCATTGACGTTTTTAATAGGAAATAAAATAACTAAATTCAACAATAGAGAAATAATCGCTGACAATAGAGAATAAACCCTTAATAATCGTTATCAATGTTTATAACAGATTAAGATTTTAGTTTGATTGGCTAAAGATTTTAAGGAGATTTATAGTAAAAAATACTATAGTGTTAATTTTAGAATGATCGAAATATACTCACTCCTTTGGTTGTTTAAGTAGAGCTCTTTTTGTTATTGTTGGTACATTGCATTGCTGTGTTTGCTTAATTGGTTGTCCAGAATCCTGAGTTCGGCTCTTTAAAGTTCGTTGCGATTCTATGATTTCAAAGTAAAATGCCTAAAATTAAAGTAATAAAATTAAATCATGATTAAAAGAAAACTCTCATTCTCGTACTTTAATAATCTTGCAATTTTTTTGTTTATACCAAATATCAAGAAAATGATATAAAAGTTTAGTTGACAGAATTTTCGAAGTTGATTAAAATTTTATAATAATAATGATAACAATATCAAACTGTGGAACATTCGCTATTAACTATTTGGCCTAGAATTAACATTATTTTTTTAAAAATATTTTAAGAGTTTTTATAAAAATGTTTTTAAAAATTATATTGATAAACGGCTAAAAAAGAAAATAAATGACTATTTCATTTTGGTAACTATTTTTTGTGAAAAGGAATATGTGTGTAAATTTTGCTTCATCCGCTTTTTTTTTTTCCAATTGCACGGCAGTGAGCCCTGATGGCTCAGGGAATAGAGCTTTCGCCTTCCAATGAGGTGAATCGGGTTCGAATCCCAGTCAATACGAATTCCGCATCCGGCTTGCATACAACACAGTGTTGACGTAAAGTATCCTCTATGGTAGACGGATCATGGGTAGAGTCCCCTTGCCGTCAGGCTAACCGTGGGAAGTTTTCGGGGTTTTCCTCTCCACGTAACGCAACTTGCTGGTTAGTCCATCAAAAAGACCTCCATGAAGGCAAATTTCTCACAATACTTGATTCAGGAGCTCCCTTGTCTTCTGAATTGGGTTTAAAATTACAAGGCTACGGAGTTGAACATTAGTAGCTGTAAACGCCAAAATTTGGGTCGGCTGTTCAACGATGGTTATAAAATATAAAATAAAATTGCACGGCAGTATTGGATTCAATTCAGATTTTATAACAGTTTATATTTTTAGATTGCTTGCTACCTCAAATATGTATATGAAGTGGAACAGTTTGCAGTACTCGTTGAAAATAAGTACAAAAGAATACACACAGAAAGTATTTATTAATTTTTCTAAATGAAAAAAGAATATAATTACTTTGAAATTTTCAAGATAAGGTCCTAGAGCTTCTCGAACTTCCTGGTCTCGTTTAATTTTGTTCAACTTTTGTATGAGCTCTGATGTAAACGGATACTTCATTTTTCACCCTGCTTGGAGTAAAAAGAAAAAATAATTTCAAATTATGCTTCTCAAATCAATAAAATCTAAATGTTTTCTTGTAATAAGATAGCAATAGCTACTTTTAATATATTAAAAAAATTATTTTTTTTAAATTTTTCAAAAACTTCAATTTTATGCTTTTTTTTTGCGCGCATAAACTCTTGAGTAGACACAAAAAAATTAATTTAATTTGTTTATTGTTATTAATGAAAAAAGTGAAATCAAAACAGAACTAATTCTAACCTTAGAAGAACATACCTAGCAAAAATTGTTTTATTTTATAATATGGGGAAGATTGGGGTTAAATCGGGTACCTCTATTTTAGCAAATTAGTTCTGATTTCTAGCGAACAAACTCTGAATTTCATCCTACTGCTCAAGAAGGATCTATCCTTTTGGCGTTGATTCATTCATGGGGTCTGTGTAGATAAGTTTGTTTTACTAT